TAAAAGACTATTGGAGTGATAATTCCTGGGAATAATTCCCAATGTAATATAATATATGTATTTGTTTTTAAATTGTAACATTAAAATATTAGGTGCCGTGTTTTATGTTTTTATATTTATATTTTATCTTTATTCTTTAATTTGTTATTCAAGTATGACTGACTATTATTTTTATTCTTAATATGTATATAACATATATTACAACTATTGACTTACCACATGTACATTATGTACCAATAATGGTTAATAAAATTATCATTATTATTATTATTGCCATTTTAGTATGCAACCAGCGTGATTAAGTATGACCGACATGGCTACAAGCCTAGGGAACGCATAATGGTAATCACCCATCAAAACTTACACCTGCTTGAATGTAAAGGATCGCTGAAACAAAAGCACTGCCTGCCTCTCAAAGAGCTGCGTTTCGTCATAACACCCGAGAAAGATAAACTGCTCCTCGTCCAAATTCCCGAAGATTTAATCAAGAAAGACAAGGTATGAATTCGAAATTCGTCACGATTCTTTATGATTCAGTTCAACTTTTTAACAGGGAGACCTGATCCTGGAAGTTCCAAACGTGATAGAAGTCTTGACGATGATTATAGATACAACGAATGATCGAAGTCTGCTGATGATTATCGATAAGTCACAGTAAGTAATGGGGGAAAACGAACCTGGAACGGTACTCAGTTTATTTTTTGTTTCAGAATTGATCACAATATGAAGGGAAAACATGGTACAATTGACATTCAACACGGGGATGTTCCAAAAATCCATAGAGACAAAAGTGGCCATTTATTGATAGTGAGTGATGTATTTTGAGTTGAAATCATTTGTATCCTTTATCCTTTTATACACACATCGGAAAAGTCTAGGGATATTTTTATAACATACTAAATATCATAAAAATAAATGCATGAGGTTTAATTTCGATTAAATTGGTACACTCGACCACCCTGTAAATTTATATGGATTGAACAAAGCCTGCAAAAACGGTAACTAATCTTTTATCAAGTTTTTTACAAACTGTAGGTTTTCGGCTAAAATGAATAATCTGAAAGTGTCGAGTTTGTACATTCTATGCAGTTCTTGCTCAGCAATTAAACTGGAAATATTGTGCTTTAACATGGAACGCCATCACTTACCATTGGCTGAGATGGATAGAGCTGTAGGGCTTCTTCAAGGTGGCATGCGACAAAATGATGTAGCTCTTCGTTTGGGGGTCTCCCAAAGTGTTATCAGTCGATTGTGGCGGCGTTTCCGTGAAACTGGCAGTCCAGCCGAACAACATCCAGGGCGAGGACGCGCTACAACTGCAGTTCAAGACCGATTTCTAGTCTTAACCGCAAGAAGACAACCGACAATCACAGCACCTGAGTTGGTTAATGTGTTGCAGCAGACGCACCAGGTAACCATTGGTCGTGATACTGTCAGAAATCGACTGCATGAAGCAGATCTCCACAACAGAAGGCCACTTAGATGTCCACCTTTGTCGAGAGGCAATCGCGGTAGAAGATTAGAGTGGTGTCAAGAACATCAAAACTGGGATGCAAATGATTGGGCCACAGTTTTGTTTACAGACGAATCCAAATTTGGATTTCATCCAGATTCTCGTCGAGTAAGACTGTGGAGACGACCTGGAAATAATGAACGTTTGAGACACGTCCAGGAAGTCCACACATACAGAGGTGGTACAGTAATGCCATGGGGCGGAATCATGATCGGCGGCAGAACCGATCTCGTTTTTCCAAATCGCTCCCTCACAGCTCGACAGTACCTCGACACCATTCTTCTACCTATCGTCCGTCTGTTTGCTGGTGCTGTTGGTGAAAACTTCCACCTAATGCACGATAATGCTCGTCCACATGTCGCGCGTCTAGTGACTGACTGGCTCACCAACGAAGGAGTTGATGTATTGCCATGGCCAGCACAATCACCGGACCTGAATCCCATCGAGCATGTGTGGGATATGCTTCAACGAAGAATTACTCCGCATATGGGGAACATTCACACAACGTTTCAATTGAGAGAGCTTTTAATCGGTGAATGGGCAAATGTACCTCAACAAGACATTGACAATCTCATTTTGTCGATGCACGATAGATGTAGGGCCGTAATAAACCAGCGTGGAGGCCATACTTTGTACTGATTCCAATTTTTTTTGTATTATGATTTTTTTTCGGGGTGCCAAAGAGCCATATTTTTTTTTAGTTTTGCTTATATGCGCACTCAGTATTTTTGACCATTTAATAAATTTTGTTGTAAGTTACATTCGTTTAATAATCACCCGTCAACTTTTTTTCCCTAAAGCGATCTAAAAAAAAATTATTGCCATTTTTAAAAATATCCCTAGACTTTTCCGATGTGTGTATATTTTGGTATCCCAAATCACCCTATATTCCAATCTTCTGTTAATTTTTCTCAACTATATACAAATCATCAAATGTTTGCACATGTTTCCAAAAAGTTTCTCAGTTTTTTCAACTTTTATTTATACAGGCTAATTTTTAGCTGATCTTAGTATTGCTATGTCGGAAACGGTAAGTCCTAAAGGACGGTTAAATTGGACAAAAGTTTACTATTTTAGACAGCTATAATTTTTTTTGTAGATCGAAAATATCAGTGGTTGTTTTAGAAATATTCGATAAAAATTATAATAAATTTACCCGACCTTGTAGGTCTTACCGTTTCCGAGATAGAAAAATTGCAGAATCAGTTAAAAAATGGCCTGTATAAATATGAAGCCTGTTATGAAAATATAAACAACATACAATGAAATTTTATTATTTTTCAGGTTGTCTCGCCATGAGGTTCGCAAGTTCAAGACTACAGTTACAGGAGTGATTGCTTATGGAATAAATTGTGTGCCATTCCTTCTTTGTTGAGAAAATGTTTTCATATTTAATATATTTACATGTTTTTGCTAATTTTATTTAAACTTGAAATATTTGACAGTTATGTAAATAAAATTTTTAACCATTTCAATATGATTTATCTCCATGTGGAATTTGAAACTTGATTGATAGTTTCGACCGTATTTATTCACCATTGAGGATACAGAATGTAACTTATGGTAAGTCGTGTGTAAATGAATACTAATAAATATATTTGTGATGCATTGTTTGGAACCTTTGGTGTAGTAATCAATATTACTGGAGTTTTTTCTCAACACCAAACCATTATTTCAACACCTCGACTCGTGTTTTGATCACCAAGTGATCATTTTCAAGAAGAAGATCAAACTAAACAAAGTTATCCTTATTCACACCATAAACGCAGGTACCTAGAAGAGGTAAAGTGAATATCTTACAATAAGGTGTTAGTTAAATGGGCCAATTCCATTCCATGTATTATGTTTATGTTCAAAAGCGTTAGACTGTTAGGTGTTCAAATGTTGTCTGGTAAACTAACACATTTGAGAATATTATATATTATATGGCAGATGCAGTAAAATTTTATTTTGCCTAAATATTGGTCTACAGCTGTCTCGAAAATTCAAACTGAAACTAAGTCTAATTATGCGCTTCTGAACTACAAATACCCTTTTAAATGTTCTCGCTCGACCTCACGCCATAATATTCAGGCCAATATATGAAAATACCATGAAAAAATATATACAAAGCAAACCTTGTGTGTCTGGAGATGGTTTCATCTGCTCAATGGCGTGATAAGCTTTATTTTGGTGTTAACAGACATGTTCAATATGTGTATCCCATTTTAAGCTCTCATCTAATAGAGTGCAGGAGAGTTTTGTTCCAATACTAAACTGAATGTTGTCAATTGCCCATTTGCCGTGACTTTTTTTATGGAAAAAGTCAATAATTACAGAATTTCACGTGTTCAGAATCAGTTTCTTGGACACCAAGCAGAAAATTGGTTTACGACCTCCTCGAATTTAGTTACAAATTGTTTAACATTGTGTCCAGATATCTTTATTATTGTAATCAGCAAACATTGTTATATAAACTTCATCTAGATACTGTGGCAAATAGTTTACATATTGGAGAAACAGCAAAGGTCCAAGCACTTAACCCTGTGGCACCCAACATTCACATTCTGGGTATGTGAGAGAACCCTAACATCTCACTGCTATAGTTCTATTCGTCATATATGATTCTAACCAATTTTTCTTATTGGATGGAAGTCCTGAGAAATACAGTTTATCATTCAAAAACTCACTGTATCGAACGCTTTCGATATATCAAAAAACACTGACAGAACAAGAAAAGTTTCAGGCAGTGTTCTAATTTATTGACAAAATCACATCCTTCCTGATATCAGATTGAATGAAGCACAGGCGTGCTTAATTTTAAGTAAAAAAAAAAGATTTTCTTGTAATTAAAAAATAAGAATGTAAAATCGAAATGATTTGTTTTCAGTACACGAAAATACGCTTTCTGCAGAAAAATGTTGGCTCAATATCATTTATTGAACATCGCCATTTAAACACTGCATTGTAAAGTATACTCTGATGTTCAACTCCAAAGTACCCATTTATTTAATATAAAAACATTAAATATATATCAAACAGTAAAAAGTGTTCTGTTCATAAATTATTAAATATCTTTACACAACGACTCAACATTCCATCACGATTCAGAATTATGTGTTGCCACAGCTTGTTGAGCTTTGGAAAGTTTTTGCTGTCCTCCTGACGCTCGAGCTCTCACTTCCTCTTCTATCTTTTTATTTATGTTTTTACTTATAATTTGCTTCAACTTTTGACTTTCTTCATGTTGTTTCTTCTTCGGTTTAATAGGACGATCTGTAAGTTTAAATGTTACATCAACTAGCTCATCTGATTTATTATAACCTACTAGAAATGTGACTTCAAAACTACTGAGATCTATTGAAATGTAGTAAATGACCTTCCACAATATGTGGAAGCATACCCCGACAAAACGACAAGAAGTAGTATTGCATTATACTTACTAGACCTTTGAGTAGCGCTAGGGCCATTCGACTTTTTCGATTTTACATTATTAGGTAGCTTAGCTTTCACCTTCATTTTTCCTTGAGCCATTTTGCATCAACTGTTAATTACTGTAACAACTCAAGAAACCCCAAAACACAATAAAAATAAACACTTCAAAGAACCAGAAATTCATTAAATTAGGTTATGTGCAGTTTATTCTTCTTCTCTTTCGCGTTTTTGGCCTCTTCTATGAAGGCTATCCGACAAAGGTCGCTCGACAAACTGCACTCGGTTACTCAACGTTGAGTCACCGTATAACTCAGCTAATTTGAATTGGCAAGTAATATTTGGAACAATAAATGCATCAGATCTCTAATTAATATTTGAAAAATAATCTTTTGAAAGGTTTCCTTCAATTGAAATGTAATACATTGGACAGAGCAAAAAAACTCCTTTGAAATAAAAAGGAATTTTATTTGAATGTAATAAATGCATAAGATATAAGCTTAAAACTAAATCACCAATTATAGTTCTTGAATAATTCATGAAGATATGGCACACATGAAAATATTACCAACCTGGAAAACTTTTTAGATCTCAAAAATTGAGATCCCTATTTTCAGTAGAACGAATGATGTTTTATAAATGTTCATTGTTTTACATTCTAGGTACCACAGAATAAAAATAAATTCGTAAATTATAAGCAGATCTGAAAAAAAAGTTTCAAGAGTTTAAGTGTATATATAAATAGATTATTGATAGACACTAATTCAAAGGTAACTTATTCACAAAGATAAGCAGTAACTGTAAGGTAAACCGTAATCATTCACAGAATTTCAGGCAATGTCACAACCTTCAAAAAGTTAACTGAAATGGGTGCATAAAAATTATCATAATTTACAAATTTATAACATCAAAAGGTACAATGTTGACTTGATGAAAGATCCCGAATCATATTGATAATTCACAGAAACGTTTAAAGACAAAGTGAAAAATAGAGAAATAACAATTTCAGTATTCCTTTCAGTAGTTTGAGTATCTTGATAACTTACTGAAAGGATTTATTTTGATTCCGCTCATTATATGTAGTTAAAACTAGATTAGAATTAATTATCTGATCAGACTGCAGATCATAGTAATGTTTTTATAATATGAAATGTTTCAATCTGGAAGTAGTATATCTAATCTTGCTGTCGCGGTTTTGTAAACTTTCTATGGTGAAAATAAAAATAATTCTTATAGGAAAGTTTTGGCCAGTTTCATTCCAGCATTCTGATTCTTCCATATATTTCTCAAACTTTTCTATAATTCTTAGTTCCCATCTTCAAGTATTTATTTGAAAAATTGTCCATATGACTGTTATAAAGCATCAGTGTTTCTTGTTTTTTGTGTTGTCCTTTATATCACTGTAGTTTTAGATAAAATAGTTTTGAAATAGTATCTTGATATAATTCGGTTCATCTTGTGTGTTTCTGAATATTATTGTTTTTATTTACCCATTATGGCAATTTCTATGCCCCCACTAAAATTATGTCAAGTACCGTTGAATGTTTGCAGATATAAATAATGAAAGTGAAAACTACTCTTCAGAGAATATGAGAAAAAATAGTTTTCAGCTTCTACAAACCAATTAAATAAATCATTTAATAGGATTCACCTCAGAATTTTTGAATGAAATGAAACTCGTGAATCATTCCATTCTATATAAGTCATATTCGATAGGCCAATATCGAGCGTTCATATCTACCAATTAGCTGCAAATATTTTTACTTGTTAACGATGAATGGATAAAGTATTTCTCTAGATCCTGCTTAAAGTTACTATTATCCATATGCAACTATAACTGAGACATGATAGATTGTGTTCGACAATAAATTTAAAGAAGATCAGAATGTTATCTTAAATATTGAATGAAAGTTACAATAAATCAAAATCACTCCAGAAATTTTGCATTGATGTGCAAAAAACGTTAATTTTGAATCGTTAATTGTAGAGATTGACAGATGTATTGTTTGACAAATTCCTCCAGTTTCTTCTCTTCTTCTCTTTTTTAGCTGAATTGGCCTAGACGAAATTGATGAAAACTAGTTTGCAGAAAACAAGACTACTAATCAGGAGCTGATTTTGAAGCTGTTTATGTATAAGCAAAAACATTTATAGATGTATACTCGAAAGCAAGCCGAGCCCCAAAAACAATCTTCGGAAAGAAGATAATATCGGCTATTGGCAAAAACATATCGATAGAAGATCTACATTTCCAAATCATCTAGTAAAGCTAAGCAAAGCAGTAAACCAGGATGGAACCTTCGAAATTCCCCCTTCAACTTAAAAATTATGACAACACTAACAGCATCAATATCACGAATCATGTATAAAATTATGTTTCATATATATATACCTTTTAGGAGAGACATTTCATAGAAAAAATCACTTACTGCCTACAAAATGTTTATAATTATTAAAACATATTTCAATGAAACATCTCCATTGATATGACAATACACATGTTTGTATACATTTTTTTTTGTATAAAAGCACATCACATATATGGAAAGCAACTGGTGCAGTTTATATCAAACCCACCGATTCATTATTTACAATTCATTCTGACATTTCATTCGAACAAAATTAAGCACGCATTCTGTACAGATCAGATCTTTACAATCCGACATATACAATTTTTTTTGATAGGGTAAAAGAATTCAATATTGCATCCGTCTCCGATCATATTGCCCTGAAAATATTTAGACTTCCGTTCAGCGGTTTTTCACCAACAAAGAAACTAAGATATAATAGAAAAAGTCAAATATTAATCACAAACATTTGAAATATTGATCAAAGAATGTAAACTTTCACGGCCGTTGATAACTGTGTGAAAGCTATTTTACGGGATTTTTGGCCGTGGTCTGCAGGTTTTATATCTGACGTTTCGTCTACTACTGCGGTAGACACTGCCAAACGCGATGTGACCGTTACCACACCGATTTTGATAATGTCTACCGCAGCAGTAGACGAAACGTCAGGCATAAAAACCTGCAGACCACGGTCAATAAACACTAAAAGAACTTTCACACTAGAAATATTACAAATGAAATGTGCATCGATGGAATTATTTTTGTAAATATGTAAGGAGAGAAGGGATGCAATGAATAATTCCTATTGTTCGAAGTATACAATTCGAGGATTTTCGAATCCTATCGAACAGCAAAATGTAGGCCAATACGACTCTGCACACAATACCATTCTCAAAATTTACATAATAATAAAAATGGAAAAATCAGTCTGTGTCAATATTTCTCTGCGTGAAGCTAATACTTTAGTAAATATCAAACTATCATAGGCACTGATAAAATTTACAATGTACATATTTCTAAAACGCAAGAATTTCATAGCCTTCGGGAAAGCAATGAACACAGTGTTGTTGAGCTACCCTACAATAGTACCCTAACTGGAAGTTTTAAAATACAAAGCATACGTAATTACAACCTCTTTACTTTCAACACAAGGTTTCAACAACTTTATCTTAAAAAATCACGGCGGTACTTGTGCGAATGGAACTAGAACTCACAACTCTCGTTTTCATCTATTCTATGTCAATAGTTTGCTAAACCTAGGAAGCATTCAATTAGATTACGGCAGAAAAATCAATTTTGACTCTCATTTGTGGTAGAAAACACTTTCATGTTGATGTAATCGAATTAAGGGGATGAAAATATATGGGAAAGTTATGTACATTAAGAATTAAAATACATCATTAATTAAAACAGAGCATTATCGTTCATCCTTTTACTTAACATACACGTATAATGTTTCCCATCACGATTGTATCAGCATTTCATTGAAACTCACAATAACAGAATCTTCTAATAAAATTCATCAACTATATTACAGTGCCTTCAAAACTAATTGTCATATGAGTATCATTTCGAGTATTATGAAAACAGAAAACTTTTGACCTTCAACATTTTTGGAAACCAGACCTTGCCAAAATGTTTAAATGAATATAGAGACAGACTCTTTGGGAACTAGGGCCCAAACACAAGGCATTTATGATTCAACACCAGACAAAGCTGTTTCGACTTGCCATAGACCAGCATTGATGGATTCAACTGTTCTTAAAAGACAAGCCCAAGTAGAAGGCCGATGACATCTCCCCTTACAAAGACGCCATCTATGGGATTGGCAGAGAATTAAATCTTCAAAAACCAAGGCATTCATGATTCAACACCACACAAAGCTGTTTCGACCTGCCATAGACCTCATCTGCGTTGCTGGACTCAACTGTTCTTAAAAGACAAGCCCAAGTAGAAGGCCGATGACATCTCCCTGTACAAAGACGCCATCTATGGAATTGACAGAGAATTCAATCCTCAAAAACCAAGGAATTTATGATTCAACACCAGACTACGCTGTTTCGACCGGCCATAGACCTCATCAGCATTACTGGACTTAACTGTCCTTAAAAGACAAGCCCAAGTAGAAGGCCGATGACATCTCTCCTTACAAAGACGCCATATTGGCAGATAATTCAGTCGTTAAAAACCAAGGCATTTATGATTCAACACCAGACAACGCTGTTTCGACCTGCCATAGACCTCATCAGCGTTGCTGGACTCGACTGTCCTCAAAAGACAAGCCCAAGTAGAAGGCCGATGACATCTCCCCTTACAAAGACGCCATCTATGGGATTGGCACAGAATTTAATCTTCAAAAACCAAGGCATTTATGATTCAACACCAGACAACACTGTTTCGACCTGCCATAGACCTCATCAGCGTTGCTGGACTCGACTGTTCTTAAAAGACAAGCCCAAGTAGAAGGCCGATGACATCTCCCCTCACAAAGACGCCATCTATGGAATTGACAGAGAATTCAATCCTCAAAAACCAAGGAATTTATGATTCAACACCAGACAACGCTGTTTCGACCGGCCATAGACCTCATCAGCATTACTGGACTCAACTGTCCTTAAAAGACAAGCCCAAGTAGAAGGCCGATGACATCTCTCCTTACAAAGACGCCATATTGGCAGATAATTCAGTCCTTAAAAACCAAGGCATTTATGATTCAACACCAGACAAAGCTGTTTCGACCTGCCATAGATCTCATCAACGTTGCTGGACTCAACTGTCCTTAAAAGACAAGCCCAAGTAGAAGGCCGATTACATCTCCCCTTACAAAGACGCCATTTATGGAATTGACAGAGAATTCAATCCTCAAAAACCAAGGAATTTATGATTCAACACCAGACAACGCTGTTTCGACCAGCCATAGACCTCATCAGCATTACTGGACTCAACTGTCCTTGAAAGACAAGCCCAAGTAGAAGGCCGATGACATCTCTCCTTACAAAGACGCCATATTGGCAGAGAATTCAGTCCTCAAAAAACAAGTAATTTATGATTCAACACGAGACAACGCTGCTTCGACCTGCCATAGAGCTCATCAGCGTTGCAGGACTCAACTGTCCTTAAAAGACAAGCCCAAGTAGTAAGCCGATTACATCTCCCCTTACAAAGACGCCATTTATGGGATTGGCAGAGAATTCAATCTTCAAAAACCAAGGCATTTAAGATTCAATACCACACAAAGCTGTTTCGACCTGCCATAGACCTCATCTGCGTTGCTGGACTCAACTGTTCTTAAAAGACAAGCCCCAGTAGAAGGCCGATGACATCTCTCCTTAGAAAGACGCTATCTATGGGATTGGCAGAGAATTCAATCCTTAAAAACCATGGCGTTGTTTTGGGGCTCTATTTTCCAAATAGTTGCCTTGCGGTAGAAGCTGAGAGCTGGCTTTACAACTGCAAAGCCAAGCTTCGACACAAGCATGCATTTTGAATATTCGACGATTTAGTTAACCGTCGATCCCATAGATGGCGTATTCAAAGCACACGTTATAATGGCTTTCATCAAGTGTCGGTCAGTTCTATCATTTATTTCCCATAGATGGCGTCATCGTGAGAGCAGATGTCATCGCTCTTACTTATGGAGACGCTTCTGCACTTGTCGCAATGAAAAACCTAGTCAATTGTGTACCCTTGTGTGTCTTTTAAATAGTAACAAGTGATATTTATCTTGTAAAATAGCAATGAGATGAAATTCCTTTTTTCAGGCTTAAAATAATAATTTCGAAAAAAAAGTATCAACTCTCGATCAGCATAGCAAAGATAAACATTGTCGAGGAATTTGAGGACCCGTTATTGAAAAGCACGCCGGCCTCTGAAGAAGCCAGCCACCCGTGTTGGCAAAACTTTAGAATGCAGTTCCAAATGAAGATAGTAACACTGAAGGTAACTCATTATCTCATCAGAATTTTAAGCTAAGATTCTTTCCTTGTGAATTTCAAAGAAAACGACTAATTTCTCAGTCCAATGTGATGCATTTGTTGGTTTTTTTTATAATGGATCAAATATCCCTGTAAATTGATGCTAAATGATTAGAAAAAATGAGTTCATCCACTGTTAGATGATCTCCAACACAAAACAATTTTTGCAGTTAAGTTTTTTGTAGTTAGAATTTTTAAAAGTAGAAAGTATTTGAGTTTTTTCATTGAAAGATTGATATTTGTTTAGAGGAGTGAAAGGAAGTACAGTTGTTCAATAAAATTATTACTTATCTGATATGGTTATGGTTATCAGTCAGCTAAATGAAACGTATGTACCTCGACTGATATAAGATCAGTGGAAATATTGAAATTCTCGACCCGAAATTCGATTCAACATATTTATAGAAAACAGCTTCGATAAAAATATTTTCGAGTAGTTCTGCAAAAAAAATATTGAACCTCATCAGGTTGCTGAACAAGTGAGTAAATATCAACAAAAATGTAGTTTGCTATCCTAAAAATTGTGACTAGGACTGAATCACAGGCTCAGAACTCAAAAATAAAAGCAATCACTGTTGTTTACAACTCTAAAAAGATACCTCAAACAATGATCGAGAAGTTGTAAACCTTACAAATTATTAGGTTGTACGACAGTGTTATTATTGAGTCGAAAGGGAGTTTCGCTATTGGAGTTTTCGTCAGGTACCTGTTCCGCATTGGTGTTCGGGTCGAAGCCTGGATTTAAAATAATGTTTGGTACCAATTCTATAATTTCTTGTTCTTCCACAGCTGGAATAAACAATTTACTTGGGTTACGCAAATCCTTGCCAAGTTTGTGTTAACAATAGCTGCACAACATTTAACATCTGTACACCACAGACATACTAGAAGATATTCAGTGCGACAAAGAAATTGTTGTACAAGGCACAATTCGATTGGTTGTTATATTAGAAATTTGAGACATATCTTTCAACTCTGAAACAATTGAATATCTCTTTCAGTTTAACTGAAAAACCAGAATTAATCATTTATATAAATTAATTTTGTAATTATCCACTGTTATACAAGGTCAGTTCGAAAAATAAGGTGAAAATTTAAATTTCGCGAACTATGAACATTAGATTGAACAACCTCTTATTGTAGAATAGTTTGATGCTAGCGTTTTTTTTTTTCAATCCTCAAAGCACATGATAAACAGCTAAAACTGTGGATATATGTTCAAGATGAGCGTATCAACTTTAAAAATAATGAAACAATCGCTAATCGAATGTACAGAGCCGCAAAATTTGAACATACACTTATTTTTTAACGTACCTCGTATTGAAAACGATAACAAACTTCCCAACCGAATTGAAAATTTGACAGTTTTGAGCAGTTCTTGACATCAACACTGAAAATCATATTCAATCTTTTACTAACAAGCATCCATTGTTTTTGTATGTGGGTTTATTACAGATGTGTCAGTATCCATTAGCTTTTTAGCTTCCATTATTATTATTATTATTATTATTGGTGATCTTACTTACCTCCTGGTACTTTACATTCCTGATAAAGTAGAAAACAAGTTCCTAAACCTAGCAGAATCAAAGTTCCCATCACAATACCGACAGCTACAGCCCAAACCCTCGTATCGAATTCATCAGCCCCTTCTAATAAATGTCTCGCCAATTCTTAAATGAAGATATTAATTAGTACAACAACAGAGTCCAAGCAGATGTGAAATATACCTATTTCATTATAAACATCCAAAGTTTTACCATAGACTTCCGTTATAACACCTCTGCCCAACTGGTTTGTTGCCCATATTCTGAATTGGTATGTGGTGTTAGGGACCAACTTATAAACTTCAATCTGTCGCTGAAAAATTATTGAAAATTCATAGAATTTGATTACCTTTCGACGATGCATGCTGTCAAGTCAACGAAATTATACAACAATAACAGACCTTTAACAAAGAAAAAATTGAAATCTAATGATAACCATGTTATATGAAATAAAAAACTATGCTACATCCATATCAAGTATGTTTCAATGGTACAAATTTTCAAGCAACACGGAACTCTTGATATACAGTGTCTGAAGGTTGAAAAAAGCATACTTTGTCCAAACAATATGTAAGAAAAACTCATTAATACAGTTTATTATATGATTTTCACTATAAATCATACAAGAAGCTGTATTAATGAGTTTCAATATGGACTTTCATCAAGTATGGGCCAGTTCTATTTAATTAAATAATATGTTTTCAAACTCCAAATTTATCGGGTTTGAATTTATTATTCACAGATATATTTAGTTTGTATAACATTTTATAGAGTCTTCAATATTGAGTATTTTACTTTTGCAAGAAAAATCATCTGGAAGAGTTTGAGAATTATTAGTGAAAAACTGCATTTTTTTATGTTTGGAATAGATTTGAAGCTAACTTAAAATAAAATCGTCAAATTGTTTCAACAAAATCTAAACAACATTTTCGATCCATTTTTCATAAGAAAACCCTCACTTAATCAGGCCTTCAATTGAATACCAAATCTATAGGGTAACTTTCAAAATAATAAAATATTTGGACACTCTGTAATAGTTTCAAACCCAAAAGTGGCGAATTTTTGGAAACACTATATTTGCATCTATTTTCAGTTTATCGGAACTGTTATGGAGTTGCTTCTGTATTTGAATTTTTTTGAATGGAATACTTGATATGGAACATACTCTAAGCCACCTCACATACAACTTACAGAATTAGGAGTGATGTGGTTGGGCGATATAGGTATCCAACTGTCATTTGTATAGGCTAGTCGGTACTGAGCAGTGAAATTGATAATAGGGAAACCTCCATTGCCCCCCACTTCCCACAAGAGGAGGGCTAGAATGGTACTCGGTCTCACAAAAACATTAACTAAAGCTGGCGGAGGAGCTACAAAATTGTTCAATTGAAGAATACTAAACGAATTGGGAATTATACATTTCAAATTTTCTACTCGAGTCATAAAAACGAAAACTCTAGACATTTTCACTGAACTGAGAGGAGTTTTACATCAGTGACGAAGTCGATTCAGTCTGCTTATTGCACGCAATACACTCAACAGGAAAGTTATATGCACTTTCATATTACAGATGAGTAATTGGAACTTCACAGTAACTGTACTGGGGGCAATTTTTCAATTCGTCTTCAGGCAGATGGAGAAAGTAATATCCATCCCGGGTGGATGAAATTAAATGACACAAAGCGCATACTGCCTATGTCCTTAAAATCTGGTTTTGATCAGAGACAAATGATCATCCAGATACTCCTGAACAGTATAATATGTTCTGTTAACAAGTATCATTTCAACTACCTTTCTGAATCTGTTGAGCACTCTTATTTCTTTAGTTTAAGCTAACAGATGGTCAGATAATTTGATCCCATTGAATATAATCGAGTCTCCAACTGAGAAACTAGTGGGAGACTCGATATGGATTAAGCTTTTGGGGATCTTCCACACATTTTAATAATGTATTCGTTTCTCAAAAACGGTTGATTCGATGTATTGCTTGTGTATCCCGTAGAACTAGTTGCGCATACTATTTTAAAAAATTCAATATTTTATCGCTACCATGTTTGTTTATTTTTGAAGTATGTTCTTATGTTTATTATAATTTGAAAGCATTCAGAACAAATAATCAGGTTCATGGTTTCAATACTAGAAATCGGAATGATAATATTCAGTTTAAGTCTCCTCTCGTATTGGGATAAAGATTTTTCTATAAACTCCCAGCGAACATAAAAACGTGCTCAACTATAAATGGTTTTAAGAAATTATTGAAGGACTTTTTATTATCCCATTGTTTTTATTAATGTTGATATTGCGGCTACGAGTATTGTATGCAGAAATAGGAGTCACACAAAATGGATATTTTTTTTCATTAAGCACGGTTTCCAAAATAAATAAGGCAGCTACCGATGAAATACCGTGAGGTTTGTAAAGAGGCATGTACAGACCTTATTTCATTGAGTACAAAACATTCGTGAGACTAGATATATTTGAGAACATGATAAGTACATAACTTCGCAATCATAGTAATCTGAGAATTAAGAATCAAAAAAATTTGTATATTTAACGTCCTTTCACATTTTCTTTTTCAATACTCTTTATTTTCTTGCACCCTTGGAAGATATGAAACAAGAAAAAGTGTTCTTGATGCATTAACAATTGTTTCACATCAGTAATATTTTTAATCTAAGTATGTCAAATATGGAAAAATTAGTAATTCAACTCTGGAATAATATTTCTACTTTGATCGAGATGGAAAATTACCCAAAAAAAGTAGTCACTTGATTAGCATAAACTTTCATATTACTTCTATTGAAAATCTGTTGAAATCTATAGTATAAACACCTAACAGTGAAAATTTCACAATAACTGTTTTTTGAATACTTAATGGATTTTTGAATATCGGCCAATTCCATCATATAAAATGAGACTAAGCACAATCCACAGAAATCTCCCTAGTTTTGAGAATTGTTATGGGGTTGTTTATCATCTTAAACAAAGCAATCAATTAAAAAAAAATTATATGATGTGGACTTTACTGGCCACACTATACAATTATTATAATTCTCGTTAATACTGACAAATGTTAACGAACAGAAATTACTTCTATTCGCTGACTGTGTTAGTTGTATTTATATTTGAATTGTGACCATTCACATCAGTAGATGATTAAGATATCCCACTTACTTCTAACTTTCACTTCGATTTTTGAGTTGACGTCAGAATTCACAACATTTTCCCTACTGCAAGAGTATACCCCAGAGTCATTTCTGTCAACTTGATGTATGAATAGAGAACCATCTTCCTGAACAGTCATTCGAGAATGTCTTTGAAAATCTCGGCCCTCCCTTACCCACATAACGTCCTTCGTTCGGTGAATGGGACATGGTATCGTCAAATTACGGCCGATATTTACGTAAAGCACCTTCGAATTGGTTCCTGCAATGAAAAATATTTGGTATTTTGAATGATTAAGCCAATGTCAAGACTGCTACCGGTTGTCAAAACCCAATGAACGAAAAAATACACAAATCCTGTGAATTTGTACATAATTCCATGATATTTATTCACAGACTTTATGGAAAATTCATCATTGTTAAAAGATATAACGAAGAATAACAACAAACATTAAAATATTTAAATTGTCACTAATGACAGTGACTGTGACAGTAGTGACAGGCTCTAGTCTAGGCCCTCCCTTTTTCCTTTTTTTTTGAGTTCTGCTTCATTTGACATTGACGTAACAGTAACCACAGATATTATTATAATATTGCTGCATTCGAGTTGATGCCCTGTAGAGCGAACAGTGCTTCTTAAGTTATTAAAATAGTATTTCTTGAATCTTATGCATCTTCATATAAGGTTTTAACTGCCATTCTGCCGATGATGTAAACAAGTACCTAAGTACTTAACAAGTACCTAAGTTCTAGGTTCAAGAAACACTTTGTCAATGGCGTAGGAAGCAGTTTTCGTTGGATCATACAGCTTCAGGGTTTGTATTATGAGAACCCTGCCACAGCTTAAATATAAACGAAGGGACTATTGCCATAGAGATAGAGTGGCGATAGAAAACTCAAGATCATAGAAAATGTCAATATGTTATTTTATACTGATATTTCTCGGAACATTGTTATTTTAACAGAAACATTTCTCGAAATATTCGTTGAGCAACTCAACAGAAATAATTCAGAAAATAAACAATCATGTGATATTGTGTGGAGTAAAGGAATCAGCAAAGTTGAAAGTAATTGCTCTTTGCATTCAAAGTTCTTGTAGAAATCCTCTCCTCACAACTCTACACCCAACGAATGAAGTCATTATGAAGAGCTAACTGTTACATTCCTGCCGAACAATATTACAATGAATAGATGTTTGCCATTAGAATTCTTTCTCAAAATCATCAGTGTTTTCGTTGAGTTTGACGTTTGAGTAATTGTTGTTTTTATTTTTATCGTTGTTTTATGATTCCACAAATAAAAAAGTCATCAAATTATAAATGTGTGTCTCCAATAATTAGAAGTGATGACCTTGTCAAGGATCACATATATCGTTTCCACTGTAACTGTCATCCATTAAAAAAAACTATTAAAATAATTTATTGGTGGGATGGAAAATAATGTTTTTCTAAACCTACAAACGAACAACCATGTATGCCATATTTGGTTTTCTGTGGTTCTGTGTCATTCACTCAAGGTCTCACGTCATTATTGACAGTTCAATCGTCCTAATATTTTAAAAACTTATTTAATTTGTCTCTAAAACAATTATTGTGTTCTAGTTTATAAAGTATTCCCGTTCAGTGTTTGAAGATATCGGAACATAAAGTGTCAAATGTAAGTATTTTTTTTTATATTATTCAGTGTTTCTAAATCTGTTAATGATTGATCAATAAATGATGAAGGAAATGGAACACATTTCAAATTCGTAAATCACATACTGAATGATAACACTTCAAATGTTCTCACCAATGTCGAAGGAATTGTTGAAAATACTTTAAATTTAATTGGAAGTCTGAAAAAGTATGATGCATTTTCACATTCTAGGTATATCCAAACCAAGTTTGAATAAATATATGACACCACCATACTTTGGAACAATTAGAAACACTTGTGAGTTGCACAAAATAATCTCTGCCGACTTGAAAAAAGTTAAAGATTGGTGTGATGCAAACATTTTATCTTTTAGCTTAACTAAAACAAATTTATTATCATTTAGATGCTCAATCGATGAAGATCAAGATCTTCAGATGATGTGGTGCTGCAGGTTTTCCGGGTTTTCCTGCAGCTGAAAAAGCAAATGCGCCACTGGAATCAATGAAGTTGCCCCACAGCGGCAATCAATTTTTATTGTTTTAATAAAAGTATTTTACTTTTTTTGAAGACAGATCACTGGAATCTAAAAATAACACTAAATTTCTAGGCGTCTTTACTGACCAGAATTTAAAATTTGTAAATCATGTTGAACAACTCACTAGAAAAGTCTCCTCTGGCTGTTATGCGGTTAGAGTGATTTATAAAGAATTGGGGTTCAGCACTGCAAAGATGGCATACTATGCACTCATAGATTCTCACTTATGCTACGAAATCCCGTTTTGGGGAGCATGCAGTCCAACTTTATTCAAAAGTCTATTAATTTTTCAGAAAAGGGCAATACGGTATATAGGAAACCTTAAACCAAGAGACTCATGTGGAACCTTCTTCAAAAAACATAATATTCTAACGGTAACTGCATTATTTATACTTGAATCTGCGTGTTTAATAAATAAGCATATATTAAATTTTGCTGCATCCTCTTTTATAACACCCGAAACTGCAGACACACTCTGAAACTCACTGTGCCAACAAAAAACATTACCAGAGACTCCATATTTTACAACGGTGGAAAAATGTACAATCATTTGCCCATGGACATAAGATCTGCCAATATAAACGACTTCCAATTCAGGAAGTAAGTCAAACAATTTCTATCTGATAGACCTTATTATACTTTGGATGAATATTTTAACGATAGCTTTTAACTGACTCATGCATATTTTTTATCCTTACTTATTAAGGAGCTCTAAGTTGTTACTTTTTATGACTACTGTTTTATAAACTTGACTTTCACTCTTTTATATATACATATCTTTTATATCCTCCATTTTAACATAGTTTGTAACCAATGCACTATTTATATTTTTATTTCAGTTGGTATGTTTTGCATACCCCATGCAAAAATTCAGTTAGGAATAGTCACGACAAAGCATTTGTTACCGACAGCGAAAGAATAGCACCTAAAGATTGACTTTCGACCAAAAGAGGTCAAATGTCAATCTTGTTGAAGTGCCCATCAGTAAGTTGAGGACCGCTCGGAGAGCGGGGGTGGATGGAGTGGGGTAGTAGGTTCTCCTCGCTAAATAGCTGGGGGGGGGAAGCTTCTACTTCGGGGCACCCTACCCGGGGGGCATTGGGGAGGTTGAATTTTATCTCCGATTTTTGCGACCAACTTTTACACACCTCTGTTTCTACTCAATGAATGAATTTTTCTATGTCTCAATTTAGTTGTTCAAGGTTTTTTATTGCCGTGCAAAAATCGTGTAATTTTCCCTCTTTTTGAATTTTGACATGGATAAATAACTTCTTTCATCATAGAAATGTCACCCGCGAAGGGAGCACATCATTTTTTGCAGTGAACCGACCTTTGACGAAATCGATATTTCCGTGTATTTTTTGTTAGGGATGTCGGCGTTGATTTCGGCCCTACAGGTGCTACGACGAAGGCGCACGCGCATGTATAACGGAGAACGGGACGCGTGACCTTTGACATTTGAAAAATAGCCGAAACCGGGCGACGGAGAGGAATAGTCCTGTCGAGGAGCAGGATTATCGACGAGAATGTACGGCCTTACGCAACGCTCTTGAGTATGCTGCCATTCCTCGTCGTCAAGGATATTGTTATTGTATAAGAGTTAGGTCTAAAGTGAGTGGGTATATTCGACCCTCCACCGCAACCCGCAAGGGTTTATTGTGGCTCACTCCTATTCACACTCGGCCAAATAAACCCAGCTTCATAGCTAAGCCGATTAGTTTGTATGGTGAACCTGATGCTGTCCGCAGCGGGGCAGTCACAAAGTATATGCTCTGCTGTGTCACAATTTTCCAGACAGAGGCGACACACACCGTCTTCCATATTGTATAAGAAATCTATATCAATATAAATGTGAAAGTTTGCGAGGATGTATGTTTTCATTTATGTTTGTGGCTCTTTCATGCCTAAACGACTGAATGGATTTTTTTTTAAATTTTATTGACTACACTGCGAATAACTTACACGAGGAGCAGGTCAGTAACGGTACACATATAAATGCAGATGGAAAAGAAGAAATTTTGAATGTATTTAATTCATATGATCTTAATATCCAATTCACTATTGAAGAGGAAATAAACAACTCTATTCCTTTCCTCGATATGAAGTTATTGAGATCAGAACAAAATATTATCATCACTGAATGGTACAGAAAACCAACATCAAGTAATAGATTTATTAATTACCATTCTATCATCCAAATAAAATGAAAATCAATTTAATAAAATCATTAAAAAACAGAATCATCAAAATTACCCATCCCGATTTACGAAACCAAAGTTTGTCTAATTTCAGGTATTGAACTATAATTTATATTTTGCCTCAATTGTTGATTTATAAAGATAATTTTCTTTTTTTAAAGTACAATATCTAAAGCAAATTCAAGTCCAAAATAGAGTGGATGTAAACATTGACATGCCCTACGCCAGGGCCAGGGTCGTATTCAGAATCTTGTTGATCGCAAATGCTATATCATACTTAGGAAAACTTTTTTATAATAACGAGTGAAATACACAAGTTTTGCAGTATAACGGGAAAAATGGAGATAATATGTGTAATATAAAAATATTTTCATTGGATTTTTCACAGCGCAATCAAGCGTTATATGTAAAATCAAAAGGAATATCAATCAAAATTATTCAACTGGATGAATTTGTCTTTTCATCAGTACTGTCATCCTCACCAATCTGAATTATCAGGGGCTCGATTTGTGCCTCTATTATGTTATCAAGCTTCCACATCTTTGTCTCGACTTCCGATATCACATGCCGAACACACTTCTCCCATTTCTCCGCTGTGACTCTTTTCAAAGCCTCATCAAAAAGTACTTTGAGATCTGCAAATTTGAACGTGGTGTTATGCTGAGCTACAAAATTCTTCACATCCGCCCATATTAACTCGATGGGATTGAGCTCGCAGTGGTATGGAGGCAGGCGAAGGACAATTTTGTTTTGGCCTGCTGCCATCTCATCGACTGAAGACGTTGTCGGAATCTTCTCTAACAGTCGCGAATGATAAGGTGCATTGTCCATCACAATCACAGCATTATCCTCCAGATGGGGTAGAACTTTGGAAAACCACTGTTCGAAAGATTCACCGTTCATTTCTTCGTGATAATCTCCAGTTTTCTTCGACTCGAAACACCACAGCCCTTCAGCAACAAACCCATTCTCATTGCCGATGTGACAAATAATAAGCCGTTTTCCTTTACCTGTAATTAGGAAGAGGTATGTAAGTAAATAAAACAAATACGAGGGTTACTTTTTATATATTGAGACAGAGGCAGGTCTTAATATAAATATAAGTTTACCTGATGGATTTGTTAATTCGGTGGACAGTCCATCTAGAAAGGCCCTCCTAGATGAGGTCACAGTTTCATCGACCCATACTTTAGGGGTAGTATGACCAGCATTAACCCAGGTTTTATCCATATAATAAATTGTTCTCTGTTGTTCCCTATAATATTTAATTTTGGTCAAATACTCTCTCCTCCATAACACAAATTCCTCTCTATCCAATAATAAACTATTGCGCTCCCGTTTTTTCCATACAAAATTCAAATGTTTCAATACTTTATGGAATGTTGGGGGCAGACGCGTGAGGGCAGACGTCGTTGACGGTTTAGTTAGTTTTGCAAAATTTCGATTCTCGAAGCTATTCATTATTTAGTGCAGTTGGCATATTTTTTTAGTTACTGCATTTTCAAAGTAAAAATATAAATTACTATCTGTTGCCTGCGTAGAATTTGGTTTGTCACATTGAGTTTGGTGAAAGACCATTTTAAACAAATTGTAGAACCTTCAATGAAAACATTCGTCAAAAATTCATCTTATGATAATAGATCATAACTTTTTCTCATAACCAATATTTTCTTAAATAAGCACACTTATTTATTATTATGTGAATATTTCAAATCAAAATAAATAACAATATTAATTTTATATAAATAAATAAACATGCTATTAGTTTCAACAAGTATTTTTGATTGAATACCCAAACGCATGCCACTGCAAGTAGAAAACGACTCGAACGGACCCGGTAAAGTATTATAAACCCGTCAATATCAGCAAATCATAACGGAACCACAAAGTTTTGAGTGAGCCCTCTGTGATCATTTATTACTTTGTACTAGTAGGAAACAAGATTATAACCCCTGTATATAAGTTGAACATGGAAAACGTCGCATGGCTGGCTAATTTTGGCGACTTGCTCTGATTTATTTGTTCAGTGCAAAGTTGTTTAACGATTAGACGAAACCATATCAATCATCCTATACTAGCCAGTTACTGAACGAGATACTGTGCGGTTTACTCAAAATGTAAACACAGTCGTATTATTAACATCCTGATAATTTCATGGAGGCCATACCAGTCATAAAGTTTATGCGAATGAGATCATGCATCATGTAAAAATAAGTTTTCCTCGTTTTGATACAGAATATATTGTTTCTGGAAGAAATCGATGCGTCGTGACGTTTTCGTTAAGAAAGATTTCCTGAAAATCGATATCATATTAAGATTGTTAGGGTTTGCTCCAGAAATACAGCTATTTACAAAAGTATTTCTGTGGTGGAGTAAACATGAAGAAGTATCATCAGTTTATCTAAAAAAAATCTACTTAAAAATACTTTTTATTTACCATGCTCTAGAAGAAAATAAGTTTGAAATTAAATCAAACATATCAATTTATAACAACACACAATTTATATGATATATGCCACTAGATTTACCGATTTTATAGAAAAACTTCTGTTTAAAAAAAATATGTGAATTTTCATTTTTCCTAAGAAATGTATTTTTACCAATTTTTACAATTGTCACAGATGTGGAATGTTCCTCAATTTGGGTTATTACAGCAAATGCAAGCTTGAACAAAATAAAGTTGAGTTTAATTCATGAATTATTCAAATTCACTTCTAAAAGTATTCAAATTGATGTTTCAAATGTTGGGTTTTAATTTTTAAAAGGATTTGTTTGTAATTCACATATTGGCAACAGCGCCTATATCAAGTTGAAATAATTTATACGTACCTAGATATTCTACTTTAAAAAAAGAAAATTATCTTTATAAATCAACAATTGAGGCAAAACATAAATTATAGTTCAATACCACCTCCACAAGCCACATAAACAACAGTTGTTTTGTTATTTATATAGAGGAAGATAGGTTAGGTGCACAAAATGTCATATGTCACAGAATGTCTCGGAACATAAGTAAACAGAACAGCACGCCTCTGAAATATGTCATCTTTGTTTGTCTCATACAGGTAACAGATTCCTTGTCCTTTATTAGCTTTAAACGATGTTGCCAAATGGTGAAATATTTACGAATCCCTTTGAATGTTGAATGCATTATTTCATTCCTGTTTTTTAAGTATTTAAGTAATGCTTTAAAGAAAAAGGTTGAAATGATAGGTGTAAAATTGTTTTAAAGCTCTTTTATGAAAACTACTTGATTTTCGTCAGGAGGAGCATTCCCCATTCTCGAAGCAGCTTTCGGTATGTTCTTGAGCTCTCTCAGCGATTCGATTTTTATCTCCTCAACTGTCGTAAAACGCCGTCCTTTCAAGGGTCTCTTCATTCTTGGGAACAAAAAAGTCACAGGGGACCAAATCTGGTGAATACGGTGGCTGATACATGATTACGATGTTGTTTTTGGCCAAATTCTTGTAAGAATTGATTCAATTATCATTTTAAATATTCAATATAGATACACTTCGTCTTTTACACTAAGAGATTTAGCGGAATCGTTCAAAAGTTATCACGAAAAGATTAACTTGACGCAACGCAGTAAGCCATCAAGCGTTGCGTCTACTGCAAGACGACGGGGGACGATGCGCGGGGGTAAACCCGAACGCGGGCAGACGTCGTTGACGGATGTGTTAGTTTTTCGAATTTCTTCATAGGAAACATAATTCGATTCTCAAGGCCATTCATTACTTAGTGCAGTTGGCATATTTTTTAGTTTCTGTATTTTTAAAATAAAAATATAAATTAATAGCTGTTGCCCGTTCTTATATTAACGTGCAGCGCTACTAAACCTAGAATCTTGAAATATGCAGGTAGGTTCTTTGTATAGCGTAAATAAGCATCAAGAAAGGGAATCGGGAATTTCCACCCCCGTGGGGGAAAAATGGGGGTTCAAAGAGTGTACTGAATTTCGTCAGTTTTGAAGTTGTAAACCTGAAGTCTTGGGCTGATAAAAAAATATTGTAACTATTTGGTTAGAACAACTAGTATAATATAAGTTATGCAATGTAATAAATAGATGGGTTTCATTTGATTCGAAACATATATTTTCTTGTAGAGCATATTAATACAAGCTTGTTTTCAAAAAAGTTTTTTACTATCATCTTTTCAAATTGTGGAAAAATTGCCATTACATTCTCAATGAAACTTCGTTCAGTCCCCGTGCATAATCAATCATCGTGTCACTCAGTCAACAAAGAGAAACAGTAGTTTGTTTCCTTCACAGGTGATCGCTGTGGAATATCTTCAGTTCGTCGGGCAGCGAATTCAGCGACGCAGCCGACTCTGACTTGCTTTGGTCGATCAATAGTTCGGGTTTCGTTGCAGCCCGACGGAGAAAATCCCGCAACAGCAGTTTTGTGGACGGACTTAGTTCTCTCGTACCTCGTTCATGATTCTGGTTTCCTAATTGCATTGTCGAGCCTTGATTGCGTTTCAATTGATCAGTTGGAAGACTTGTGTTAGTGACGAAAGACGGTTCGGCCAAAGAGGCGGTTCTTTGTTCTTGTCGTTTTTCCCGGAGGTGGTCGCTGGACGCGGGTTTCGGATAAAGATATTCGAGTAAGTGTGGCTGCTTTTGCTGTTGAGGTTTTATGAAAGTTTAGCTTAGATGGTGCGAAAAGCTGTTGGAGAATGTCCCAGAATGATCAGACCAAGATGTTCCTGGTGCAGGCCTTGACAATATGGGAATTATTTGGGACTTCATGTTTCCGCGGGGCATTTTTGTATCAAACATTTCTTTTCGATTCGGTTTTTTCTTTGAGTTGAGGGACTCAAAAAGGTAGTATTTATTGTTTCAATTTTTCGAAAAGAAAACTGCATTTCTTTCTGTTGAAAATTGTTCATCATCAGGCACCGTTGTGCGGAAGTAGCTCTGAGAACGCCTTAAGGGTTTTCCTGTAGTGCTTGTCTTTAAAAAAAGCTTTACTATGAATGTTTTGGAACAGTAACTATTTATTCGGAATGATATGATATAAAACGTTTAACATGCAAACCAATGCTCCCCTTTTACCCTCACGGGGGTGCCCCAGTTGGAATATTTGAAAATCCTTTCTTAGTGCAAATCTAAGACCTAAGAAGCGCCTATATACCAAATTGTAGCTTCCTAGGACTCACCAGAACGGAGAAACAGAGGTGAATGTGTGAGTGGCTTTCACATTTATAAGTATAGATTTTATTTTCGAACTAGTCCTGTAGAAAAATTGAGTTATATGGTAACAACCTGTAGATTTTCAGAGATGCGTTTTCTAATGATCGTTTTAAAATAACGACCCTTTCTTTGAAGATATAATTCCGCCGATTCAACAAACTCTACCAACCGTATACAAGTATATATGCACAATAGCCCAAAATTTCGTTTTAATAGTTTCAGAAAATTGTTAATCCAGAAAATAGAATCTAAACTTTTTTGTTTTGTGTACAAGAAATTGTTCTACATTTCAAATATGAAACAATACGTATATTTGATTTCGAATCTAAGTAAATATTGATGGTTATATTATAAATAATGATGCATTCAACCTTCTTCTTTGGACTCAATTTCAAGATATCCAAAACTTCGATTCAACGACCAACTCTATGGCTGTTGCTTGCCACGACGCGTTTACAGCTTGTGATAAATTGACGAAGATGATATCCTTGGAATTTGACTTTTTCATCGTTGTACAGGACAGGAAGTTCATGTAGATAATAAGTCAGCGACGGAGGTTTCTTGATTACAAAAATAGGAATCGTAGTCGTTGGACTGCTTTGTATTGAATTGCATTGAAATATTGTCTGCCTGAATAGTTATCGAAAGTACTACAATAATCCAGTCATTTAAGCTTAAATTAGGTAAGAATCTCGGAATTCGAGATACCCAGCTGTAAGTCTTTAAATACTTGTATATTGACACCCTAAAAGTTGTCTCAAAACCTACATATGGTAGGGTGTAAGCAACTATTAAATTTCAAGGTCAAAGGTCACAAAAATCGGTTTTTTGCGCTTTTTTTGGAAATATCTCATTTCCTATGGGTTTTTTGCTATTTGTATTATTATCAATATTGTAGAATACAAAATTCTCTATAAATTTTGTTTAAAAAAATTTTTTGTAAGGTGAACAGTTTTCGAGATAGAGGGCGGAGAGCACGCGGTCACAGCATCACTTCAGGTCAACCGGTGCCTCCGGTCGAAAACGCGCCATATATAGTTGATGATCTATCGATAAATCAATGATTATAAATATTTGTCAATTTTTATTAACTAAATAACTTATTCACTTCTTTTTAGAGTATATTAATAAAAGCTTGTTTTTGAGCTCACTAAGTTCACTAAATAGATTCTTGTTCAGAAAATAAAAGTGAAAAGGTATTTTAGAAATGAAGCATAATTAATATTTCGAATATTGAATCTAGTGTTTCTTAAAAATGTTTATTGGTATTTCATCGTTTCCAGGTAAAAGGTATTGAAGTATTATATATCGTTTACATGAAATTCTGAATTGAAGTGGTTCTAATACACTTTGCTGGGGCGCTCCTATACCAAATCCTACATCTCAACCCCAAATTTTAAAGTGAATACTAATAACACTCTGTACTATGTACATATTACTATTTCTGACCCTGACCTCTTTAAGTTTTATGTTGATACACTTGTCTTGAACTTATGTTCACAGTTTCAGCTGTTTATTTTATCGGTGAGAGGCATAAAAGTTGAAAGTGTTTGCGTGTTCGACGATTTTCTACTATCGAAAAAAATGAATTAAAGAATTTGCATCAAATTTTGTGTAAAAATGGAATTGAGTGCTCAAAAACACTTGAAATGTTGACAGTTGCATACGGTGATTGTACTCTAAGTCATAAAAATGTTTACAAGTGGTACAAGTTTTTCACATATGAACATCGCTCAGGAATTGTTGAATGACGTTATCGGCGATCCAGATTTGCTTAAAAGGGTCATAACTAGTGACAAATCATGGTTATGACATCGAAACCAAAGCATCATCCGTAACAATTTTGTAATTTTTAACCCATTAATATTCATTTGGAGTTGAAACTGGTTTTTTTCTCACCATTTTTTTCATCTCCGATTGTTTTTTGCGTATAGTTCGCACGCAAACTCCTGTGGTCTCAGCTACTTGTTCTTGAACCTTCAAAGTTTAAATATAATATTGGTTATAATTTCACTCAGTATTACTATCTTGCCTTCGCAAAAGACATTCTTATTCCATTGCCATTGCTATGGTTTGTTTAAATCTCAACATGTTGCTCACAATTTCTCTGATGTCTCCACTTGTTTTTCAGAAAACTGAAGGCATTTTCGAAGACAACAAATCACTACACGATTTTCTCAACACGAGTTCCTCGATGTTAACGAGATCTCGCCCCACTTCGCCGGCCAATCTACTGCGCATCCAATATTCAGTGGCACAGCTAGATTTTTAAAACTGTATTTGTTTGCATGATCTACACATTAATTGCTTTTTTCCTTTCTTTAAAAGATTCCCAATTTTTAAAGTTTTTATTCAGCTTGCCCTGTTTGTTTGTAGTAAATTTGATCCCCTTCCTGTTGACAGATTGATCTGATATTTGGTACACACATACAGTTTTCATGGCGATACAATTCAATAAATTATGTATTATTGTACATCCAAGATGTCCGCAGCTACAAAATGGCGGATTACATATATAACCTTGTGATACTGAAGCAATAAATGAACTAAACAAAATGATAAGAACTGAGTAACAAAATTAAAAACTAATTAAAAAACAATTAAATTAATTAAAAATAATTAAAAACAAAGCTTGACAAAAAAATAGTTAAAAAAATGTATGGTAAAACATTTTTATTGAAAAAAAAGATCTACGGTATTGATCAGATAAAAAAATAATAAAATCATTGAACGTATTATATGCATATTTACTCAGGTTATGCTTCGCCCAACGATTTTATAATTTTTTTATCTGATCAATACCGTAGATTGCTGAGGAGAGTGGTGTGATGACTGCTACCTAGGACCTTCCTAATTATTTTTTAGTCTTTAGCACATTATCTACAACATTATTATTTTTTTTATGAAACCCTTTAACATAAAAAAAACATTATTTCATTTCATAATTTGCATCAAAGATTGGATATTATAAACATGGATATTATTCCTTCTTCATGAGATCGGTTCTCAGTTATCGAATGTAATGAATGCATCAACTATTTAATAGCAGTTCATGCGAAACAAAAACCATTATCTTTAATGTAGTTGGATGTATTTAAAACCAACTTGGCAAACGTTTTATAATTTATTTCAGTGCATATCGCAAAATTTTCTGCTTGTGCGAATCGAAAGTCCACTTTGGCCTTGAGCCAAGTCAATGAAATTAACAATTAAAGTGTGAAAACAAATGCAAACAACAGGTAATCGCAACGGGAAGTTTTTTCAAGTACAGAAGTCGAAAAGTCAAATATTCAGTTGGCTCATTATAAAGTTATATAGATCTCATCGATACTTGATGAAAATCCAGTAGACATTTTCATGTTGATATCACAGAAATTTCAATAATGGAAGTGTATATAAACCCGTTAACGTTTAAATTCATGAAAAAATTCTCGATATGAAATGAAATGTACTCGGTTCTAAATAGAATTTAACGAGCTATATTTTTAAATGGCTTTCGAAGGCTTATGAATCCTAATAAAATAAATCAGTTATGCATTCATGTCACCCACCAAAAATAAGAAATTTAACTTTATATATTAACCATATTGCCACCCAGTCAGCTATCTCTCTTGAATGTATGAGACAATGTACTCTTTCTAATGTTTCATAATTTCGTATTTTTGTTAAAATGATTAACACTTGGCAACACCGCTGTAGGCACGATCAATTTTATTGGTCAACAGACACGCGGCAAATTTAAACTCTTGCTTCGAGAATTTTTTTTTTGCAAATATAAAGAGGTATTGGAACCGATTAGGATTGATGAGTATAATATACCCCTAGCTCGATCAGTCTATAAGCAAACCAGTATCATTTTCAACAAGCTCATTGGAGAAATATGGATCCCTGGGGAACACCACGATAAATTCATTACCTGAACTTTTTATCCATCTAGGAACAACTCAAAGACTGGAGAATGATGAGCTATCATTTTACCTGCATCTGAAATATCTCCTAATTACCAATTTCCTCGTTGCGAACTAAATTCAATAACGGGGAACAATTCAAGTCTATTTAATCATTGAGCAATTATCTGGAATTTTTACATCTATTGATTTCTAAACATTCTCAAAGGTTGAGTTTTGAACCTTCTCTTCCAAATGTAATACGTCATAATCGTGATTGTACTCGTGTCTGTTTATCAAAAGATGATTCGCGAATGTTGAATTGGTCTTTCCATTAATAAAACTACGTCTGTGCTCCTTCATTCTTCTCGAAAGAGTTCTTTCGGCTTGTCTGATATACAATTTTAGACAAGAACAAGCTATATCAACAGGAGGATCACCAAAGTAAGGTAGAGTTACGTAATGTTCAGTATCATTCTTGGAAACTGAATATACCTGGTTCATAGCTTGTTTCTGCAATTTTTTAGAAAGAATTGAGTCGATAATATCCACTACTTCGTAACCGTTGTTAACAGCAATATGTTTTATGAAAATCAGTTCTTTTACATTCAATAGTATGTGGATCATACTACTGAATGCTGCTACTTTACGTTGATATGGATATACCTACAGATGAATTGTGTATAACGATGTCCATGTAAGATGGAAAATTTATAGAGTTGTTCGTTTCCATCTCAGTAATGAATTTATTCGGGGGGTGGATGGAATTAACGAATTCGATCAACTGATCCAGCTGCCGGCCTGTAAATTGAACTGTATTTTTTGTTTAGAGAGAACAAACTCCGGACTGGTCAAATGGAACTTAGTACCAAACGTTTCGTATGCTACTGCGGCAGAAATCTTCAGTGGTATATGCTTCGACCATGAGGACGAAAGTACTATCTAGAAGCCTTATCACCGAATGACCAGTGTGGCACTCGTATTCGTTGATAGCTGTTATATGCTCTTTTATTCTTTGGTAAACGGTTCTTCTCGTTTGACCAATATGAAGTTAGGAACAGGAACCACAAGTTTGTTTATATTCTCTTTTCCTATTTGATACTAAATTTTTGTTTGTATTGTTTTTAATAAATTTGTTTTGAATATTGTGTGTTATCTAAGCTATGTCCAAGTTTTTCTTCGTCAAAAAACAGGCGATGTTTTTAGAGGGCGCGTGTATGAATTAACTTGTGGTTCTTTTCTAAACTTGATATTGGTCAAACAAGAAAAGAACATAGAAGTAGTTTCTTGAATGAATAAAAGAGAATACAAATAATTTTTTGAATGTGAAGACCAATTCCACATTATTAGTCATTGAGTACGTAGGAAAAGTTATTATAATTTAAAGTAGTAATGTATGTTGTGATAATATCAGAAAAAAGCATTACTTGAATACGTTATCATTGATTTTCATTAAGTATTGGACGTTTCCATGACTTAGAAGTATTTTGTTGGAAATAACCTACTGTCAGACTATTTATGTAGTCCGCATTCCTTGTTTCCTTCGTGAGTCTGGAATAGATCAATGAAAAGTGGATTTTACTACCGGTTGCAAACCGTCATTTCAAAATATTTATGTTTGCCTCGGCGTGTTCTGATTGTTTGATGTTTAATCAACCGTTAGAAGTTTGTATATACGTACCTATATACACACATCGGAAAAGTCTAGGGATATTTTTAAAATGGAAATAATTTTTTTTAGATCGCTTTAGGGAAAAAAAAGTTGACGGGTGATTATTAAACGAATGTAACTTACAACAAAATTTATTAAATGGTCAAAAATACTGAGTGCGCATATAAGCAAAACTAAAAAAAAATATGGCTCTTCTTTGGCACCCCGAAAAAAAATCATAATACAAAAAAAATTGGAATCAGTTCAAAGTATGGCCTACACGCTGGTTTATTACGGCCCTACATCTATCGTGCATCGAGAAAATGAGATTGTCAATGTCTTGTTGAGGTACATTTGCCCATTCAGCGATTGAAAGCTCTCTCAATTGAAACGTTGTGTGAATGTTCCCCATATGCGGAGTAATTCTTCGTTGAAGCATGTCCCACACATGGTCGATGGGATTCAGGTCCGGTGATTGTGCTGGCCATGGCAATACATCAACTCCTTCGTTGGTGAGCCAGTCAGTCACTAGACGCGCGACATGTGGACGAGCATTATCGTGCATTAGGTGGAAGTTTTCACCAACAGCACCAGCAAACGGACGGACGATAGGTAGAAGAATGGTGTCGAGGTACTGTCGAGCTGTGAGGGAGCGATTTGGAAAAACGAGATCGGTTCTGCCGCCGATCATGATTCCGCCCCATAGCATTACTGTACCACCTCTGTATGTGTGGACTTCCTGGACGTGTCTTAAACGTTCATTATTTCCAGGTCGTCTCCACAGTCTTACTCGACGAGAATCTGGATGAAATCCAAATCTGGATTCGTCTGTAAACAAAACTGTGGCCCAATCATTTGCATCCCAGTTTTGATGTTCTTGACACCACTCTAATCTTCTACCGCGATTGCCTCTCGACAAAGGTGGACATCTAAGTGGCCTTCTGTTGTGGAGATCTGCTTCATGCAGTCGATTTCTGACAAATCTTAACCAACTCAGGTGCTGTGATTGTCGGTTGTCTTCTTGCGGTTAAGACCAAAAATCGGTCTTGAACTGCAGTTGTAGCGCGTCCTCGCCCTGGATGTTGTTCGGCTGGACTGCCAGTTTCACGGAAACGCCGCCACAATCGACTGATAACACTTTGGGAGACCCCCAAACGAAGAGCTACATCATTTTGTCGCATGCCACCTTGAAGAAGCCCTACAGCTCTATTCATCTCAGCCAATGGTAAGTGATGGCGTTCCATGTTAAAGCACAATATTTCCAGTTTATTTGCTGAGCAAGAACTGCATAGAATGTACAAACTCGACACTTTCAGATTATTCATTTTAGCCGAAAACCTACAGTTTGTAAAAAACTTGATAAAAGATTAGTTACCGTTTTTGCAGGCTTTGTTCAACCCATAGAATTCTACAGGGTGGTCGAGTGTACCAATTTAATCGAAATTAAACGACCTCATGCATTTATTTTTATGATATTTAGTATGTTATTAAAATATCCCTAGACTTTTCCGATGTGTGTATATTACTCTTGCCCTCTTCCTAAAGAATTCGTAGAAATACTTTTAGGTTATCCAGTATTCAGAAGATATGACTCAGTGGATTGGAATTGAAATATGTCTTAGATTCAATTAACCTTGATCATTTCACTTATAATTCAATTATTGTAGGTTTGTGATGTATGAAGCCGTATGAGCAGCTTTAATCCCATTAGAAAATGGTTGGTGTTGTATTTTGTACTGATGCTGGACGCTATGAGCAAATCAGAATCCAAAAGTGGGTTATTCTTATTACCCAAAACTAATTTTGCATTTAAACTTCTTATAAACAAGTATGAATCAAGAGTCGAGTGTGAAAGCTCCATTTCAGTATGTAAGATCAGAAGAACCTCCCATTTGTTCATATTCAATTTCTTATGTTGTAGTCCATTTCCTTAAACAGCGGCGTAATAAATCATTTTAAGGTAGCTATTCCATAGGCGTGCATAAATGAGTCGGTTAAAAAGTGGAAAATGTATTATTTATTTTAAATATCCAATGTTGTTGTTTGATTCGATCTAACAAATTTCAAAAGCCTTTTCATAGTTGTATGTATGCGGTGAGGAACAAAAATGTGGAACACTCACATTGATAATTAATATATTACTTTTTAACCATACACCTAAAGTTGTGAATTTTACAGGAGTTTTTTCCCAACACCAAACCGTTATTTCAACACCTCGACATGTGTTTCGATCACCAAGCGACCATCTTAATCTTCCTCTTGAAGATGACTATTAGTTCAGCAAGATTGCTGAATTTTTACCAAAACGGCGTCAACCTTAAAAAGGTCATAACCGGTGACCAAATATGGTTATATGGTTATGATATCGAATACCAAAAAAAACACTCCAAATTCGAACAAATGTCAAGGTTTTGCTCACTGTTTTTCTCGACCACCACATGATCTTACGGTCAATAAGTAGTAAGTAGTATTATCTTGAAGTTATACGCAGCTTGCGAGAAGCAATACGAAAATAAAGTCCATTGTTGTGGAAAAACAATGGCGTTTGCATCACAATGTTGCACCTGTCCACTCGTAATTGCTTGTTCGTAATGTTTTGGCCAAAAAACAACAGCCTTAACCTCCGTATCCACCAGAAATGCCACGCATTTCAAAAATTTATTTTGGGTTAATTCTACGGCGGAAGTTCCAGTTCTATCTTCAATTACTCAGGTTGGGTCAGTTCACCAACTTTATTTTTCATTGTTGAAGTCTTCAATTCCCAAATTTTTGTTAGTTAGTCGACCGCTTCTACTTGAACCTTGTTTTTCAAAACTGAAAGCATATCGTTTTCTCTATGGTTTGTTGGCTAATATTTTTGTTTGTTTTAGGAACGGAAATGAGGAGGATTTGGAGTTGGTTTTTACTTACATAGCCGAAGAGGAAAGTCCTCGTCAGCCATGCTCATCAAAGAATATCGTATTCCTCTACCCCTCACGGTAGAGGAATACAGAATAGCGCAGCTCTACATGATTGCAGTAAGATATTTAATTATATGATGGAATCGGCCGATACTTGATGAAAATCCATAACTAACGTATTCCAAAAACACTTTATTGTGAGATTTTTACTAAATTGTTTTACAAAAACGAGCAAGTGTATTACGCTAGTTGCACCCACACCGATTTTGGACGGCCGATTTTATACCGGTCGATTTTATACCGGTAGACATGTGTGCAAGGTCCCGTTCCCTTATGTGGTTCACTATTGGAATTTGGACGACCGGTATAAAATCGGCCGTCCAAAATCGGTGTGTGTGCAACTAGCGTTAGGGTCGCAGGCGTCTCGCGACAGGCCCGGCACCTTGTTCCAGGAATCTCTAGACTACGACTGCAGTAGACTGAGTTGTTTGAGGCACCAACCTGGCAGGCTATGAGGAACCGCTCAGTTTCCAGCTTCAGCCTACTTGACGTGGGGAAAGCGAAGGTCGGGCGCTTTGATAAGCCAAGGTCTTCAATGTTGTTGAAGAAGACCCCATGCTTTGGCTTACCCTTGTACTGCCGCAGGGGTGAAGTGATCTCTGCGGCTTTTATATGGGCATTTTGCTGAACGCGTTCCAACTCGGTGACGGAGTTGTAGTCACCTCGTTCAGAGTCGAAAACTATACCGAGTTCATCAGCTGCTCGGGCAGCTGCCCTAAAGAAAAATGCCCCAATTCCTGCTCTTTCATGGTTGCGGTGGTCCGTACAGAGAACTCCTGACGACTTAACATGCTCCATCTAGTACTATTCTCTTATGGGGACACTCCTAACTCAAAAGTCCACGGCCTCCCCGTTGTCGGGAAAGTACAATGGTACAACGGAAGATTTGGGATGCAAACTCCTATGGAGGTGCATCAATTTGCGGGTCTTTACGTCGAGTTGATACAGCTCCTCCTTCACAACTCCAAACGGGTAGAGTTGGATTGTAACGGCAAGTATATTCGTTGCAGCAACTTTGTTGCGTTGACCAGCTCTATCGGAGTTTGTGCTGATACTTGCCGTAGAGAGATTTCTTCACTGCTATTATGTATTGTGAGTGGCGTTGTTCCACCCCGAGGTAAGTATACGCCTATCCGGCATCCAGATGGTGCAGGATGCTTCCATCTACGAGGTGTACATCCTCTCCGTAGTCCCCGCATCGTCCTCTGAGATGGACCATTTTGCACATTTGTCTATCCTGAATTTCATACCGATGGCATACGTGTACTCTTCCACCATCCTCAAGGAGTGATGGAGATCCTTTTCTCCAGAGGAATAAAGTTTAAGATCATTCATATAAAATAAATAGATGACCTTATGCCTCCAGTTTCCGGAGGAGCCACTTTTGAACCCTCGAGTATTTCTGAGAGCAACGGATAATGGCAATAGTGAGATGCAGAAGATAAGGGGGCTGAGGAAACCGCCCAGAAATACACCCCTTCTGAAAGTGACCCACCTAGGACTCTAGGCCTGACCAGATGTTATGGTGAAGCGAATCCACCAGAGTGGTATGTTGTTCAAGATATTTCACTACTTTGTCAGATACCGCAAAGCATCTGAGCTTATACTGTTTCGAGTCCTGCGTTACACATCTATCGATGAGCAAGTTCTCTTCACGTCTAGCGACTTATCTCTTCGACCCTCTCTGCTCATATATCCGTCCTCCGAACACTAGGTCAACTATATAGCTATATAGCCCTGCAGTCGAAGATAGGAAGGTTTTGGGCGGAAAAGGCGGCATATTCCGGATGTGTTTCACACCACAGAGCGTGCATTCTCGCGGTGTATCTCTTGGTGCAGGCTCACTACTCTCGTTGTCATTGCCAGGGTTCTCATATGTAGTCAAATCATTGTTATGGGTTCCACCACCTTGCCTATGACCCCTCCGAGTGGGTCGATTGTTGGGGCCCCTTCCTCGACTACCGAGAACCAAGTTTTAGGGCTACCTGGTTAGCCCTGTAGACCCACGGCTGGCACCGGAAGCAGAATAGTGTTTTCCCTCGCGAGTGCGGCTCGGCTGCCGGTCGGTTTTGCACCAGGTACTATGCCAAACAGCACCACCTACAAAAAAAATTGGATTCAGGTTCCACTTCAAAGTTGACTCTATCAGAAATTACTTTTACCCTGGAGGTAAATGTCACCTCTTCTCAACAGTAGAAAATGTTTCGTAAGTCCGGGAATTTTGTTTGAGCACCCTGTTAGCGTTTTGCATTTATGGTGAGAATTCGTTACGTTCTGCTAATAAGAAACAGAGTATACCTATATGGATTATCAATTTGTTGTTATTAATTACAGAAAAAGAGTCGGGAAGAGAGCAGTGGAGCTGGTAGCGGTGTTGAAATATTGATCAACGAACCTTACACCGATGGGCCTGGCGGACAAGGACAATATACCAGGAAAATATATCATGTAGGCAGCCATTTACCAGGTTGGTATAATAATTATCTTGGGCGAGGATTATATTCAATAATAAACAAACTTTTTTGAGGTTAGGTTTCATATCTCGTATCTTTCACACTTGTTTTGTTACCTTTTAGTGTACACAGATTAGATTACCTGTATGTAACTTATTACATCATCGCTTTAAGATGTCCTGGAATAAATAAATCGGTGTGTAAGTGTGTGCTAAGTACGAAGTTTTATGAATATCATTTCAATAGCATAACCTCTAATATACTACAAGTACCTTTCAAAGGCTTTGGGTTAATTTTTATTATTTGTTTTCGAAAAAATATATTTGTATTGACTTGAAAGTTTTAACATTTCTAAATTCTGCCGAACAAAAGTATTTGTTTGATGCCAGAAACTCTCCCCGTATCAACAAGTCGATTCTAAGCACATTACCGCTGGTTGTCTTTGTAAATCCTTGTTCCATGGCTTATGTTCTTTCAATAACAGTCAGTGTAAACAATATTAAGCCAATAAAAAATCAGGAATAACTAGCTTTGAGTATTACTGTTGTTTTATACAAGATGTCATATTCGTTTGTTTACTCTAACATGACGTAATTCGCTCTGATTAGCGTTCAAGATATGGCGGCTTGCTGTATTTTGTAGTTTTATTTTATCGAATACAATAAATGCATGTTTTGTAATCCATTAATAAAGTTTCATTGAAAAAATACATCATTTTATTGATTTTCACTTACTGTCATCATGCCTTTTTTTGGTAGTTATGGTTTTCAGTCACACCTTTGATAATTATTTTCCATCACTTTGGGTTAAACTTCTAATACTATCTTAATTTCTGAAGGATGGATAAAAGGCATTTTGCCAAAGACGGCCCTGATGGTGGAAGAGGAAGCCTGGAATGCGTACCCGTACACGAAGACCAGATACACTTGTCCGTTCGTAGAGAAATTTTCACTAGAAATAGAGACTTATTACTACCCCGATAATGGCCACCAGGAAAATGTTTTTCACTTGTCCGGCGGGGATCTGAGAAACAGAATTGTAGGCAAGTAGAAAAAAAATTAGGTATTCATAGCTGCTCACATCATGAGCGATGCTTATTAATAATTATATTCAACACACAGACATGTAGCATTGATTCAATTTTATGAACCACAATTTCATCTTGCATTTCGCATAGTTGTCTTATAATTTATAATGAGCTACCGGCCAAATTGAAAAACGTAAAATATGTTCAAAAATTCGAGTCTCAATTTATCTATTATAAACAGCAAATTTTTCTTGGGAAAGTTGGAATGAAGTTTGAATGCTTTGCAGAAGAATATTGATTCAATCATAATCGTGTGTAATTGAAAAAAATTATCAGAATTGTCAGTGTGAAAAACCTGGTGTGATCAAATCCAAGCCACAAATGGACGTTGTTTGGCTTTGGGACTCATTAATAATCATTGCGAGTGTCAATCTAATTGGAAATTGCACATGATTGAAATTAATTGGCACATCTGTAGGTATAATAGGGATTCGTGGTAGTAATATATTTTCACTTCGGAACTTGCCATTCAAAATTCTGGCTTCGATAACGTTTTTCATCAGTTGTTTAATGACTTATCGGGTGCCGTTGCACAGCCGTGATGGATTCAAATTACGTAGCGATCCAACCTACAGTTGTAAATTATGCGGTGGCATGCCTGGCAAATCCAATGAGTTCAAGAATTATGTTGGATGATTCACAGATTCGGTGACATCGCCAAATATCTATGCTCGATGAATAAACAATAATAGTGGTCGAAAACTCTATAGGCAGTGAGAGAAGGCTTATTTTGTGAGACAGACAAGAGACCAGCTTCGTTCTCATCCCTACGGAATAGGGATGAGAGATCCTGCCTGGCGGGAATAACTAATCTATGCTCAGGGTTAAAAATGAATAAATTACTAAAATGGTTATTAAAAAATAGAGAGTTATGTGTATTTTTTGATGCCACATCATAAAAAAATTTAAAAAAAAAATGTCCAAAAAATTTTAAAAAAATGTTTGGGGTGGAACACCCTTATCGTTTAGGGGTATGAAAAATAGATTGAAACCTATTCTAGGACCTTACCGAATATACATATAAAAGTTCATGAAAATGGGCTGAGCCGTTTCCGAGGAGTATGACAACTAACACTGACCCGAGAATTCTATATATTACATAAGTTTAATTTTAATAATTTCGAAAGTTTTTTCATCCGAAGTAATATCTATATATATTTTTCCAAAGATGTGATAGATGTGGTGAAAGACCAACTGTACGGAGCAGATTACGTAAAAGAAGAGGATCCTTTGTATTATGTCTCCGAGAAATCAGGCAGAGGTCCTTTGACCACGAATTGGCTAGAGGAATACTGGGACGAAGTGTGCGGCAAACAACAGCCTCTGCCCAACGGAAAATCGTTGATGTGTGCTTATAAGCTCTGCAGGGTGGAGTTTCGATATTGGGGGATGCAGACCAAAATTGAACGATTCATCCACGACACAGGTAAGGCAAGGATTAGCCTCAACGGGCGAATCCAAACGTTGCGTTTGTAACCCATCCGAGTACCACTCGAATTTGATATTTTAGATTAGGAAAAATGAGGGTTTCATAATAGAATCTTGCGATATCCTTGGTGTTGATAGAAACTTGAAATGTTGCTGGGTCCTGTTGGCAAACAACAAAGACTCATGTAAAATTACTTTTCAACAGAAGAAGAAGAAGAATACTTCATTCATTTAGATGATCCTAATATAGTAAATATATATTTGTGACAGTAAACAATCGTTTGGTAATTAGTTTTTTTGGCGATTCTTTGAGAGTTCTCAAGCTACCTTATAAATTTATGTACATTCAGTTTTCAAGTTTTTGTAAGAGTTAAGGGGTATCACACTTTTACTTTCATAGAAAAGCAAAAAAATCCGGCTCGAAAGACCATCTTTAATTTACGATGACATAATGGACTGTGAGTATGGCTGCTGAAAACATGAAAATTCTCTTTCAATCGTTTTGTTATGAGGTTAAACCAATTTTTGAGGAGGGAGAGATTAAACGAGACTGCACATATTCACTATTTTTGAGCTGTTTCTTTTTCGGTCGTGAATCGACTCTCAGAATTTGCATTTTACTAGTTAGCCGGGATGCGCGGACCTCTCGATTCGGAGAATGGAATTTACTGAACTTTTGAGGGTTTTCCTCATTTTCTACGGATCATTTGAAGAATACCTTGGTTTGTACGATTGATTTTTCTAGTGCAAAGTCCAAATAATTTTCATCAAGCCAACCCTTGGCTTCAGCAAAAAAGTAATGCTTCATCAACAAACGAAATTCCTTTTTATCCATCATTCCCAAACTAACAAAAGTTGCCTCACTTAAAGTGTTCTATTCTACAAACTAACAGTCCAACAGCTATGAAATTTTTTCTCATATCTTTTGAAGGTTAGGGTTAACTGAAAATCACATGGATTCAATACTAGTAGCGCCATCTAGTGTTAGTCTACTGTCTTTTCAGCCATCTAGATGCCAACTGTCCATTTGATTGAGTTTTGATGAGGAAAGATCGGGGGAGAGGTTTCAAAGTGAAGCAGTGACCAGAAGTGAGAACTGATTAGTCTCTGCTTAAGGGGCACAAAGGCCCCTTAAGCAGATAGTTTCTACCTTCGCCAGAAGAGTATACAACTCTTTACAATGTTAAGATTTGATTGCACATCACTAAATCCAAATGGAATTTGACTGTCTTCATTCCAGCTTCACCTAAACCATTGAAATGAGGTTATGCAGGAACACTGAATGAGAAAAATATTTTTTCTTTTTCCTCCGCTTCTTTCATGAATTCTCAATGAAATTAGTGCCACAATCACTGTAAATTTGGGAACAACCAATACGTCTTCAAATGAATTTATGTAGCGCACACAGAAAAGCTTGATACCAGTTCCAAATGTATGACTTTCGTAACAAAATATACAAAAAGGCATGTATAAGGTTTTAAAGATTTAACGCTTCACATTATAAACATGTAAAAAAAAACTATCCACATTCATTCTTGGTAATAATCACTTTTCATTGATATGAGAAACGCTCATTGATAATAAACGGATATTATTTTCTGATGGCACAGCTCTCAGAAAGACGATGGTTAGAGCTCATAGGCAAGCTTGGGCATGGCAGGACGAATGGCATGGTCTAACGATGGAAGACATCAGAGAGATCGAAAGGCAGACGCAGTTGGCTCTGAAGAGAAAAATGGGACATGTAGAGGATGAAATAGGTAATATATCTTGGTTGTTGACAATTTCAAAATTCTAAAATATATTAAAAAGGAATCAAGCTGGATGCGAAGTAAATTTGAGATTATTGTGACAGATTTTGATATGACACTTTGTTGGCAGATGAAGATGACAATTTGAACAATAGCACTTCTAAAGAAGATCCTTGTAAAACGTTGGCTGCTACTCTAGGAAGCATAGAAGTAGCAGAAGATAGTCCGTTGATGAGTAAAAACGTTAACATTCCCACAATACATACTGCTGCTAGTTCGGATGCCGATCTGTCTCCAGAAGATGAGGTTATAACGGTTAAGTAAGTGTGTGTGTCTCACAGATTTCATTTCAGATTTATTTTATTGAAATTAGTAATTGACATTAGAATTTGGACTTTATTTATTCAAATTATGTGGGTCATATTCTACCATTCAGAAATATGAAAAAATAAGTACATTAAGATCACAGCAAAATTTGTTAAAGAAAAGTATAGGTCTGTTCCGTATTTCAAATCATAATACTTCCCAAAAAAAAGAAAACTAAAAATTCCAAACTACATTAATTCACAGCAGATGCTCTAACTGTTCTCCATTACCTGCCATACATTTGTTTAAGTTAGTCCCGAATGTTGTTCATATTTTTAGAAGCATTTCTAGATTTGTGCCATTTTTCGGGTGAATTGGTAGTGGTTTCTATATCTGCCGTTTTATACACTACTGCGGTAGATATTATCAAAAGCGATGAGAACGAAGTGCTTGTATTGTTCTTACTCTCACAGCATTGGAATTTGTCCCCAGTTTTATTCCACTGATGGCGAGTGTAGCTTCGGTTCTATTGATTAGAATGAATGGACTTATTTGTGTGCAATTGAGGGCAGGTAGCCATATTTCATTTATGTTGATTTCTTCTTCCTTTCTATTGAAATTTTCTCCGAGTTTATACATTTCTGGAGTTTAAAAAAAATCTGTTTAAGATCTGTTTTTCCGTTAGTTCAGATGAATTTTACAATGACAACGCTTTTTATGAATTATAGTTTACTACTGTATGTCACTATAATATAGCAAATTTTTTTATTGAAATTTTTTGAATTTTAAATTGTATAGCATTTATTTTGTTTCGTAAAAATGTGTTTGACACCCTATTTTATATAAATAGGCTTCTAGGAATTACTTTTATACTACTTTGACATAGTTCATAATCGTTTATCAACAAGAACTATTTCTTAGGACAATAAACGTATTTCTCTGTCTCTCTCTCTCTCTCTCTCCGTTAATCAGCTGTCGCTCCCATACGAACGACAACTCTGAGAAGTTGAGAAACTTATGCGAGCTAAGGACTAACGAGGTCTTACCTTTTAACGTGTGATTCCTAACACTTTGTGACATTGTTTTTCCACAAATTACCTTTTATGTACTTTCCTCATTCAAATTCTAAGGATAATGGTCACATAGGGGATACAAAGATGTCCACCTTGAATTAAAAATCGACCTTTTTTCTGTATTTTTTTCTCAACAGATGTGTGAAGATATTCAATCTTTTTCGTTTTTGTTGCATCACACACTATAAAATTTTGCCATTAGCCTTGAAAAACAATGAAAAGTTGTTAGAATTTAAGAATGACTTGTAGATGCTTCAGTTGTTTGAAATTGGCTGAAACTTGATGTCTCACAATAACGTTTTACTTGAATATTTTGCAAAATAAACTATCGATCATTGCAGAAGAGAACACGACAAATGGCAACCATCGAGAACTCTCCACTCGCCCAGTTCCTCATCGATAAAAAGTTTCGATCTACAAGTGGCCAATTGGCGAATCGAAAGTTTAGGAAGAGACTCAGAGTCTGCATCTGACGAGGAGTTTTTCGACTGCGAAGGTAAACGATTTGCTGTTTCACATATCTTCTGAATTAATCATTCACTTTTCGTAGATATGGCAGATTCTTCCTTGGCCAAATGGAGTTCGATGGATCTTCTCAACGAGGAGGACGGCGACACAAACTCGCCTTCCGTAGTCGATACGAATGGTGAGTAATGTCGAGGGTGCCAGTGAATTTAACCTCCTTGGAAATGGATGAGAATTTTAAATGTTTCACGATTTTTGCACAGATGACAGTATTTTCTCGGCTTCATTTTTGCAACGAGTGGCGAGCGAGAGAGGCGCTAGACGACACATGCAGAGAGGCAAAATGAACTCGCTTGATGCTTCTTGTCCAGAGTCTCCGATTGCTTTGCCTGGACATCTCCCATGCAACACTACAGTATTGATATTGATATTTCATGCTGGTAGCGTTCTGGGTAAGTCATATCTTCATATTTTCCATATGGTTAAATCGTATATTATATTTGAAGCATATACAAAATGAGATCAAAAAAAAAATTCGGGTACGTTTCTTATAGTTTGCTTTGATGAATGTATTAGGTATGATTTTAGAGAAAATGTTAATGCGCCAAAAGTAAATTGTAGGTAGTTTCCCCATCAGAACTCTATGCAGACTTGGCTCACACAGGAACAGGCCTAGGATTATCATTAGGGAGGATAGGGTTTGATCTTGGCGACCCCCAAGGGTGCCCAATATACCAAAATACCTAGTGCTATGTATGGTTTAGAAGAAAAAAAAGTTACGGTGTTATTTTAATAATAATAATATTTATTTATCCTTTGAGACGTTAACAACGTATAGGACATGTCAGTACAACACGTTGAAATAGTATAAAGAAAATAAACATACATAAAGATAAAATATCTAAGTAGTTTTAAAGTATAAAAATGTATAAAATATAAAGAAAAAAAAACAAGATTGGTCAATATTGGATGTATAATAAAATAATAAAATCAGGATGAAAGTCTGGACCGCAATCAGCTAAAGTTGTCTAAAAGGAATTCACTGACACTGTAATAAGCCTTAGACAGGAGCAAATTTTTAACTTCTCTTTTAAATGACATCAAACTCATGGTTTCAAAGTGATCGGGTAGGTGATTGAATAATTTTATTCCCATATATTTGGGTGACTATTCAAATTTAGAGGATCTGTGTGGATTTAATATGATATGAAGTGCTGTTTGCATGATTCTCTCCATGGGATATCAAATAATTTTCCGATAATTTTTTTTTGGGGAAATAAAAACCCTATCTTTGTTGGTGGCATATCCCCAAAGAATCACACTGTAGCTTAAATGGCTGTAGAGCAGGGGTTCCCAAACTTTTTTGTACCACGCCCCCTCTGGTTATTTGGAGACCCTCCCACGCCCCCTACACATATCAATAATTGTACGTATGGTGAAAATTTAAACAAGTATTACATGAAAAACGAATATAATAACTGATACAAAATTTAACATTGTAACACAGATACATTTTCAATTTAAGGAAGGTGAAACAATAGGCCTACCTACTTACCAAATGGAGGTAACAGGTGGTGGGGGTTATGGATGGCGGGAGGGGAGTATTATTATGAGGAAATTATTTTTGTATTTTTTTTTTATTTATTTCATTTGGGTGTCACGCCCCCCCTGGACTTTCTCCACGCCCCCCAGTTTGGGAACCGCTGCTGTAGACCAAGCTATATTATACGTCCAGCAAGGCATGCAAGGGCATAAAATGTTTTATTCTGGAGAGAGCATAATACGCTTGGTTAACTTTTTTACAAGTGACTGTAATGTGTTCAGACCATCTTAAGCAATCATCCACATAGACCCCTAGAAATTTTGTAAAATTCGTTGATACCAATTCCACCTCTATAATATCAAAGACAGTAGGATGTTTATCAAGACCGATGGAAGAACTAAAATGGATACATTTTGTTTTATTCAAGTTAACAATCAGATTGTTTAACTTGCACCAATCTAAAAAGTGTGTTATAAACCTTTCCGTTGATGACTTTAATTCCTCTAGGCTGTGTGCTGACACCGCTAACGAGGTATCGTCAGCAAAGAGAGTGAGACTATTGTTGTTGATGTTGAAGTATTTGGGTAGATCATTGACGAATAATAGAAAGATAAGCGGTCCCAGGACAGAGCCTTGAGGAACTCCTGAACTAATTGGTTGAGGATCAGATAAATTAAGTAATAATTTTTATCATGACACATATTACAGTAGTTTCAAAAAATACCGGGATGAATCATCATTCATTTATTTATCTGATGTAAAGAAGCGATCAAAACAACACTTTAGTTGGTTGTTCTAAATAGAAAAAGACTTTTTGTTTGATTCATGAACAGAATGCTCCTGCTTGTTTTCATATTGAAATTTCATTTGTGTTGCAGATGCCAACGTAGACATGGCCGCAAAAAAATCAGACGTGAGCACTTTCCGGGGTGCTTTCGAATCCGTCATGCGTCAACACTACCCCTCGTTGATAGGTCACATTGCAATAAGGTTGGTGTCTTGTCCTTCCATTTGTACGGAAGGTTTGGGTATATTGTCCAGGTACGATACAATATGCAAAATAATTTTGTTTGTATTCAAACTCAAAATCTGTTGCAGTCTCAGTCCGTACAGTTTCGATGTATCTCCCTCGTGTACAGACGTCCCGCAAATAACGCACGACTCCATCCCCATCGGTGCTATTCCTATATTGGCTTCGTCATCTACGGATTACGTTGAGGCTGTGTCGCGGACAATCAACGCAGCTAATGCTGCCTACCAAGGTAAGCTAATAGGACCAGTCATTTATTTAATAATAATAACATTTATTTGGTAAATAGGATACATTCCTGATATACAATAACAAAATTATAACTAAGAAATAATTAATTAATATTCCAAAATCATGACTTATCATCTTATTTGTAATAAATACAGTTTGATTTGTTAGAAATATATTGCAGTAGATCAGTGTTAAACCTTTTTAAGGTTGAAGCTGATTTAATTGAATGAGGCAATTTGTTGTATGTATCAAAACCTTTGACATATAATAATATAATAATAATAATAATGATATCATTTATTGCCCAACAGGAAACACCCAATTACAGAACATAATTGAATACATCAGTACTGATAATAGATAAGATAAATCAACAAATCATGTTCATTCTTGACATGCTATATGAATATAACATAACAATAATATACAGTGTCACCATTAAAGTGCGCACCATATGGGAAACTTTTTTTTCGAAAAGTTTCAATGAAGTTTAACTTTGGCACATGTTTGTGCTGAGACCCACTGACGTTCAGTGTTTGTCAAATTCAACTTATTTTTTGAAAAAAATTGCTATGTGCTATAAAAATTTTAACATGACTGGTGAAAAGTTTCAATAACATGGCTATTTTCTTAAGCAAACATCAGTACCTTCAATTTTGAAAAAGCAGACACAACTCAAAAACTGCAATAAGTATTAATAAAATTACTATTGTTGAAATTACATTGAAATTTCAATATTCCGTATTTACAGATTATTTATAAACACTAACTAGGGTGGTGAGGATGCTTAATCACGTTGAATAAAATTTTTAAGTAGATCTTGACAAACAAAATACATGCTATGATAGTGCCAAGTTGTTGATTTACTTGTCAAATTTTTAACAGTTATTGTTGCAATAATGTTGTGTCTTCAGGAAATAATAGAAATAGTTTTAATATGTGGTGAGAATACACCATACCGGCAAGTAGCTAACATTTTTAATGAACGGCAATCCAGGAAAAAATGTTCAACATACTACTGTGTCAAGGATAATGTCGAAATTCAGAGAAACAGGATCCGTAGCAAATCAATTTAAGAAATAGCACACTCCAAGTAAATATGATGAGTAGGCCCAACTTAACATTTGTTTAAAAGTTATTGAACACGGGCAAACAAGCATAACCGATATTATAAAAAATACCGATTACAAGAGAGAAAGTGTTAGAAAAATTTTATTCAAGAATAAATTTTGGCCTTACAAGCCAAAATTTTTAATTTACACATTAAAAGAACGAGATTTTCATATCCGTTTGGGGTTTTCATTCTGGTTTCAAAGAGAGAGAGAAGAAAATGTAAAGTTTCCGTATAAAATTGTATGGACAAATGAGGTAACGTTCTCCTCAAATGGAACTGTAAGTTCTCTAAATTGCCGATGGTGGGCCCAAGAAAATCCCAATTTCACAGTTGAATGTGGTGATCAGTATTCATTTAAAACTAATGTATGGTGTGGGATACTTAACGACCAAATAATTGGGCCACTTTTCTTTAGGGAAAATTTATCATCAGTCAGTTATCTCAACCTTTTAAATAATGAGGTTAGTGAAGTTTTAGATAATATAACTTTAAATATTAAATACGACCTATGGTATCAGCTTGATGGCGCACCAATACATCACACGGTTGCTGTAAAACAGTCCCTCAAACAAATGTTCAGAGGCAAAGTTATTGGGCGTAACTGGGAACATTATTGGCCACCTAGATCACCCGACTTGACGCCTTTAGACTTTTTCTTGTGGGGTTAACTGAAACAAAAAGTGTACCGAAGTAGACCATTTACTGACATACAACATCTGGAAAATACCATTCGCGAGTGCTGTGCAAATATAAATAGTGGGTCGCAGTTGGCCGCATCATTTTAAGTTGAATTTAAAGCACAAACAAGTGCCGAAGTTAAACTTCATTGAAACTTTTCGAAAAAAAGTTTCCCATATGGTGCGCACTTTAATGGTGATAGTGTATAACTTCAAATAGAAAACAAAAGAAAGAAAACTAAAACAAAAGAAAAAAACTGATAGTATAACTATTCATTGCGCTACTTGTTAAGAATGGTTATAACTGACTCTCTCGCAACACAAAAAAAAACAGTTTTGATATCACTTCAAGATTTCCATTGCAACTCTTTTATATGATTCACCGAGCAAGTATTAATATCGCAAAAGCTGCATATTGAGTTGTAGTTTTCACACATATATTTAATTTTGGAGAATGCAATATTATGTTTGTTCGTGCTGCAGAGCAGTAAAATGTGAGATTCAGCCGTGACTGAGTGACATATACTGAGTTCATACTGTTTTTGGTATTAGTTCTATGCATTTGTATATCAAGATTATGTCTAGTGTAATATTGATGAATGCTATATAATGAAAACAAATGTATTTTTTAAGATATTTTCCAGTTGAATCATGCAGTTTTATGCACGAATATCATTGTCAGGTATAAAAGTCTCTGGGATACCGAAAGCCACGGGACGAAATCTGGTGAATACGGTGGCTGAAGCATGATTACGGTGTTATTTTGGTAAAAAAACATGATTCTCCTCCATAAACATTTCTTTCACTTTCTCACCACTTTCATCAGTAGTTGATGTGCTGGGTCGTCCAGGGGAGCGCCGTCATTCAAATCTTCTCGACCTTCTGTGAAAAGTTTGTACCACTTATAAACATTTTTCTGACTCAGAGTACAATCACCGTATGCTACTGTCAACATTTCAAGTATTTTTGATCATCCAATTCCATTTTTTAGACAACATGTGATGCAAATTCTTTGATCCATTTGTTTCGATAGCAGAAAATCGCTGAACATGCAAAACATTTCTAATTTTTATACCTCTCACCAAAAAACTAAATATGCTAAACAGCTAAAACTGTGAAATATGTTCGAGACGAGTGTACCAACATAAAAACAAAAATAAAATGCTAATTGAATGAAATGTAGCTCGCGAAATTTGAACAGTCACCCCTTTGACAAGTTTCCTGAATGTTTTATGACGAGGTAATATTTCTAAGTTCCCAACTTCCTTATTGCTACCTCCTTTTCAGAATTCATCAAGTCTGAAGAGGGCCTGGGCTTTTCCGGTCAAGTTTGTGTCATGGCCGATTCCATCGGTTCAATATTGGCATATGATTCTTTGTGTAGGACGGTGAAATACTCTTCCAGGCACGGAAGCGAGAACAGTATTCTGGACAGCGATCTACAGAAAGGTTCGTGATACTTTGAAGGTTGGAAGACAGCTTCGAGTTTTGTTATTTTGTTCCAGATGACATACAGATAAACGAAAGTGGTTATTTAGCTGCTCCCTCTCCAAGACGCAGGTCGTCTTCCACAAGCGATCAGGCTGGTCAGATAAAGTTGGAGTTTGACGTTACGGACTTCTTCATGTTCGGAAGCCCTCTGGCCCTGGTGCTGGCTTATAGAAAAATATCCTCTAACGATGATAAATGTAGTAAGTATTCCTCATGTCAAATCAAACTGTTGAGATTTTCAGTTGTGAGTGTACATCGAAGTCGATTTGTAGTGGATTTAAGTGGCATCCTTCTTTCACTGTATTGCCCTTGTATTATATATACATTATATAGTATTATATATACATTATATATGCATTATATACATTATATAATGTATATATAAATCTTGAATATGATTCCAAATGAAACGAAATTTAATTTCAGATAGTATTACCCGTCCAGCATGTCTTCAGGTGTATAACATGTTTCACCCGACTGATCCAGTGGCTGCCAGACTGGAACCTCTTCTGTCAGCGAGATTCTCAATTCTTCCCCCGGTTAATATACCGAGATACGCCAAATATCCGTTGGGCAACGGACAACCGTACCATTTACGTAAGATTTTTTTTTAATTAACAAAAATATACTTTTCCCCTTCCAGCATGTGAACTCTTCTGGCCTCTTTAGCTGTTCCATTGTTTGGTTTACTTGATTTTTACTATGAAGTACTAACAGATTGCGTTCTCACTCTTTTAGTTGAAATTCTCCAAACTAATCCTCAAATGTTTAGTGATTCCTTGCAACCTAGACGTTTATCAGAGGTGTCTATTCAGAGCACGATATCGGGACTGATAGATAATATACCCCTTCAAGCTATAAATGCTTGTAAGTATTATTTTCATTTGTCTGTATATATATGTCGCATGGGTATTGTATCGCTAACATTTTTTGACGGCTAAGGCTCTCTGTATACCATTTTGAACTATAATCACACAGTACTCCTGAAAAATATAATTCAAAAGTACCTAGTAAAAATTATCTTGACAAATGATGATTGACATTATTGGAGTATGTTTTGAAAATTTTATTTTTTTTCATATAGTTTGTGACAAAACATCTATTTGATTTATTTCCATTTTAACGTGTATCGTTTCGCCATCTGGTGAATTTTCTCGGTAACTTATCCGCCGTAGTGGAGGCCTATTCCTGTTGTTTACAGTTTTCTGCCGCCATTAATCATTAGTATAAACGGCTCTCCTACGGGATAGGCAACCAATATTTCGCTTTGGCGGGTTTTTTGCATTTGTAAAGTATTTCCAGTGTCGGGTTTTTTTATGAACGACTGTCGAGATTCTTTTTCGTCTCTAGAGACCTGAGTGAAAACGTTTTTGATGCGCCATATTTGCTCGATTGTTCGAAGATTTTTCTTGTTTGCTTTTTAAAGTGAACTAAATTACCTTACTGTGGTCCTTAAGGACAAGATTCACCGTCGAGTCCCGTGCCTGTAATTATTTTAGGTGGGTACCGATTTTTATTACTATAAATGATGTATTAACTACTTTTATCATTTTGTTGGAACATTTGTAATTATTTTAGAACCAAGTTGACAACCAAATAAGTACTTTGTCTCCCCCTCGAACTGAAAATAGATTGTTTCGCACCCTATATTGTGTCTCATTGGATCAGCAGCAACCCCTTTTAAAAAACCCTGAGGTTGAACCCTTATAAGGTTTTTTACTACTTTTTCTCAATATAATACAAAGAATAGAAATTTCTTGAAGAAAGGACGGAAAAGTTGACAAATATCAACCATAATGGATTATGTAAATGTGTTGATCTTTCACATTATAATCTTGAAATCAATCCATCTGAAACAACTACCTCCTATGGATATTGCGTTACAGAGATTTGTTTTCTGTTTATATTTGAAACGGACTTTAAACTCAATGATAATACGTCATAGTTTGAATCTGCATCCTAATGTTTCGTCAACACGAGTGGCTTCTTCAGAGGTTTATTCATCTTGATGATTCACCAATGACTGGTGATTTCTAGTTCGTAGGTTGTATTCATGTTGAATCATGTAGTCTCCCTCTCTTGTGTTGCCATTGGCCGAAGTATTATTACCTGTTAATGACGTATCTATTCCCGCCGTACCTGTTAGCGAGTTGTTATTGGTTGCAGTATTGATACTTGACTTATTAATGAGTGACCTGTCGTCTCATAATATTGCATTGCGCTGTTGCCACTTTAGCATCTTTGTATGGGATTCCAAATCCGGTGAAGCTTTCATGGCTACTCTTTCCTGTTGTAGTTCTCCAGATGTTTACTGGGATAATACTTATTACACCATAGGGAACAATAATCTCGAAGTTTTCTCACATAACATATCGAAAAAAACAGCAGAGCAGATATTGTATGTCTCATAAATATCGGCCATTTTGTGGTATATGAACTTGGTTTTACTTATTGTGCCATGAGGGATAATAACCTCAAAGGTTATTAAATAACATACAGCTAGAAACAGCAAAGTGGGTATTGTATATCTGATAGATAGGGGCTATTTTGTTGTAATATAATCTCGGTTTTACCTATTGCGTCATGAGGGACAATAAACTCAAAAAGAGGTTAAATAACATACCGAAAAAACAGTTAAATAACATACCAAAAAAAAAAGTCAAAGCAAATATTATTTGTGTGATAGATAGGGGCTGTTTCACTGTATATGACCATCATGGACAATAATTTCATTACGAGGTTGAATGACATAAAAAAAACAGCAAAGCAAAGGGGCAATAACCCCAAGAGGGGGTTGAAAACATAACGAAAAAACAGTTGAATAACAGGCCGAAAAAACAGCAAAGCTGATATAATTGTATATCTGGTGTATAGGGGCTATTTTGTTGTATATGACCATCATGGACAATAACTTCAATACTAGGTTAAATAACATAACGAAAAAAACAGCAAAGCAGAGGGACAATATCCCCAAAAGGGGGTTGAAAACATAACGAAAAAACAGTTGAATAACAGGCCGAAAAAACAGCAAAGCTGATATAATTGTATATCTGGTGTATAGGGGCTATTTTGTTGTATATGACCATCATGGACAATAACTTCAATACTAGGTTGAATAATATAACGAAAAAAACAGCAAAGCAGAGGGACAATAACCCCAAAAGGAGGTTGAATAACATACCGAAAAAACAGTTGAATAACAGACCGAAAAAACAGCAAAGTAGATATAATTGTATGTCTGGTAGATAGGGGCTATTTTGTTGTATATGAACTTGGTTATACTCAATGCACCATAAGGGACAATAACATCAAAACTAGCCTTAATAACATACCGAAAAAACAGCAAAGTAGATATTGTATCTCTGCTAGATAGTGGCTAGTTTGTTGTATATAAACTTGGTTATGCCTATCTTGCACCATAAGGGGTAATAATCTCAAAACTAGCTTAATTGACATATTGACGAAACAGAAAAGCAAGAAAAATCTAACAGTTGACAGTTGAAATATGAAATTTCAGTACAACAAAAATGGTGGGGAGGCAAACGAATGGATTATGCTCTCTATTGCCCCGAAGGCTTGTCCAACTTCCCTACAAATGCTCTGCCTCATTTATTCCACGCCAGCTATTGGGAGAGCAGCGATGTGATAGCCTTTGTGTTGAGACAACTAGGCGGTATCGAAGTTACATCATTGCCCGGAGATAATGATCGTGAGCAGATTTTCAAACCCGGTCAACCCAGAGAAAAATGGATCAGAAAAAGAACCTCCGTCAAGCTGAAAGTAATAAACACAAACTGTTTGTAATGTTAAAATATTGACTGTGTGATTTTTTCAGAATGTAACAGCAAACCATAGAGCGAATGACGTCATCGTGCGAGAAGGCGCTCCTCAAACGCTGATGGCCCGGTTCATGTACGGTCCTTTAGATATGATCACGTTAACAGGTGAAAAGGTCGATATTCACGTCATGAAAGATGCTCCTCTGGGAGAATGGACGCACTTAGCTACGGAAGTCACCGATAAAACGGGACGAATCACTTACACCATTCCAAATGACAAATCGCTGGGATACGGGTTGTATCCTATAAAAGTGAGAGAAAGATGACATCGTATTTATCGTAAATGCTGAAACTTTTTTATTGCAGATGGTGGTGAGGGGGGATCATACTTCAGTGGATTTTTTTCTAGTTGTCGTTCCTCCTAAGACTGAGTGCATCGTTTTCAGCATCGACGGATCCTTTACGGCTAGTATGTCGGTGACTGGTCGAGATCCCAAGGTCAGAGCTGGCGCTGTTGATGTCGTGAGGTAGGTATTTTCTTCTTACTTATTGGTGACTATTAATATGTTCTGAAATAGTATATTAAAGAAAACCTTTCAAGAGTCCTTTGGAAAAGGATAAATTTCTTTGTGAAACAAGTACAAACTTGAAAACTTTCATTCCTAGTAGTTCGAACCCATCGTATTTTAAAAAACCTACTTAACCTACTGCGCCATGGACATATAATTGTTTTCTGGTTCCAGGCATTGGCAAGAGCTGGGTTATCTGATAATTTACATCACCGGAAGGCCTGACATGCAACATCGAAGGGTCGTTTCGTGGCTATCTCAGCATAATTTCCCCCATGGCTTGATTTCTTTCGCAGACGGCCTTTCTACGGATCCTCTCGGCCACAAGGCTGCTTATTTGAACAACTTGATCGATGTAAGTATTCTCTGTCAAACATTTCGACAGATGCAAAAGACATTTGACACAGTTTATTATAATATTTTATGGAAAAATTAAATAGCGTTGGTATCTTTTTTTTTATATACTTTATTGCATCTTATTGACGAAGTCCAAGAAATACACTGTTAATATAGAAAAAGTACTAAAAAGTATAAATGAATATATAAAAAAAGTTCCTAAAATGTATAAATGTGAATATAAAAAAAGTTGTAAAAATGTATAGATAAAATACCACCATGTATATCACCATATATCATCTGCAAATAAGTTGATGAACTCACAGTCTGTAAATAATTGAATATCATTCAGATACAGAATGAATAATAGGGGACCAAGCACACTACCTTGTGGCACTCCTGTGTGATTTGTTATATATGATGAGAAATAATCGTTCACACGTACTCTCTGTTTCCTATTTGATAAATAATTACTTATCCATTCATAAACCATCCCCTCAATCCCATATCTTCTCAGCTTCTGAAGCAAAATACTTCTATCAATCGTTTCAAAGGCCCTTTTGAAATCTAAAGAGACAGCTACAACATATTTACCTTTATCTGTTTCATTAGTAAATTTAGTTAATGATAACTGTAGTGCTGTTTTGCAAGAATGTTTTTTTCGAAAACCACATTGATTGCTAAACATGATTTGATTTTTGTCAATAAACTCTAATAATTGATTATACCGTCTCTAAGATGACTGTTAAGATATCATTGGCAGTAAACAAGTTCCTGCACGATTCTTATTTGAAACCACTCTAACTGCAAAACATCCGGAGGTGATCTTACTCTTGAGTTGTTTAAGGTGTTCATCAAATTTCAGCCCATTATCAATGAATACACCGAGAAATTTCGTGTTTAATTTATTTTGTAATATGACAGCGTCTATTGAAATTTCATCAAGCGAACATTTGAATGATATTATATTCGTTTTGCATTGATGCATTGAAAGAGAGTAAATTTGCATTGCATCAGCTCTTCACCTTCTTCAAGTTGGATGATATCTGAGTCATAGATGGTTTGAAATTATTTGTCGTATAGAAAACGATTTATGTATTTATTAATAAAGGCCGGTTCATTGAAAATTATTACTGGCGGAGTTCCACAAGTATCTCTTTTGAGTCCAGTTAAATTTTTCATTTACGATTGATTTTCATTCACAATATTGAGTTTAGAGCAATTGACACAACACTACTTTAGTTTTCTTTTAATACTGAAAAAAATTGCAATAACATAATCTCTAACTTTACATTGTTGAACTCTTGTTTAAATTATCATGAAATAATGTTGAATTTTCAAAAGTTTTCAGTTGTATTGATGATCAAAAGATAATTTGCGGAATTATCGAAATACTCATATCGAGCACTTTTAGTAACACTATTCATGATTATAAATCGCATTTCTTAGAAATGCATTACGAATGGGAACAGCAACGAGGAAAATGTGATGTTTTATGTACGAGGTCTGTTCAAAAAATACGGTGAATTTCATTTTTCTCAAAAAATATTTATTTGTTCATCAATTTACATTTTGTTCCCTTCAAAGTCCCCTTCAGATATAATACACTTGTGCCTGCGTTTCTAACAATCCTCAAAGCATTTTTTGGTATGTTCTTGAGCTCTCTCCGTCCTTTCATGAGCCTCTTCAACCTTGGGAATAGAAAAAAGTCATCAACGGTCAAATCTGATGAATATGGTGGCTGAGGCATGATTAAGGCCATGTTTTTGGCCAAAAAATTACTAAAAAGCAGTAACAAATGCATTGCTGTGATACAAAAGCCACAACACTGGACGTTTTCTTCGTATTGCCAAGCGACACATAACTTCAAGGTAATACTCCTGATGAAAAATCTACAAAACATTAAACTTCCAATTTCAATGAAAAGAATGCCATTAATGATTATCATATTTTGTTGTTGCGTTAAAGTATATTCTAGAAACATCGAAAGGAAGTCAGAAAGCAACAACCTGATTCAAAAAAGTTATGTTTTCTTCCTCTAATCAATACTTGGCATGATCTCCATGTCAAACATTTTTGTTAATAAAAATTATTATTCTTGACTGTCCTAGAATCACGGCGTAGTGATTCATTCTGCGTACGGCAGCGCGAAAGACATCAGCGTTTACACTTCAGTGGGGTTGAAACCTAAGCAAATATTCATCATCGGAAAGGCGACCAGAAAGCAACAGTCTCAAGCCACGGTGCTCATGGAGGGCTACGCGGCCCATCTGACGATGCTGATGTCTCACGGGGGCTCCAGGCCTGCCCAAGGGAACGCGAGGATGGTTATTCCCAGGGGGTATTTCGGTCTTCCTGGCCAAACTTTTTCGCGAAGGAGGAGGTAAGTTATACAGTGAAGGTAGACATTTTGTTTTGGTTTGGTGTTAGAGTTGTGCTGTTTTATATTGGTTTGGCATTACAGGGAAGGTTCTTGCATTTTGTGAAATCGTATTTTGACAATTATTTATTTATTTATTCCATAAATTGCGTAAACTACAAATATGAGTACAAAATTCTACATAGTACATATTATGGTTAAGGCCTTGAGCTTAAGGAAGCTATGTAGGCCATAAAAGAGATACATATATAAATCAATTAGAAGAAAATTAATATGAGAATCAATTATTATAAGCTACTCAAATAAAAAAAAAAAAATATTTTTTCTAGATATATAAAATTTGAAAAGAAGATAAAGAAAACTATCACAGCATCAATCTCATAGTAATGTTAATACTACTGAAGAAGAGAAAACAGAAAAATATATACACATACATATATACACCTATATACACACACATATATACACATACATAAATCTATATAACAGCATCAATCTCATAGGATCGTTAATACTATTAATACTAATGCTATGTCTGGAAATAACCACTAAATATTAAGTCCTTCAATTTCTTTTTAAAAGGTATGTCAAAGACAGACAATAAAAAATTGAAGGGATGGCAGAGTAATATATAGAAAGTAATATCTGATACTTTGTCTTTGTATTTCATGCTGAAGGAAATTTTATGCCTATTCAGAATAATTACTGTCCCAGAACATGAAAAATCCTTACATACTATTGTACTTTCTTTAGTATAGTTTGAGTGTTAGTATTTATTGACATTTATTTGTCATAATATTCACTAAAGTTATAGTTGGTTTTTACGGTTTTTATGTCATTTGAATATCTACCTAGTAAATGATATATATGCATATGGCCTCACTGGATATATGAATGAATACGTTTATTTAGGAAATCCTAATATATTGTATTTGTATTTATTTATTAAGTAGGCAAGCCTAATATACAAAAAAAAGAAAAATTACAAATTCATAAATATCTCACGACATTAACTATGTAAATATAATAACATTTTAAAGTACCTTTCAAAGAAAACCAAATGTACATACATATCTATAGATTGTTAGGTTAGTTCACATTAAAAAATGAAAAATTACAAATATCATAATGAGCTGTCACTAATATACTTCTTTAATGATGACTTAAATTGGTTTATTGAATTGTGGTAGTTTATTAAATTCGTTTAAGCCTTTATGAAATATACTATTCATTCCAAATTTAGGGTTAGTTTTATTAATGTAAAAATTGTTATTTCTTCTCGTTTTGTAATCGTGAACTTCATTATTTCTCAATAAGAATTTTTGAAAGTAATTGGGTAGCAATCCTTTATGCAGCTTAAATATAAAGATCATAGTCATATATAATATACGTTCTTCAACTGAAAACCAGTTTAGACACTGTAACATCGATTTAATTGCTGAGTAACGGCTACATCCCAATATTAATCGCATGCCCCGATTTTGAAGCTTTTGAAATTGCGCTATTTTATTTTTACCAAGTAGAAAAAGTAATGTTGTACAATAATCAAAATGAGGTTGTATTAGGCTTTTAAAAAGAGTCAACCTAGCATACATCGACACTTTTTTACATATACGAAAGAGAAAAAGTTTTTTAGATATTTTTTTTACAAATAAAATCAGCATGACTATTCAGTTTTAAATTTTTATCAATTATAAAACCGAAATATTTTATTTCAGTCACAATTTCAATGCTAACATTATTAATTTTTATAACAGCATTTGCCCAAACAATTTGATCATACTTATAAGATGATGTCAAAATCATACTTTTTGTTTTACTGACATTTAGTTTCAGTTTATTAATAAATAAATATGTTTCAATGCTATTTAAAGACCTATTCATTTCAACAATTGCTTGATCCAAATTTTCATGTATACAATAAACTAATGTATCATCTGCAAAAAGATTTATACAGTGTCATCCAGATATGCGATTAATATCATTTAGGTAAATAATAAAAAGCAATGGACCTAACACATTACCCTGGGGTATGCCACTCTCAATTATAAGTTCATCTGACAATTCTTTTCCAAATTTAGTTTTTTGTATTCTGTTTAATACAAACAACAGATCAGTTGTTTCAAATGCCCTTTTAAGGTCGAGAAATGTCGCAACAATGTACTAATTTCTATCAATTGTATTTTTCCATTCAGTTATTAAAAATTGCAGAGACGTTTCACATGAGTGTCTAGCTCTAAAACCTGATTGGTTGCCTATAAACAATTTATTGGTATTAAAGTACTGAATTAATTGGTTATATACAAACATTTCACATACATTAAAATTGTATGTGAAAATATTTTCAAATTCATCAAGATATGTATATTCAGAAGCGACTGAATTTTTTTTTTCTATCAACGTGTGAAATGGGGTTATCACTATTTTTTATTATATCCCGCCAGGGATTCGTGACATAACAATAAAGATATATTGACCTAACCTACATATATAAATAAATCAGTCAGATGCTTTTCTCGAGAAAATTCATCTAGTTGAAGTTGTGATGATTCTGCAACATTGTTACATGGCTGATGGATTGTGAATAGCCATAATGCTCCCTGGGTGGCTCGGGGAGTTATTATTATTGCCTACCCAAAACACAAGGATAATGACCGAAGTAGTCAATGCCGTTGGCACAAAAAACAATCAATTGAGAATAGTAATCATCCAAGACCTTCCTGGAATGCCAAAAACACGCACAGCAATCGCTTTTACGACAACTAATAGTTCTCTAATAGATTATAGCTAGATCAACATCTGCATGTGGTGGTGTTATATATCAATGTTTCAGCCACGATCCCGGCATCTCATCTCCGGCGCGCAACAGCGGTTTTCTCAAAAGAAAGGTTTACATTAGTCATGTGTAACTCGCTAGTTTCTTATGATGGTAATTATTGCATATACGTTGCACATCACGTAGTTATTTATTTGCACAGTAATGACCGACGTAGAGGTGCTTCCGCCTTTGAAAAACTAGTTCGATATACACACGTTTTGTTTGCTGAAGGTTGTTTTTTGACAAGAGAGCAAAAATGTATCTGATGGCTGAATCAGATGATCTGGCGAGGTAATTTCTTTGCTTTGCTTCAAAAAAAGGTCGATTTGAATTAAAGTTCCTGTATCGTTTCTCGAAAATGTAAACCATAATGTGAAATGATTCAAAGAAAAATGTATTCTAAATGAAGTGGAAATTTGAAAAACTCAACTTTTTATCTTTTCCTAAGCATACATATGCACACAATTTCCTTCTTTCTTTATTCATTAGCATTCGAGTTGGATAATTTGATAAATTGAAGATCAAACCAGTCAATAATGTTTCAATTAAAACCTAAGTAGATTATTTTGTTTGAAGAATATAAATATACGATCTGTGTTCAAAAAATAAGATTGATTTTAATTTTTTTCAAAAAATATGGTTAATTTTAATTCTTCTCGAAAAATATTTCTTCGTTCATTAGCTTATAATTTGTTCCCTTCAAAGTAGTCCCCCTCAGATAACTATAATACACTTGTGCCAGCGTTCTTCACAATCCTCGTAGCAGTTCTGATAAGCACTTTTTGATATGTCCTTGTACCTTCAATTTCGGGAACAGGAAAAAGTCGCAGGGGGGCAAATCTGGTGAATACAGTGGCTGGGGCATGATTGTGGTATTGCTTTTGGCTAAAAACAAGCAATGATGAGTGAGAGTAGGTGCATTATGGTAATGCAAAAGACATGAATTGTTTTCCTACAATATTGAATGTTTTCTTCGTATTGCATCATATTTGTGATTTTATATTATGTTTTCGATCGTTTTCCAAGAAGTTTCGTCGCCAAAAAAATTATTTTTGGAATCCATAACCAAACAAAATCTGTGTATGTCGTTTAAACCATGATATCTGGACTCGATTTTGATTTATTGTAGAATTAGTTTCAGAATAATGAAAAACTATGGTGTTGAAAATTTACCATTTTTCTACATTTGCTTGAACTTGTTACCTCATTTCTAATGGTTGCGGTCATCGTAAGACCGTAAAAATAGTACCTCAGTCAGTTTCAAGCAAGCTCTAGAGAAAATTTCACCACCCGCATTTATTCTGAAGTCACTTTTATAACAGATCAATATTGAAACCAGTTGAATAAAACAAACCATCATAAAACTCATGACTAAATCATTCATGGTCAAGCAAATGAAAAACGGTCATTTTGTGTAAATTTCCAAAAGAGTTTTGCAACTACCATTTTTCACTTGCTGAACCAGATGACGAAAATAACTAACCTATTGTGTAAATCATTGCGAATAAGTAAATAATTTGTGTAATGGGGTGCTGCTTTGCTTTCGATAGAGCGACAAAATTGAAGGGTAATAGCTTGATAGCTGCTTGTTTGTATTACACCATGAAAAGAAGAGAGAACAATATCCAGTTTCAGTGGTATTGAAATAAATATATTTTCTATTAATACATTTTCAAAATTCGTTATGAAGAACTGTTCATTCTGTATATATACTGATATTGTCTCTTTCTTTCGACTTGTGTTTTCAAATCTGTTTCAGTTAGACATTTCTTTCAATAACATCTAATCCATTTATACTGCTTTGAGCAGTAATTTCGTGCATTTCATATACTACATCTTTTTTCAAAGCGATTTTCAAAGAAATTGAATAAGTAGTAATATTGAAAATTGTCCAATATCTTTTGAATGCATTTTTTCAAGTATTGTCTTTAGGAAAATCTCACAAACATCGATGAATTCACCCATTAAATAATATCTCAATAGATCTTTTGATAACAGATTCAAAAAACGCCATTTTATCAGATGTGACCAACAAGATACTCGTTGTTAAAATGATTACATATTTCAAACGATATTTTGATCGTTTTCTTAATTTTGAAGTTCGATCGAACTATCAATTATTCTTAACAATTTATTCAGTACTCGTTCTGAAGCTCACTGGCTTACAGAGACAGTACAACACGTCAGTGGCCACGTGTCGCCTCTGTTTGGAAAATGATGAAACATACTTTGTCTCTGCCCCGCTGGGGACCGAATCAGGTTTTTAGATTTCGGCAGAGCCGTACTTTTACCATCTGACCTGAAAAACCAATCACCATACAAACTAATCGGCTTCGTTAAGAAGCTGGGTTTATTTGGTCGAGCGTGAATAGGTGTGAGCCACAATAAACCCTTGCGGGTTGTGGTGGAGAGTCGAATAGACCCACTCACTTTAGACCTAACCTAACCTAACTCATTTTGAACCAAGATGATAGTTGGTTTATATTAAAAATGAACAAATTTACCAGGGTTCGTATACAAAGAAAAAGGAAAAGTTGCCTGCTCAATAAAACAATCATTTACAATCACGAGAAACAGGGAGGTTAATTTATGGGAAAAAAGGTTTCACTTCTCCATCTATATACAAAAAGTTGTGGGGAACTCCTAAAGGAAAAAAGAAAGCAGTTGAGTTCAAAATGAACTCTTTACAAATATGTGTAGGTAGATCATGCATAGAAGTTAGTATCATACACAAACTGAGAGAAAAAGCCTCCCCATAGTAGTTGTTTGGAAAGAATTTTTCTTTCAGTTTTACTCTGAACGTAACTTGTTCACAAATCTTACACATCTTTGCCATTAAATACGACAACCTAATATTATTAGATAATAAAAGTTCTTCTGTTACACCAAACAAGTAGCTTCGTTAGAAACAGTCAAATTTGTGAATATTAACTAAATGCTATTTAAAACATCCCTTCAAGCTTGAGAATTGCCTTGACTTGTTTTGAAAGAAATGTCTGTTGACTTAAATAAATCCAGTGTGAATTAACCTCGAAGTTTTGTCCTCCAACAGTCGATCGGCGAAGAGAGCAACTTCTTATCCGATAGCCAGTGAGCTTCCTCAGATGGAAAGATCCATGAGCAGTCGTCGATACCAGCTACCTAAACCGACGCTTTCAATTTCCACCATCGGGAACTACAGCTGAAAGGCGAGTCTCACACTCTAGGAAGATGTAGGATTTGTTAGAACTTGCCGTTGTTTATATTTTTCTACCTATATATCGAAGAATTTATTAGTCTGTCTCAAATGAATTGATATCAGTAGACATAGAAAGTATTGATTTTCGTTCTTGTTAGATATTTTTGAGGTTTTTTGTGTCGCTTTCTTCTGGCGAAACGCATTACTCTATCGGAGTCGGTAAAATACAAATATTATGTAATGTCTAAGGCAAGGGAGGTTATCATGGGGAAATCAGAAACCGTGGGAGAAACAATGTTAGTTGAATTAGGAGGAAGTTGCCAGTATCAGAGCTGATTTGAATGTCGTTTTTAAATTCCGGAAATTCTGATTTGGTCGCCAAAATGCCCAACTTTATACATCTTGAAAAGCGACAACGAGATAGTGTTTTTTGATTTATGATATCTTCTTAATGGCAGAAAAAAATTAAACAGTGTTGTGAATACTTCACGAACTAATAGGAATTTCTTAATTTTCAAAACGTCATTTGAATAAACTAACAATCCTTCATTGTTCAAACAGGTACAAAAGACATTCACAGGACACTGTATACAACAATCAGTAAACAATTCTTAAAATAGCAAAATTATTGAACAAAAAATATATTTATATAGGTGCAAATGACAATGTTTAGATTTTAGAGAAAGCATATAGAAATTGTTGAATAGTTTCATGTCTCAAATACCCTTGATTGGAAAGTTCATCGTCCAGATGCGATATCTACAGGATATATTCAAACTGATCCAGACGGTAAAACAAAAACGAAACCCTATCACCTGTTTTGATTTCTTGTGCTTCCCGTGAATGAAAGTAATTTATTTTTACTCTTCATCAGTTTCTTGTTTCTATGATAAACGAACTGAAAAACATTACTCTCACAATTTCACAATTGAATAACTCATAATACACAAAATATTGAACAAAACCTATGTTCAACATTAAGTTATTCTGATCAGCTGTTAGCTCTTTGAGTCGGTAGATGGCGCTATGGTGGAAAACGATAATGTAACAAGTTACTAGTTGAATCAGTGAGCCATACTGCAATCGTGATCTTACATACACAGTAAAAATATTGATAAAACTTTTCTCATTGTTGAAATTTCACAGTTTTGGAAAATCAATAACAGAATTCACTTTGCTGTCTATACAATTTTGCTCATATGAGTTGAGAATATTTACCTCTTGGCGGCAACTTGATCCTAATCTAACAATTATGTATCTTTCACGGTTTTTTTTTATTTTCCCATCTTATCTTGGACATATTATACAAGGAATTTTTCACTGCGAGCTTTTATAAAAAATATATGAAAAAACAAAAATATCACCAAATAAGATAGTGGCGTTTCTACATAACTATAACTATGGATCTTTCTGAGAATTTTATTTGGAGTGAGAATTTCCAGAAAGATCTATAGAGAATAACTTTTATGTTGACGTATACTCAAACATTACTATAAACTTTCGATTTCTTGGCAAAACCAGTTTCACAGATGAATGCGATACAGAATAACACTATTCAGAAACTGTTTTTCTCTTGCTTTGGATAATCAGTATGTGATAATAATAGTATTCAAAATGATATCAATCATATACCTGGAAAACTGCTGATATGCTTTTTTTTTCTTAGAGATTGGCAAAAAACGGCAACCATTATTAAAGAAGCTATAATTATTTTATGTCGAATTGAAATATCAGGTTTTCTGAATGTTTTAGTCGAACTATTCGTCTTGAGAAGTGTTCCTCATATTTTATCTTGAACCGAACACAAAATCAAAAAGTTGTTCGGGGTCATATTGCAGAAACTGCAACGATAAAAAATTCTTAGAAAAATGGTAATGAAAGTTATTTCATGTTTTTTTTGGGGGGGGATAAGTTACAAGATGTTGATATTCCAGATTTTTATAGTTTTTTAAGGAAATCTTAGTACTATCCAACAGCCGAAAAATTTCATAAAACTGTTCGATAGCTGCAAATATGTGTGTTTGGTTCTCGGATAAAATAGAATCAAATTCATCTAAAATGTTACGTCTATAAATTTAAATGTAGGTTGTGATAGTTTCTAAAATATTTGTGTATATTGAATATTTATGTATATATGTATTAAATTGTTGCAATAAAGTGTCATGAATTATTTTCCACTATTATAATCGTCACAACTCAGTGCGGTGCTTTTCTTTTCTAGTTTCATTTATTTTTTATACCTAAAAGAGCTCATATATTCAAACTTCTATTGCAATGACTTTACGATCGTTATGCTTCGCCATCTCTGGAATAGTAGCCAATGTATTCTGACGTCAAATGTTCTTGATTTTAATTGCTGCACCATTGCTCGTCGATAATTATCCATACTTTTTGATTTTATATTTCTAATTATGATGATATATAATGTAACATTATAACAGAGTAGTATAAGTAATATTCTCTGAGCTCTGTTCATACTTTCTCCTGTAGTTATACTGCGCCATCTCTCGGAAGATTTTGCTTTGACATCAACTGGAGTACCACGCCATCTTTGGAATAGTAGCTAATATATTCAGAGTTCTCAACTTTTTAATACTACCGTCCATTTCTCGGGCAGTAGTCAAAAGTTATTATCTTTGTATAAATACTAACCTTATTACTGTTATGTGATGCTAATCAATCTTTGAAATAGTAGGTATACATTCAGAGCTCTGATATTCATACCTTTCTGTTATACTACGCCGTTTCTTGGATAACCGTAGACAGGCTCTCCCCCAGCCGTCGCCATGGGGGGGAGCCTGCTTTTTCGACTTGGGAAAAAGTCGGGAAATTTTGGGCTGTGAAGATAGAAAAAAATAATAGTAAAAAAATTTAATAAATTAAAATGAGAGGAAAGAAAGGGAGAGGTGATAAAAAAGGGAAAGAACCAGGAGAAGGTTGGGATATCCCAACATGCATAACTTGGAGATCCCATACATTGAAATTCTGAGTTGTTTGAAAACTTCAAAAAAGTTCCATTTCTCCCAAGTAAGAGAACAGTCCACAAATTTTGAAGTGACAGTTTTACAAAATTCCCAACTTTTCGCTGTTTTTTCGACTTGGAAAAGTTGGGAAATTTCGGGCAGTGAAGAAGAAAAAATAATAGTAAAACAATATTATTTAAGTGTTGTTTCATTTGTATTGAATATTCCTATACATAGTGGATATGGGGGAAGAACAAGGACCTTGGTCCAAAGTAGATTAATTCCCATTATTATTTTTATAATTACCAAAATTTATTTTCGTTTGTGCATACCCTAACGGGCATAAACATTTAGCCATTCTATGGATAGCTAAGTAAGAGAATTAATATATTATAGTAGTAACCAATCCCTTGGCTTTCATTATTTCGAAAGTTGGGAAATTTTGCTGGTGGGGTTGAGAAAATTTGGATTTCCTCCCCCCTGGTATTTCTTTTTGCTACGGCCCTGACCGTAGATAATTATTTTCAGTTTTTTCACGTTGCCGGCATAGTAGCCATTTCGAATTTTTTCACGTTGCTGAAATGTCAGTCACCACCAAATTCATATTCCATTGACAATGACAGCATTTCATATATTATTTTCACGTTATCGGTCAATAGCCATTCCTAAATAAGTTCCACTTTGCTGGATGATATCCAGTTGCAAATGTTTACGTTAATGGAACATGAACATTTTCCTAATTTAATTATTTTCAACTAACATATAGGGTATTAATCTTTCACAAATTATTTTCCCATGAAGATTGAAAATATGTTCAGGATAAATTAGTTTTTAGAGAAAACAATGTTTTTTTCAACTTTCCGTCTTTATATAAATAAGAAGGAATATTTCCGTAGAAAAGAATATAATTCACCTTCAATAATCATTTTCAAACGGGCAAAATGGTCATCACCAAATTCTTCTCACGTTGCCACACTAGAACTATTTCCAAATTATTTTCACGTTGATGGAAGAATAGTCAAGATATTTTCCTTGTGATGCAAAATAACTGGCAACATGGCATTGGTTTCATCGTTTTCAAATACTCGCGCTATATAATGAAACGTGTATGAGATGTGAACATTATATAATGAGTTCTGTTGAAGCATGTGCGCGCAACCACAAAAGTTCTATTATTAGCGGGACATTCATTAAATTGACTAAAATAATTTAAAGTGAGTAAATATGCTTTTCATTTCTTCTTATAGTGAATCCTTACCAATGTTTCTTTCAAATCATTAATATTCTGAGCAACTACATTTTAAATTCTCTACTCCGAAGAAGAGAAAAGTTACTACTAATTACCGAAGCGTTTGTTTTCTGGGCCATATTAGACTTGAGCGTGCATACTATTTTTGCGTAGGGCGTTGTTGCTAGAATAATGAATCTTGAAAAAATATCCCTAGCAATCCAGATAAAGAGATGCAGTTGAAATTAAGGTAAATTTTCGTTATCTGGACACCCGGCGATTTTGAAAAAATTTTCGACTGTACTTACGTATTTTGATGCGTAGATTACGAATCCGAAAGAAAAAAGCGGCGCTCTCCCTTATTTAAAAAGTTACGGCCCTTCAAAGTTCAGAAAAGGGCAACTTTTCAGCCTTCTTTTTCACTAAATAAAGAAAAATATTAATTATTGAAGTGAAAAGTGTTAAAGAAGGAGGAATGAGGTGTAAAGGTGACCTAGTGAATAAATGCATGTGTTTTTAAATAGTTTATTTAGTGAAAAAGAAGGCTGAAAAGTTGCCCTTTTCTGAACTTTGAAGGGCCGTAACTTTTTAAATAAGGGAGAGCGCCGCTTTTTTCTTTTGAATTCGTAATCTACGCATCAAAATACGTAAGTACAGTCGAAAATTTTTTCAAAATCGCCGGGTGTCCAGATAACGAAAATTTACCGAAATTAATAAACTAGGGATTGTTCACTATTATTTGTAAACATTAAAATGTTACTTGTAATTTAATTTATTGACCTTTACTGTCGCTTCCTTAAAGTATAGTTGATGTATTTATCTTCAGAATATATACTTAAAATAAATCAGATTTTAAAAAAAAATCTGTTTTTCTTTTAGCCAGCTAACGTCCCTTGCGAAAAACAACCCTCATAGGTCGATACTTGTGCAAGCTAAGAATTAACGAGGTATTATCTATTAGCATGCGATTTCTAGCATCTTTATACCCAATAATATTACTATAGAAATAGGCAATACGTTACATAAAGTTACAGAAGGAAATTCACTAACTAATTAAACATACTAAGCATCTGAAAGTGTGAACATATGTTTGAGACGAGTGTACCAACATAAAAAAATCGCTAATCGAATGTAAGTAGCCCGCGAAATTCAAACATTCACTTTATTTTTTGAAAAGTCCACATAGACAAATTCTCTGTGTCATATAAAATAAAAAAAGTGTAGAATATTTTCACAAACAGCAGTGGGTAGACGCGAAACATCTTCCTTTACGAAGACGCCATCCAAGGCGGTCAGTTGCAAGGTTTTATTAGTCCTTGCATAATTTATTCAAAGTATAAAAATCATGCCAACAATAATAAAATATGTATAATTGAGACCCTCCAAATGTTGAGCACCAGAAAATCATCATATGTTGCATTTTCTCGTTCTAAGTCAGTTGAAAAATGCCTAGGCAATTTAATTTTCAGGCTTTATTCGAAATGAGACGAATCATTGTGGACTTAGATGTAGGAACAGATGATTATCTGGCCTTGTTGATGCTTCTGAATGCCGAGAGAAATAATGAGCTGAAAATTGAGGGGATCGTATGTTCCATGGGTAACACGATTGTTGAAAACGTCGTTAACAACGTCGTGAGACTGTTACAAATTGTAGACAGAACGGATGTAAGTAGTTTTGTAATTAATTATACAGGATATCTCAATTATTTGAGGTATAACAGATAGTGAATTACGATATCAAGGTTACCATTAGTCTATTTTTAAATAACTCAACTGGATCACTATGGTAGTACAAGTGATACCGAACCTATATAATGTATTATAGCTTTTTTAAAATATGTATGACGTTTTTTTATATTTTACTGGAGCTGTTTGCAATCATTTCGTGCAGTTTTATTGATCTGAAGATATTCCAAATTCTCAGCAAACATCAAGCAGTCATTGGTTATATTGTTTAATGTATACAATAATGAATTTTCACAGGCAAATTTTTGATATCTTCAGTCAAACTTTTTTTTAAATAAAATACACCTCATGTTACTGGTTCTTGAGATCCACTGCAGACTGTTTGATATAATGTGAATTAGCCTTGATGTAGATGTCAGATATGTGGCAATTGCTGTAGACGGATTTCGGTAGTAGTAAAACATATATGTTTCTATCTGAATACATCCTACCGACTGCGCCATTTCAACGTGTGGGGTGTTAGATAAGACAGTACTAACTAACAAATTTAATGGGTTGGTTACTATACAATAGCCGAAGAAGCTCTTATATTGTAAATTTCATTGTCTAGATTCCCGTGTATAAAGGACCCAAATATCAATTCATTCTTCCTCAAACCGAAATCGAAGGGTTTCACGGCAAGGATGGTTTCGGGGATCTTAAACTTGACGAAAAGCTGGATTTATCTATCGTGAGACCTGAACCAGCAGCTGTTGGAATTCATGAAATCATCTCCAACAACCCCCGGCAAATATCTTTGATCTGCATGGCACCTCTGACTAATTTAGCTTTGACTATAAAATTGTACGACGATGTAGTTGAGAAAATAAAAGATGTATGGATTATGGGTGGTAATTGCACAGGTGAGTTATAAATATATTCGTACATTAGTAAATGTTATAAATTTATTTCCGTTTTATTGATATTCATATTCTTCTGGTAACGACAAATATTCAAAATTTCAATGATTTAATCTCATGAATAAGGAAGGCAGAACTTCGAATTTCAATTCATTTAATTTTCAGGCGGTCTTTAGACAATAGAGTAGGTATATTTGATTTGATTTGATGACATTGAGCTACAAAAACACATGACCTCAAAACAGCCTCATATCTTTATAAAATAATCAAAAGTATCAAATCTGAAACATATTATTTTTTTCAATCCTAATTATAATACTTTGCTATGTACATCCAGAAAAACTTCTTTTCATTTACTTACTCACTTATTATTTCTAGGTGTTGGAAATATTTCATGTGCCGCAGAATATAATTTTTATGTTGATCCGGAAGCAGCCTACATCGTTCTTGAATGTATGAAATGTCCAATTTTTATCCTTCCTTGGGAAACATGTTTACAGCCTCGAATATCTTGGGTGAGCAAAAATATTTTTGAGATATCAAACAGTGGAGTAGTTTTAAAACTTTTATATATTCATCATACATATCCATAGAATTAAGAAAATCTAGAGTTGATTTTGCAATGTGATGATTCGTGTCTACAGTATGTGTGGACTCGAAACACAAGTGTGGACTCGAAACACAAGTTTTGCCGTTCAAAGGAGACAACGCAGAGTAACATCACGGAAGAAACCTATTTTAGCCCAATATCTATCTATATAGGTATCTATTGAACTCTCTGCTATTGAATAAATACACCTGAGTGTCACAGGTTTCATGTGAACACTTGTGCAGGTCATTGAAAATTATAGAAAGCCAAATATTGTTAGTCAAATCATATTGATTTTAATAATGAATGATTTATTCTAATTTGACTTCCTACTCATTATGCTGTGTCCTTGCTTGCTGGTAGCTTGTGATAACAAGTCAATTATTTTTTAAATGGTCAGTAATCTCTTATCTCCAATCTAATTAACATTACAATCAATTCAAGTATGGCTCCATTCATATTTGAAAAACAAAGCGAAAAATCAGGTGCCACAAAATGTTCTGTGTTAGAACCACTTTGGTTCATCCATGTTATAACGTAAATTATGCAATTATATCGTAGTGCAGTCTACATTGATAAAAAAAAGAAGTGGAAAGAACACAATCCACGACATCTCAAAAAACTAACAAGTGATTGCTTTGCTATGAAAGCTGTTACACAAGACTTGGGACTAAGAGCGGTAAAAATGTCTATTTTGCGCTAGTCGGGCCTGTATTGAAAAGAAACTTACCGTTTTGGAGTTCTCACTGTGATCACTCGTTTAACCACTCTATTTGTATCATAAAAAAAATTAGGGGAGGTATTTCATTGATGTAAAATACTTGGACCGTGTATTAACAAGCGCATATGCGCTGGGAATTTCTCGATCATTAACTGATCAGTAAGAAAGTTTGAGTAGGAATGGGATTGTTTAACGTTATACTTGTACTTTACTGTGACTTGGACACAACAACTTGAACTCCTGATTTCTATTATTTTTGAAACACAATCGGGTAATGACAGTCATCACCCGAAGACGATTGTAGATGCTAACAATCGAAACGTCTTAAAATTTTCGATTTTTAATTTTTATTTCACTTTAATTGTTCAATTTTCAATTTTTCTGCTTAATTTTTATTTTATTCTAATTTCTTTTCAGGGTTTTTTGCCTAATATAATTGTTATTTTCAACTATTCCTTTTTTAATTTTAATTTTCATTTGTTATTTCAGAGATATCATATTATATTAGACAATAGCATTCCGAACTAATGACAAGTTTATCACTTTCTCACTTTCTCTTGAATCACTATTTACGAGTATATTGGAAGGCTGTCGGTCTATATAGTTCATAAAACAGAAAGACAAATACAGGCACAACGCAGTACAGAACCATCACGCCACAAAAAATCCACATAGCTTACATATTATAGTTCTATCAGATGTCCAGCACTATCAGACTCTCTGACGACCAAAGTAGATCCAAGAAACTAGATTCAAAATCGCCTTTCCCGCGAAAAGATCTATCACGTCCAAGTCCACCTTCAAAAAAACCATACCTCAATCACAAACTGCTCGATGTCCCGACTGACCACTCAAAAACTTTTTTTTCTTATATTCAAAGTAAGACAAGACAAAGAAAGCCAAATTTTGAAGAGGCATAACATAAGAACACCATCCAGCCAACCATCAAATGTCTACCCAATGATGGGTGCTTCGTTCACTCATTGAATCGACCGCTGTGTGAGTCGGTGGTTCAGGCTGAACGATCGATTTTCACTTGCTATCGTCCAACGACTCGTGTTAGAAATCACACGTTAAAAGGTAAGACCTTCTTAGGCCTTAGCTCCTACAAGTTTCGACTTCTGAGGATTGTCGTTCGTAGGGGTGCGAAAAAACATATTTTAAACATAGAGCATTCTTAAAATACCATGTCCCACCTGCTCCGGAACTTACATAGGCAGCCTATACAGTAAGTTTTGAAAATACCTCCGAAAAACTCACCAGGCCAGAAAAATCCGCGAAACTATCGAAACTGAAACATTTTCAAACTACCTCAACGAAGGTATTCATGGAGAAAATTATTGCCCTTCCGCACATTTCACAACACCCGCGTACCCACTACCAACCCCACCCTCCTCCATCACCACTGGAATAAATGTATTATTATTATTATTATTTGTGACAATAACATATTTTTTTAAACGATGAAGCAATTCAGCAATCTCTGTAGTTAAAATTATTGTTGAGTTTTATTTCTTATAGCTTATAGATTCCTACTCTGTTTCAGGAATGGCGACAAACCGAATTGGGTACTTCGACACCCGAATTGGCATTGCTATTGAAAGCAGAGGAAAACGTATACCCACCGTCAAGATTCGACCGCTGGTTTCCTTGTGATGCCATCCTTACTTTTTGTTATTTGAACCCCGACAAATACATTACGAAAAAGAGCATGCACCACGCAACAATCGAATTACATGGCTCAAAAACTAGAGGGCAAGTTGTTCTAAATCACATGAACAATAACACTCCGAATGTTACTATTATTGGTAGTTTCGACGAAGAATTATTTAAAGAAGAACTTCTGAAGCTCAGATCCAGGCAACCTAGAAAACAGCAGCACACGATAGTTTAGAAAATATGCAATGGAAAGCAAAACTCAGGAAATTTTCACAATATGTACATGTGACGTGTATTTATTTTCATCGGCGATATAATTTTTCATTAAAAATAAATTGAAATTCTTATGAATCTTGGTTTTCATTCCAATTTGAAGTAGGATCATCTCAGAACTCTACAACATTGTTATACAATTTTAATCAAGGTACACTGAGTTATGTATGGAAATGTATAATTTTCCATATTCTGCTACACAAATAACTTGACGGTATAATAATTTGATAATATCCCCAGATAATAGGTCTTTCATGTGGTAATTCACGTGAAATATCTCAAAATTACTGTGGATCGAGCACAATAACTGAGTGCCAAAATACTGATATGGACATATGAGCACTGATTTGTATTCATTTCAATCAGTTAAACAGGTCTACCGCATTTATTGGAAGTAATACCACAAGACCTCATCATTTTATAAATAAATATCCATTTTTCAATAAAAACATTGTTATTTAGGAATACCACGAAACGATCGTATTATTTGAAATGAGAAAACCGTCGATTATTTTCAGATTTATGGGACGAAGAGATACTGATATTTGTTTGAGTTGAAAATATAGTTTTTATTGCTTATTTAATCGTTTGTCGATACTAAATGAAACGACCGACAAATTATTTTGTAATGAATTATTGTGTTCAATAATAATAATAATCGTTCTAACCGAAAATAGTCACTCGCGATCCTATTGACATGGCGGCCAAATAGAGTGCCTTTCCCGAAATTTGCAAAATTTACTTCTTTGTACTATTGTATTCTGTGATAATATAACTAAAAGAAGCGGGGGCAATGAGCCAGACTATCCCTACTCCTCACCAGTTTTAGATAGGGTATATAACTAAAGTCAACGCCCATAAATACCACTAACCATAACATTTGAATGGAAACTGATAACAAAAAACATCAAACATTGTAGTAAATATCTTATATTAAAAAAATGGAAAGGCAGAAATAATATCAAAATCGTTAATAATCATATTCTGTGAAATGAAAAGTATCAATAAAATAGTGTTTGCAAGCAGTTGCTGTCTGCAGACATTTCTGTCAATAGCTCCTGTTGTTCATCGGTTCTGTGTTTTTATTTAACATTGTTTTATGAAAATCTGTCGTTCTGTGACCTTAACCCAACTTTTTGACAGTTATGTTTCAAAATTTGAAAATATTTTGATAAAAAATATATTTTTCCCTTGAGAAATTAGTTTTTGATCATAGTGGACGACAGTCGTGAGTATATGGATTCACAGGAAGGGTAGGTTATTTTTATATTAGTACTTATGTGAACTGAAATTTGTTTTTTCAGGATTAGCATTGATAAAATTGATGAAACATTGACTTTGGCAAAACTCAGCAGGAACGATGTGAAACCCTATTCTCAGATGTTACATTTCACTGATGAGGATTTGAATAATCACGATTATAAATTATTACAGCTTGATTCACATTTACTTTCCGAAATAACAGCTGGCAACACTTTGTTTATCAAAGGTGAAGATGAAGATGAAGTTGTTATTTGTTCAGAAACGTCGACCTTTCATGTTACAGAGGCAGAAACTTCTAATAGTTTACTTCTGGTGAACGATTTGAAATTGAGTAATGATATTGACGAATCTGCAGAACACAAAGTGTCCAAAGTTTCTGTGAGCGCTATATTTTTTGACTATTTAGAAGCCACAGTGGGGAAGCCTCATTTAAAAAAAATAAATGATTTCCTTTCATGTACTACTTTCAAAGGACCAGAATTTGAACACGAGATTGATAAAGAAAAACTGTTCTCTCTCGGAGAATTAGCTAATGTTGTACAAGCGTCTAACAAAGAACTAAGGGAAGCTTTGAATCCGATGAACGTTATCGAACTCGAGGGAAAAATTCGGTTACTGGATTTTTCGTACCAGTTCCGAGTTTTGTCTTACATGTTCAAACTGATTGAAGAAAATTCGTGGCAGCTTGATGAGATTGATTTTGATGAAACTGTAGAATCATTGACAGATTTAGTTCCCCGCGAAGTAGTTTGTGGCTTATTTGATAAATACGCAGAAGAATCCAAGGTAATCGACTCCCTGCAGCTCTACAAGTACAAAGAAAATGAAGTTTGCACTTTTTTTGCTTCAGCTCTGTTGCATGGGACTGAAAAACTGAGTTTAGAGGAGTTCATGCAGGTATGGACAGATTCAGTGCCAGAAGGGATGGTCCCTAAAGAGGAGATGCTTTATGGAATAGCGATAATCAACAGAAATATCAACCCGAATATTGTGGTGGCCTTTGATGAGAACACTTTACCTGAGGACATCATCGAAAGGTTTAAACGTTTGTTTGAGGTGAAAGAAAAGTGGAGTGTGCCTGAAATAGCACCCTATATAAGGTGAGATTCAATTTGCAGATATTGAATTAATCGAATGAGAAAATGAAAGTTTTGAGAAGACTGTTAGGGAGACAAGAATGTATGTGTAATAGAACACATTGTTCTATTTGAGTTATAATGTTTAATTTTTACATTCTAAAACTTCTCCAAACCTTTTGACTTTTATCAGTACAGTATTAATAAAATTATCGTATGAAAATAATATGACAGTGTTGATCAACCAATAATAAATTATACACATAGACTTTCTCTGGTGTTGGAGAATCAAAAATGGCATTCTCACGATTTTTATGCATTCAATCTTGTGTATTCTTCTTAGTCCTATATAATTTTTTTCAGACGACTGACAACAGAAAAACTGGATGTGAATGCCTTATTGGCCAAATATGCGAGAGCTTCGAAAGTAAATGGAATAAAGTACTACTCTTCAAAGCACGGGAAGTGACCAAGACCAAGATAATCTGACTATTCATTTGATATTTTTTCTGATAGAAAATAAGATTTGAAAAATGTATCCCGATATTTCATTTTTTGTCATTTGCACCAAGCAAACTTTGAAGACATAAAAAATGATAATGAATGTTTCCCAAGAAATATATATGTTTATAGTAAAAATAATTCAAAATTTAATATCATAATTAAAATTGATTAAATCTACTTTGAAAGTATTATAATTATAAAAAATACACACACACACACACACTCACACACACATATAAAGGAATAATTTTAAGGCAATAAATATTTTTTTTAATTAATTTGAAATTTTTGTTTATTGAAATGGTTTATTGTGAAACTTGATATCTCTATAATAAATCAAATGTTTTCCAATATGTGTTTTCATTTTCATTACTTTTAGATTGCCTGGACATCTTGCTGAATGATTATGTTGGTCAGTATTAATTTTTACAGATTTCAATATTTAAATGAAGGTGAATTTGAATTACGAAAGGATGACAAATCCAGTAGTTTTATTGGTTTATACAAGTTGATTGTCGGTTCCTTTATTAGTTTAGCTTAAAGGTACATTGTAATTTCATTTTCAAGTTTTTTAACTGGTTTTTAAAGGCACGAAGTTTCTCCGTTTGATAAAATTGCATTTATGGGAGCTAATTTCCTTCTTATTGCTTCAATGTGTTTTGTGTCCATGATAAGTGTTTATCAAATCAAATTTATTCATCACCGAAGTCCATACAAATGTATAAAAGATGCATCATGTTAACTTATTGGACTAGTCATAACAAAACCTACAAGCAATACAAATACAAAATAAGTATATATCAAAACTCAAAAAACATTAAAAGTTATAGAAATACAATCAATATAATTATATAATAAAAAGAGTACTGTCTGTTCATAAATGAAAGGAACAATTGTCCAATCAAAGAACATTAAAATAACAGTATGTTAATGATACATACCTACCCTTATATCAAATTATATAAAATAAGACCAAGAAATTCCACAATATCATTCATCAGTGTCTTGTCTTATGAAATATCAATTACAATTTCTTGTACCTTATTTGCTTTGTAAATTAAAATAATGTCATCAGTAATCAACCCAATAAATTTACTGTAGCCAAAGAATAATCACATATAAGGAAGAAAACAGATCCCAGAATTGATCCTTGCAGGACGCCACTGATCATGGTTTTAAACTGTTGAATGAAAATAATTTTTTTAGACGAATCATTGTTTTTGTGAACCTTTCTTAAGGCACTTTCACTGATTGAAAGAAAAAGAGAACTTTATATAACAGATGAATAAAATAAGCAAATTTATAACCCGTCTCTATCATCAGAATGTACAAATTACATCTTTGAGAAAAATCTTGTCAGTTTTTTCAGATATTCTCATTTCGCTAGTCTGATTTCAATGAATTCTTTGAATTTAATCTTTTGAAAGGTCCCATAAGTTTGCAATTATTATCAAAATCACATAAAAAATTTAAAATACTTTGATTTTAGACATATGTAAAAAGCGAGTGTGCGGGTCAGAATTGATATTTGGCCCCAAGTAAATTGTGCCACGTTGCCTGTTAGGGCTGTGCTTAAATGATGGCCAAATAAAATCAATACATAGTTGGATATATTATAATCATTTAAACAATATTGCAGGGCAATACAGACATTGAGAGCATTTTAACATAAGGTACAGATTATATTGTTACATGAGTGCTTTATCTTGTAGTGTTATCCAGATATTGGTGCTGAAGAGGCAATCAGACAAGTGTCTAATTCCGAAACATCGATGTCCGTCATTGACGAGGATAGTGTTCCATGTAAGTGAAATTTTCCGTCGTTCATATACTATATTGTGTAGCAATCCTGTTAATGATATCTGATTGTATTCCATAACGGATGTTTGGAGTACAAACCGAATAAGAAAAAATATACTTTTAATTCAGTGTTCAATGTGAAACCTAATATTAGCTGAAAATACATTTCGGGTTGTCACTTATCTATACCGGCAGATATAAAGACGCGGTTCCTTAGAATTTTCCATATGAAAGTAGATTACTTTTAAGAATTTATTTTTCGACTCTGAAAAATAATAGGAACGGGAGAAATATCTAGGTTTGACTTTCGAAACTCAAGATTGAAACTAACTTGCATAAAGGCAAGAAATAGTATTGAAGGAATAAATGTAAACAACACTATGCAAGTGTAGTAAAGGTCAATGATGCCAGTGTACACATCTTCCGAATGACAGAGCTATTGGAAAGAAAATATGTATGGTGAACGTTTTTGTGTAAAAATATTACAAATTGGATTATTTTATAGAAGGGACTATTGGTAGACGCAATCAAATTTTTTTAATAATGACATAGGTTCAAAAAGAGTCAGAGTGGTAGGTAAAATATTGTCATTAATTTCGCACATAAAAGTTGAAAATGTGAAAAAGTTTTCGATAAAAAAGAAACTCGATATAGTTTATGCTAGCCTATAATTCGTGTTTGAAATGACCGATACATGTGTGTTCCCGTTTCCAATCTGTTTTTATTTCTGATACATTTGTGTTCCCATTTCCAATCTGTTTTTATTTCTGCAACAAAACCGAAACAAGGTAACATACTATATAACATACACCCGAAGCAACATCGCCAGCAAGCGGTAACGCGAAGTATCGAGTCCATATATCAGTCCGGAACATATTACTGCAGTGTATTGAAATTTACAAGAGCCCAGAAGCCACAGCTTTCGAAATACGCGCTCGTATGCCTAAACGGCACGCGGCGTTGCCACGTTGTGATTGGAAAAAATCATCCAACTCATGCTACCTTAAAAGGAAAGGCATTCGAGGTATCAGTAAACATGAGTTTACAAAACCTCAACATGTGTTTCATTATAACAATTTACCTACAGGATTGGAAGACATTCTCTCTTGGTATAATAATAATAATGATAATACGTCTTTATTCACCATAAAAATACAAATGGAATAGACAAAAATAAAATAAAACAGTATACAGGAACAATAACAAAAACAAAGAAAAAAACTTCCAGTATATGGTGAATAGGCGAAGTATCAGCCAAGGCTGTTTTCTCACTCAACTCAACTCAACGTGGGAGAAACTATAGATGAATAATATGAACACAAGTCGAGTTAACAATATCAAAAAATTTTAGTTATTGCTTTACTTTAGAAAATTTATTTTAGAAATGCCAAGTTCGGGAACGGACAAGAGGCTAATGAGACAAATAAGTCTTCAGTCTTTTTTTAAAGTTTACGATGGTGTATGATCGAAATTCGCAGGGTAGCTGATTATAATACTTGGGTACATTATACGGGAAGCAGCTGGTGAAGATGGAAGATTTGTGTTTGGGGATGACTAGAACTGAACTGTTCCTTGTAGTAAAGCTGTTAATCGTAGAGAATGTTTTAAGCTTCTTCAGTAAGTAATCAGGTTGTCGAGTTATCAAAACTATATGTGTGTTGATAAGAACATGTAGAGTTCTAAGTTTCTCAACATTTAACCATCCTGATTCTTGCATTGCTGGGGATATATGGTCATATTTCCGAATACCAAACGAGAAACGGAGACAGCTATTCTGAATACGCTGTAGTCCGCATCCGATTATTTTTAAGCAGGTCCATAAATACTGTCGCAATAGGAAATTTTTGACATAATCAGAGACTCGCATAGTCTAAGTTTTAAGTTTGTGTTGAGCAAATCACGATTAGGAAAAAGCTGTCTGACAACGTTATAAGAAGATTGGTTCAGATAGCTGACATGTTTAGTAAAGCGAAGATCCAGATCAATCCACAATCCTAAATTTTTTATCTCGTCCACGGAGGGAAGTATATCGTTTTCGATGCGAACTTGAAAGGTAGAGTTGGTGAGCTCTCTGTTCTTCTTAGCTCCGAACATCATTATTGCGGATTTGTCTGAATTGAGCTTGAGCTTATGGGCAGTAGAAATGTCAAAGATGGCTTGGAGATCGTTATTAATAAGCGACAGAGCAGATGTAGACTCGCCAGGTAAAAAAGAGAAATATAACTGCCTGTCGTCTGCATAGTGATGTATATTGCATTTTTTCACGGACAGATAAAAGTCACAAATATACAAGCTAAAAAGCAAGGGCCCAAGGATAGATCCTTGTGGCACTCCCTTTAATACCGGCAGAGCATCTGAAATAACTTCATCCACAATAACTCTTTGAGTACGATTCATCAGATAGTTTTCTAAGAAGGACAATGCTTTCCGAGAAAACCGAATTTGACAAGTTTGTCACACAATATCTCATGATCAAGAATGTCAAATGCCTTGCTGTAATCTAGAAGTATTAAACAGGTCAAATTTTCTTCATCTGCAGCTTGAAAAATATCGTCAATTAGTCAAAAGAAATAGGTACATATATTTTCAAGAGTCGTATCAGAAAAAGATTTTGTAGGTTTTGAAAACGAAAAAAGAGTTTATTCGAAACGTCAACCGTTTTGAAAGAGCTGAGCGTTGAAAATTGTATTTTTTCAATCAAGTTTACTCGTATATCAAATATATAAAATACCAACTAATTTGACTCTTCAGTGGTTTATATTTCGCTGTAACTTATCAGAGTGAACTTTGGCCTTTATTACACTTGAGCAGATTATCTTCCACCAAGCAGAAAAATGTTGCTTCAAAGTTGCAGAATCTCACATATGGAATTTGACTTGTTACTCTTTACGACACGATGTGAGTTTTGAAAAAAAAAATAACTAGGGTCACAAATATTTTGTGCTAGCTCTGTACATAATCTACAATGCACGCCTTACTACGGCATTATAGTGACCTTCTTTCTCCAAAAAGTCTCTAATGAACAAGATTTACAACTGCTGATTTACATTGATAATCATTTATATTTGATAATTTCTATATCACCATATAATAATGATGAAAATAGAAATGGTTGAAATGGAATTGGTACTTGAACTGTTCTTTAAAAGTTGCAGAACTTATTCTTATCAAAGTCTTTCTAACTGATATTCACTAAAGCTGATTCAAATTTCATAACGTTAATTTGAGTTTGTAATAATTGGCGAAGGAGAAGTTTACGCTTTGGCGGAGGAGCCGGTAATGTGTCATATCAAACCCTACACATCCACCTTAATTTTTGAATGGAACAAGATAATTAGGTCGGACAAAATTTACGTGAAGATGCTTCAGTGTTACTACTTTTTCATAAAAAAATATTAGTGTTGCATCAAGTATTGTCGAGCGGCACTACCGATTTTATTATTCAATGTTATTAATTTTTTTACGGTACAATGCAAGTGACCATTTTCTTTCAAAATTGCGGAACGAAAGCCAATCAAAACAACTCAGAAACTGTATCGAGGAGACGTACGTAGACAGTTTGACAGTAGACAGACAGTTTAAAATACCAACTAATTTGACTCTTCAGTGGTTTATATTTCGCTGTAACTTATCAGAGTGAACTTTGGTCTTTATTACACTTGAGCAGATTATCTTCCACCAAGCAGGAAAATGTTGCTTCAAAGTTGCAGAATCACACATACGTAATATGACTTGTTACTCTTTACTTTGCTTTAATAGACGTCAAAGCAGCGTCAATTTGAGACTTACAAAAGTTACCACAGTTCATATAACAGAAATATGTTTCCGTGCCTTTCGAATGAAACATTCGGTCAATTTTCATTTTCAAAATTGCTGATGCAGAAGGTATAAACACGGGTAGGGGAACTATGGAACAGTTTCAAATTTTCAAGGACAATGACATGAATGTATATGCTAGTGAAACGACTAAGTTGCTTGGACTAACAATCGACTATAAATTGTGCTGGGAACCACACGTCGATATACTTTGTAAAAAGTTAAGAAACAATTGTTATGCTTTGAAGTTCTTGAAGTTGTCACGAAAACATACTATTAACAGTTTATTATGCAAACATCAACTGTCATCTGCGATATGGTATTCTTAACTGCAGTACTTGTACCTCTTGGTCACGTGTTTTTGCTCTGCAAATTGTTGCAGGACTAAATTGGAGGCAGTCCTGTAGAGAGGCTTTTAAGCGACTAAAGATCTTAACTTTGACAGACTTGTGGTTCAGTCAAAGTATCATGATACTTTGACTGATAATTTGATACTTCCTGTTTCCTGACAAGTGAGCACTGATGATGACGAAAGTCGAAAGCGCTTTGCAAGAATTTTAAAAATTATACACTTTAATACAAAAAACCTCTTCAATTCATTAATTCAAATAAGTGTATTCAGCTATTCCAAATCTTTCAAACAAATAAAAGTGGTAAAAAACTGAAATTTTCATTTCTCTTTTCGTAAGCTATTTTATTGAAAGAAAGAAACGCCATCTGGGTGCAAAATAAATTGCACGAGGCCATTTTTTTATTATTTTGAAGAATTGAAATTGAAATTTTATACTAATTGAATAGTACTGGCCGATACTTGATGAAAATCCATATTAGAAAACTAATCAATACAGTAAAGTAAAAACTCCAGTAATATAATATTAATAATAACGTTTATTCACATTTGTTTTTTTTTTCACATGGTCTTTTACCTTAATCTATAGTCCGTTCATAATTTGTCGATAGCACAAAATGAGGGCCCAAGTCATAAAACGGTCGTAAAACTCGTAAAATCATAGGCGGAGGTTCCTGAGGTGTTTATTCATTAAATATAAAGCTTCAGTTTATATTCTAAACTTGCCTTGAAAGGGTGAAGTTGTTACGAACGAAAATAATTTTTGGTTTAGTACATTTTTTAATCGCATTTAATTTACGGCTCGTTGGTGTTTCGACGTCTACGGCAGTAATTAACGTCTTTAATATTTATTTTGCGAATTTTGTGCAGTGCGTGAGTAACTTTTTTTCATATTCCTACAAACATATACGTACCTTTCGTTCCTGCTTGTTTTGTTTGATTGCTTGCGATGGCTTCGTCATCATCATCAACATCATCAAGTTTTACACCGGTACTGTTGCGTACAGTCAGTAAGTCTGTCTATTCACCAAGAGAGAAGACTATTGTTTTGAACGTTCACGATGCTCTGGTTTCTCAGAATCCCACAAACACTGTTCAGAACATAATCAAGAGTTGTGCCAACATGACGGGCGTAGGGGAGTCAACAATATATAGGTTCCTATCAGAAAGAAGAAAAAAAAGGTATAGCTACCCCAAATACAAACGAATACTTAAAGAGGGGGAGAAAACCTATTGAAATTGATGAATTTGCCAAAAAGGAAAATTCACGAATTTTTTTACAAAAAAGAAATACCTACCCAACTTAAACAAAATTTTACAAGAAGGTAGAGACGACCCGGATTTGCCTCATGTCGGACGAACCAAATTGTGGCAAGTTTTAAAAGAATTAAATTTCCGGTGGGAGAAATCAGACCGAAAATCACTTTTGATTGACCGGGAAGAGATAATATGTTGGAGAAGAAAGTATCTAAGATTTATACGAAAATTTCGGGCTGAAGGAAGGCCAATTTACTATCAGGACGAAACGTGGGTAAACGCAGGTCATACTCTCACAAAAATTTGGACAGATAAAAATATATCAAGCTCCAGGCAAACCTTTATGGAAGGTTGGTCTACTGGTATTTCCCCACCCTCTGGTAAAGGCAGTAGATTATTAGTTTCTCACATTGGCAGTGAAAAAGGATTTGCTAAGCATGGTTTGTTGGAATTTGAATCCAAAAGCACAAAAGACTATCACGAGGTGATGACAGCTGATATTTTCGAAGAGTATTTTGAGCAGATGATTGAACATATACCACCAAACTCAATTATAGTATTAGATAATGCACCTTATCATTCACGACTAGTTGAAAGACTTCCAACGACTGCGTGGAAGAAACAGGATATCATTGACTGGCTGCGGAATAAGTCCCTGCCTTACGAAGATGGAATGGTTAAAGCAGAACTTTTAAAAATTGCCCGGCAACACAAATCTAAGTTCAAGAAATACGTAGTTGACAAAATGGCGGAAAGACGAAACATCACAGTCCTTAGACTTCCACCCTACCACTGCGAATTAAATCCAATTGAACTCATTTGGGCACAAATGAAAAGCTATGTGGCTAGAAAAAATACGTCATATAAAATACAAGCTGTACGTGAATTGTTATATGAGTCTTTACAACATATTACAGAACAAAATTGGCGAGATGCAGTAAGACATGCAATAGAAGAAGAACAAAAAATGTGAGATCTTGACAATATAATTGATGCGACTGTAGAGACACAACCGCTAATTATTAACCTGCAAGACGACTCGGATTCCGAAGATGATCCTGTTTATTTTGAATTTGAATAGTTTTGTAAGTAATCGTAGTTTATATCATTTAAAAATAGGTATTAATTAAATAAATGTATCTTTTACAAATTGCAAGTAACTTTAAAATAAAGAAATTTTTTTAAAATAAAAATACAGTTTACAGTACCTACAGTTTAAGAATATTAATATATTTATTTATTTAAAGTAACTAATGTTTTAATCATATACTGTACGACACTGGTCACTCATTTCCACTCAAAATACCTACATAATCGGATTAAAAGTTTTATAGCTGTATTGTATTTCTTCAGATACAAGGTGGGTTAGTCGAAAACATCTTAAACTGCCAGTTTTAGTTTGGTTTTTGTTATTATATCTTATTAGCTGTCCTCTCTGTATTTCAGTTCTCTAATGAGGGTCAAACTTGCAGTGAGCTATCAACAAATTATGAACGTACTATAGTCAATTAGTAAATAAACAAAGAGAAATCCCATTTAAGACCTTACGGTTGCGCTTGGGTCATCTTATTTCATTAATAATTAATCAACTAATATTAATCAATACAGTTTATTGTATGATTTTCACTACAAGCTTATAGTGAAAATCATACAATAAACTGTATTGATAAATTTTTTTTCTTAATTTTTACTACCGTAAAAATTTGCGGGCACCTGCTACGTTCACTGGGCGACAAAGTCATGGAACTGGGCTTCACAAATGTCGCCCAGTTTATATGTTATTTTATGCCCTGTCCCAAAGATTGTGGAAGGTGAAAGTTCCCCCAAAAATTCGATAAAAATCATTATTAAATTATACACGCAAACTTTCCTAAATATGCAGTAATTTGAATAAAAATATGCCGCATGGGTGTTTATTACAAGAAAAAAAACAATCACGAAATTGTGCAACCATCCATTTATCCCGAATATCCTTTCAGGAAAGCGACTCCGGCAACGTCGGTTCTCAGTTACCGAGGCCCTTTTGAAAATCTTGAGCATCCAGTGACGTCACTGCGACTTCGTTATCGATCCCGTTAGTTCTGAACCGCGTGTACACCAAAAAGCTCCGGAAAGCTAAAGACTGCGGCCGGAAAATTCGCGATATTGCAAAATTTTGCTGACTCAAATTTCGAATCGAGTGCGTCACAAACAGAATGACTACGTAAGGAGTGAACGTTCATAGTTGGTTTCGAACAAGCGAAAGGATTATTCTCTGGGAAAAAAGGCCTCGCTAGTTCACTGCGGTAAATATTAGTTGGTGTTGATCATTTCTTGTAGAAATATATTTTCAGTAATAAGTTGTGTACCATATCACTCCGGATTTATTAACTGTGCTTTTGTATAAAAATTGCTGCGTTCACTTTACAAATATATCAGATCAAAGTGGAGTTCATCTAGTCTAGGGTTAGACCGCGAACAATGAAGAATCTAGATCAAAGACCTCGTTGACTTCGATGAACTCATTCGGCCATACTTAATAAGGTCTTGAGGGCACTCGAATGAATTGAATGCAGCGAAAAAGATTTCTTGGCTAATACGTATCGATCTATGATTTTTTGTACCAGGTTCATTCCCCTCTCAGTTATCACTAATTCATTTCATCTTGGAAGAAAAAGTGTTTTCTCCTGGTTTCGACAATGGATTATTGAAAACAACCAGTTGATTGGCTCCACGAAAAAACTTATTCAAATTCACTGAAATGATTGTCAAATCTATATATTATATTAATTAGATAGGTAAGCTCATAGTGTTAGTATTTATCATTTGAAAGTGAAATGCTATTTTTACGAGAGATTAGTTTTTGAAAAAAGTCTTTTGGCTTTCACTTTTTCATCTTCGTACAAACAATTATGGAAGTTATTTTTGCATAATTGGATGTTCATATAAAAGTAGTTGTTTCCAAAATATTTTTTCATTCATGTAATTCGATATTTATATGAAAGTAGTTGTTTCGAAAGGGCTTTTTCTTCCAGTTTGTGTCTGAAAGTTACTTCTTTGCATGATCTACACATCTTTGTATGGGGTTAATTTTTTGAAATTGATTGCTTTCTTCATTATTTCAATGAAGATTCTTGAAAATTCAATGAAATTGTTTCACGTTTAATTTAATAATTAAAAATATCAAACGCAACAGACTCATATTTCTCGATTACATGCTTCGATGTAACTTCGGAAAATTCTGCTTACGTTATCGTGTAGTCCTTGAAAATTGGCCACGTCAAAGCGCTATTTGTTTTACATTTCTTTCGAAAATAAAGCTATATAGGAGAAACATAAAACAAATTTCACAAATTTAGGTTTTTCTCGGATATCTCCAAAACTACTCGGGATATTAAAACTTCTTAAATGGCATATTATTAGGCACGTAAATGCGCTACTTTTCTCTAATTCAATCGACCCCGTATTACTTATAGTTCTTTATATCTCCATGCTGTTCATTCTTATTTTGGACACAGTGCCAGGGCCGTAGCGAAAAGAAAAACCAGGGGAGAAGGGAATCCAAATTTTCCCAACCCCACCAGCAAAATTTCCCAACTTTCGAAGAGATGAAAGCCGAGGGATTAGTGTTACTAGTATAATATATTAATTTTCTTACTTAGCTATCCAAAGATTGGCTGAATGCTCGTGCCCGTTAGGGTATGCACAGAACAAAAATAAATTTTGGAAATTTTAAAAATAATATTGGGAATTATTGTACTTTGGACCAAGGTTCTTGGGCTTCCACCATATCCACCATGTATAGGAATATTCAATACAAATGAAAGGAAACAACACTTAAATAATATTGTGCTTATTGTTTTCTACCATTATTTTTTCTATCTTCACGTCCCGAAATTTCCCAACTTTCCCAAGTCGAAAAAACAGCGAAAAGTTGGGAATTTTGTTAAATTGTCACTTCAAAATTTGTGGACTGTTCAGGACTGTTCTCTTACTTGGGAGAAATTAAACTTTTTTGAAGATTTCAACCAACTCAGAATTCTCTTCAAGTTATGCATGTTGGAAAATCCCAACCTTTTCCTGGTTCTTTCCCTTTTCTTATTACCTCTCCTTTTCTTTTCTCTCATTTTTATTTTTTTAATTTTTATTCATGTTTTTACTATTATTTTTTTCTATCTTCATGGCCCAAAATTTCCCAACTTTTCTCAACTTTTTCCCAAGTCGAAAAAGCAGGGGGGAGGCTTCCCCCAATCCCCCTCAATGGCGATGGCCCTGCACAGTGCACACTGTAACAGTGTAACTTACTTTGGTGATCCTATCAATAATATCGCTCGTTAAGAAAAAAAAAACAGAGAGTTATATGTAGCCTACAGATTAAATACTGATTTGAGAAAAATTCATTAGAAACAATAATGATAAATCTTCAGTGTCTGATAAATTCGGGAGTGTACAAGTTGACTTGTGGTTCTTGTCCAAATTTTATATCGGACCAACCGGTAGAACTTTTCCATAAGAATTAAAGAGCATAGAAGTAGTTTTTTGAACGGAAAGACCAATTCAATATTTGCGAAACAAGGTACGAGTTCAATCACGATTATGGCGTAATGCATAAATAAAAGAAAAGTTTTCCAATTTTTTGAAATATTCAGAAATCAATAGATGTAAAAATTCTGGATTATTGCTCAATGATCAAATGGATTCGAATTATTCCCAATTATTGACTTTAGTTTGCAACGAGGAAATTGGTAATTAGTACAATTCTTAAAACTAGGTAAAATGATAGCTGATGAGCTAAAAATGTTCATTCATTTATTTTCCAGTCTTATGAGTTGTTCGTAGATAAGTAAATATTTTAAGTAATGAATGTATTATGTAGAAGTGTGATAGGTAGTATCAGTCATTATCAATTACTATAAAAACACGACACTTAATTTGTACAAACAGAATTGGGACGCCTGAAGATGCGTAACTTTCAAGCAGAAATCTCACACTGTGTTTTTTTAATATGTGAGTTTTGAAAAAAAATAACTAGGGTCACAAATATTTTGCGCTAGCTCTGTACATAATCTACAATGCACGCCTTACTACGGCATTATAGTGACCTTCTTTCTTCAAAAAGTCTCTAATGAACAAGATTTACAACTGCTGATTTACATTGATAATCATTTATATTTGATAATTTTTATATCACCATATAATAATGATACAAATAGAAATGGTTGAAATGGAATTGGTACTTGAACTGTTCTTTAAAGTTGCAGAACTTATTCTTATCAAAGTCTTTCTAACTGATATTCACTAAAGCTGATTCAAATTTCATAACGTTAATTTGAGTTTGTAATAATTGGCGAAGGAGAAGTTTGCGCTTTGGCGGAGGAGCCGGTAATGTGTCATATCAAACCCTACACATCCACCTTAATTTTTGAATGGAACAAGATAATCAGGTCGGACAAAATGTACGTGAAGATGCTTCAGTTTTACTACTTTTTCATAAAAAAAATATTAGTGTTGCATCAAGTACTATCGAGCGGCACTACCGATTTTATTATTCAATGTTATTAATTTTTTTTACGGTACAATGCAAGTGACCATTTTCTTTCAAAATTGCGGAACGAAAGCCAATCAAAACAACTCAGAAACTGCATCGAGGAGAGGTACGTGAACAGTTTGAAAAATGAAATGTTCAGAATTCGCGGAGTACGTAGGGGAGAGTGTGTATGAAAGATCCAGTTTTGAAAAACATCAAAAAAAGTCAACGTCAGGTGATGGTTATTGAATGAAATTGCTTTTTGTAAATAATTAGTTTAATAATCATAGTTATCCAATCAAAATAAAATGAGATACAATGACAGACATTGATATGGCAAATTAAAAAAAAAGAAGGGAAATCGGCTCTTTCAAAGCAACATGTGTATGAAAGAGCCAGATTCCTCTTTACAAAAAAAAGTCTTTCAGCAAATAAAAATTACTATTTATTCATTAATATAAATTTATTTACTATTTATCTGTTATATAAATTTTATCAAACTGTAAAATTGCTTATTTCTGTGAAATACAGTTATTTATCAGTCTCAGATCACAATATTCCAAGAATTTTAAGCAATTTAATATTTATTTCTTCAAATAAACAGTCTTCATTGTGAAACAAATACTTAACTATAAACCTTGTAATACCACGAAAAAACAGTCTTTCAGTAATAACAATCTCTTAATAACCTATTTATCTCTTATAAAAACCTAATCAAACTCTAACATTGCTTATTTCTATTTAAATCACAGTTATTCACCAGTTTCAAATCACAATCTTACAATATTCTTGAGCATCTTAATACAATTATATTTTTTTTTAATTCAGTCTCCTTATGAAATAATTACAATAATTTTTATCTTGCTGGGAAGTAATCTTCTTGGTTTTCAATTCCAATTAATTAATTCCATCATCTGAGCTTGTTGAGCTCAGTAATTGGTTCTAGTGAATCCACATGAATAAACGCCATTTTCCCCAAATTTGTGAGAAATAAAAGTAGGCTCTAGCTAAGCTTCTAAATGTAAACTCAGGAAATTAAATTACAAACCAATTCACGTTCTTCTCATTATTTTTTCAATTGCCATACTTTACGTCATTCATTTAGAAACTCTCAATAGACCGAGTGAATTTCGTCTTTTGTTTTACCCTACGTATAGTTGTTCGACAATGTCTCCATAGATGGCGTTATTATGCGGCCATATTGAATTCGGAGAAAATGGCTCTTATACCGCCATTTTGAAGGGAAAAGGTTACTTGTGACACTTCGTTGAAAAGATAATTTTATATCCTATTGAATGGTTTCAAAAATATACAGAATTCTCTGTAAAATTCTTGACTGCGGTTCATTATTGGTATACAAAAATGTTGCTTGGTTGTTGCAGGGGGTGTGATGTGGCGGAGGGAAGGAGGGCGTTCGGCGGGGGGCAGGTAGCGGCCCCGGCCGCCGGCCCCAGCATGACGATGCGCGCTAAAGAATGAAGAAGCAAAACGTTCGCACCTTATCGCTGATCGTTTGCACGTTCACTTACCTCCTCATCGGCGCAGCTGTTTTCGACGCTCTCGAATCCAAAACGGAAAATCAACGAAAAATGGTACTGCAAGGTAAGCACAAAAGACAATAGTTTGCATTTGCACGTTTATGAAACAGATGAACGACAAAAAATGAACTTGTATAAAATTCGAATAAGGAATGACGTTAACCCATCTATCTGAACGACGAAAAGTATTTTTTACGAGAAAATCTTAGCCAGGCTGTGTTTCGTTAAAAATATCAAAATGACGTTAGGCGAGTCCTATGTTTTGGAATCTGGTATTTTCACAAGCAGCATGTTTTCCTTGTGGTTTGTTGGATCAAGTGAAATTTTTGTATAAATCAAATAACGTTGATACTTTTATATTCTAAAATCGTAATAATTGGTTAAAATTACCTCTAGCATTAATATGTTTTCTCATTTGCCTTTCTAATGAATTTGGTGAACTGCTCGCTGTTGGAGACTTCTGATTTCTTAACAACCACTGATCAAAGTTCTTCATTTTAACAAATATGATAACCTTTAGGAAATTGTCTTTGTTTACATTTTTCCTCAATAAAATGGTACTTTTCAACATAGAGCACATGTTTCACAAGGAAGAGGATTTGACAGTTTCAAATGTTTGCGCCAAATAAGCCAAAATTACATCCTCAGTAATAGTTTTGCATTTCTTCATATCCATCCATTTCGAGAACAAATCATAGTTATTTGGGCCTTGAATAGCGAACAAAAACCATAAATATTAACTAATTTCATGTCAAATAGCTGTTAGTCGTGGGAAGGTACTTCCTGGGCGGTTGCCGAAAAATGTACTTTTTTTAGTGAAATGAAATGTTTTGCGAATAATTTCATGAAATGTTTTATTTATGTCGTTGATTGAAAATATCCTTATGAATAAAACACTACAAAAAGTCGCAAAAACCATACCTTTTTTGGATTATTTGATCAATAAAAAGTTTTCAAAGCAATCATGAAAAGTTAACAAATGCAGAAAATTAAAAAGTTCAAGTTTAAAAAATATATATGATAATTTGTTTATTTGAAACGAAATTAGCTAATCAAAATAGTCCGGAAGACTGTATCGAGGAAGATACATACGTATAATGACTTTTGAAGGTTTAGCCTATCTAAAAACCATATGGATTCAATACCAGTAGCGCTCTCTGTGTGTCAGCCAACGAAGTTTTCAGTATAAGTTTCATCGTATAAGAAAAGTACATATTTCGAAATAAAGTCGAGTCTTTATAATCATATGTTGTCCCGTTCTATTACAGAAATCCAAGCTATAGTGAGAAGAAAATACAATATAAGCGACGAAGATTTCAGACTGATGGAGACGATCGTATTAAAGTCTGAACCGCACAGGGCCGGTCAGCAGTGGAAGTTCACGGGGGCTTTCTACTACGCGACCACCGTGCTGACCACGATCGGATACGGACATTCGACCCCAAGCACCATATCCGGAAAGTTGTTCACCATGTTTTACGCGATCATTGGAATTCCCTTGGGCCTCGTCATGTTTCAGAGCATCGGTGAGAGGGTCAACAGATTGAGCAGGTGCGTGCCTGGATTGGTTTCGAATAAACTTTGATTTCATTGTACTTCTTAACAATTTCAATAGTTGTTCTCTCTCTCTCTAACTGCCACTGTACGAATCTATATTGAATATACGGATTGGGTTTTACACAAAGCAACACGTTTTACTGAAGTGGAATATTTCCAATAGGGATATATTTTTGAAAATAAGTTAGTCAAAAAAAATTGATTATGAATTTTTCAGTGCCAATTTCAAATCTACTTGGCAAATTATAAATGTATAGCTAAAAATAACAAATTCATTAAGCAATAAATCGTGGAATGGAATTACAGTAAAATAAAAATTCGCAAAAAATTAATAGAAAATAATTTACAAGTTCAAAAAACACCTGAATAGGTGATAACTGTCTTGTGTCTTCAAATTGAGATGTATAATACTTTTTATATTGATTGATTGATAATATGTTAATTGTTTAAGAATAAATTCTTGTTACAAACACAATGTCATAAATAAATATCAATATAAACATGAAAAGTATAAGATGTGAAATATAAATGATTGAAACAAAATATAAACTATATATACATACATATGCAGATGTTACTTGACAAGAACTTGGACAACGAATAAAAATATATGTTTCACACACAGTACAATTACAGTTTCATCACATTCTAAATTACAGGGCATCGTCAAAATATTCTTGTAGGTCATAATAGGCTTTATCACTTAATAGTTTTGTACATTTCTTTCTAAATATGATGAAATGAGTCTCTTTGATTCCATTGGGAAGTTTATTGTATATTCTGATTCCATTATATATCAACGAGTTTTGAACCAAACATGTTTTTGGAATTGGTAGGCTCAGTTCATTTGACCGCCTTGTGTGGTATGTGGCTGTAGCTGTAGATTAATAGTTCTCCCTATTTTTATGTATAATTGACACGGTTTCCAATATAAATATTGAAATAACCGTAAGGATTCTATGTTCTCGAAAAAAGGGTTTACATGATTCCCGCCAATTCGCTTTACATAAGTACCTGATAGCCCTTTTCTGCAAGACAAAAACCGACTGCATACGTTGTTTACTGCAAACACCCCAAAATGGTATACCATACCTTAGATGAGAGTCTATTAAGGCATAATACACTACTTTCGCTGCAGCAAACCCCAGTTCCTTTGAGATGTTTCTCAGTGCGAAACATCCTGATGCTAATTTTTTGTTGATGTGTGCAATATGCTGAGAGAATTTTAAATTTTCATCTAAACAAATTCCCAAAAATTTCAAAGTGGAGTTATTTTTTATTGTGTTATTGTCTAGGGGGATATCAGGTATATTAATTACACTTGAATGCTAATATATTTGTTTTTCTAGTATTCAATGATAGAAGATTCGAGTCAAACCAATTCTTCACTTTTTTCATGCCTTGGCACATTTTGTTATGCAATCTGTTTTTGTCCTTGTCATGCCAGACTAATGTGGTGTCGTCAGCAAATAAGGTAAAGCTTCCTGTAATCGATATGTTGGTCAAATTATTAATGTATAACAGAAACAGTATAGGACCTAACACAGAGCCTTGAGGTACTCCACAATTTATCTCTCCCACGTCCGAGTTAGATGACGTTCTTACAAATTGTTTTCTGTCAGAAAGGTATAAACTAATCCAAATAAGACTGTTGTCCCTAAAACCATATCTTATAAGTTTCCGAAGCAATATGCTGTGATTGACACAGTCAAAAGCTTTGGATAAGTCACAAAGCACTGCTGCAGTGGCTTCCCCGCTGTTGATTTCATTAAACACCAATTGCAATACTTTTGATACAGCTTCACTTGTACTCTTAAACTTCTGAAAGCCATACTGATGTGTACTCAATATCCCATTACTGGTCAAAAATTCCATGATTCTTTTTTTTTACCAGTTTTTCAATAATTTTTGCTGAGATTGGGATGAGCGATATAGGCTGGATCTTCATTGTTGCCGCCTTTATGGAGAGGAATGACAACTGAGGTTTTGGGAATTGATGGAAATGTTCTTTGCTCGAAGGAATTGTCAGTCAGTACAACAAGTATATTGAGCGCAGTCTCAGGAAGCCTTTCGAGAATTTTAATAGAAATTTCATCAAAGTCAGATGCTTTCTTATTTTTTATGTTGCCTATCACTTCTTTCAATTCATTCATGCTGATGCGGTGTAATGAAAAGGTATTTCATTTCCTGTTAACATTCATTTTATGAATTCATTTAAGGTCCCTGTTATAAACATGGCCGTCAGCGGCCATGGAGATCCTTCTAGATCTACGTCCCCTCCACATTTTTCTGGACAGACCAGATAGACGGCATTTATAGACTTGTACACATTGCCAGTTGCACGAATCAATTTAATGCAGAGTGCAACAAACACTGGAAGTCACAGAATTCTGGAAATGACCTCTGACATTATGCCTCCAACATGTCAACTACGAACTGCCTTATAAAGTACTGTTCCCAAGTAGAGAGGACTGGATCCTTTGGGAGAAGGAAATATTAAGAGCAGATAGTTGTTGGTTAACAGATACATCAAAAACACCTTCCGGTTCTGGTGCAGGTGTTTTCAGTCGCAGACCCAGGACAGAGATATCAACCTGCCTAGGAACCTATGCGGAAATTTACGATATTGAATTGTACGTGGAGAGATTGGAAGAATCCAACCTCATACACAAGTCAATAAAAATATTCTCGTTGGACGACGCTTGACTCCTACCAAGCAACGTCTAAATTGGTAGCAAATTGTCAAAAACGACTCTTCTTCATAGGAAGGCTTAGCAGATTATCTTTGGTCTGGATTCCTGACCATACTGTCCTGGAAGGCAATGAGGCTGCTGACTCCCTTGCAAAGGAGGATGCTGCAAGCAATTTCATCGGACCAGAACCTGTCAATGGCATCGCTTTAGGCTTTACCAAACAAAGATTGAACACCTGGATGATAAGAAGATTCATGGACTTCTGAACTAAGATATCTAACAGGCCTTCTCACAGGCCACTGTCATTTGAGTCAGCATAATATGCAGAGACTCGGACTGTCGGAAAGACAATCTGTTTGAAAATTATTGTTCAACAAAATTATTGTAAATTGTGATTAGTTTCGAAAAGACCATCATTTCTCGATAATACTCTCTAACGATCAGAATCTTCATTTCCAGCGTTATAATCCGTTCGGTGAAGTCTTCGCTGCACTGCCGCCAAACGACCGCCTCAGAATTGGATCTGATCTGCGTGGTAACTTTTCTGAGTTCTCTCACGATTGCCGGTGGAGCGGCTGCCTTTTCCAGATACGAGGGCTGGAGCTACTTCGATTCCGTTTATTACTGTTTCATTACTTTGACCACCATCGGGTTCGGAGATATGGTAAGAGGGGGTTCCGCGATATGCCGCTTACTTTTTGTCATTATTTGGCTTAGAAGCTAACTTTGTTTAATTTAATTTTTGAGTTCACTCTGTATACGAGTTTTAATGATGATGTCGTTTTGGAAGTAGGTGCCAATTTTGATAAATAAAGAGACATCACGCAAATCATTTTCTCTTTCGATTACGAGCAATTGCTTTAGAGAGCTCAAAGTGGAACTGGTTAATGTATAGTTGTCAGTTTAGAGAAGTTATACAGGGTGTTTCAAAATGAAATGTTGATCATTAACGGTGTGATGATTTTAAGAAGAACTTAATATCTAAACCTTTCAACCTTTAAGCTACAGAGTGTCGAATTTTCAGTAAAAAAACTGTTTTTTCATCATAACTCTGGATGGAATCATCATGATATAGCTTCATCAGCTGTTTCCTGAAGACTTTTTGGGATTTTAACCAGGTTTTGATCAAAAATGTTCATGCATGGCTAATTTATCAGCGAAAATTTGATTCAATAATTTTCTTATCATATTGAAAGAGCTGAATAAAGTGAACAAAAAAGAAACAAATTGAGTAGCTATCCAAAACGGCTATCATCTACCATTATGGATGCTTCAGCTCTTCTCCTCATTGAGTCTCGCATCCTCTGAAAAATCACCGTTCAATTGAAAAAGTACCTGACAACGGTTCATTAAATTTGCAGGTGGCACTTCAAAAAGACAATGCACTGAGTCAAAAGCCAGAATACGTTATGTTTGCACTGATTTTCATCCTGTTTGGCTTGGCCATTGTTGCAGCTTCTTTGAATCTACTCGTTCTTCGATTTGTCACGATGAACACCGAAGACGAAAGGAGAGACGAAGCACAAGCGATGCAGGTAATTTTTTTCGAAGTACTACAGTTTCATTACATGAACTCTTCATATTTTCTGGAATAAATACGTCTATTTCATGAAAAAATGAATATTCAGTTACTGATAAGTTCGTACGCTAACACACACAAAGATGACGCTACTAGTAACAAATCTGTATGATTTTTAGTTAACCCTAACCTTCATAGGACACGCGTACAAACTTCACAGCTGTCGGACTATTTGTTTGTGGGATAGAACATTTCGAGTGGAGCAGCTTTTGTTAGTTTGAAGGAAGTTGATTTTTCTTCTGATTTATTTAGCCGTTACTTGATGAAGATCCATAGTAATTTCAAAAACTAAACCTCACACATGATCTCCACAACCTTCATTTGAAAAATATATCACAATTCGTTAAAACAGTATCTAGCTTTATGAAGTGAATTGAATTCAATTCATTTTTTCTTTTGTGCACGGTTGTGACGACTAAACCTAGGTTGTAAGATTACTCCTCTTTGAAATTGCAGTAACTTTCAAAGAAACTTTTCTATGCACCTATGAACGTTCTAAATTCGAATATGCGGTTACTGTTTGAAATCCAGTCTATGAGATACATAAGGTGAATATCGGAAGAGTGAAGAGGTGAAAATTTTCCAAGTTTTTAATCTTGAAAATGGATGGAACTGAAAATAAGAATGACTCAGTTGCAATTGTTACTATTTTCCATATTTCATTGTTACAGGCATTGGCGGGAGCAGTACGTCTGGAAGGAGATGTAATAACAGCAAATGGTTCTATTCTAAGCGGTCAATTAGGACATCATTGTACAGAAACTACATCCTTAGATCCTGACGATACCTCTGTGTGTTCTTGTCCTTGTGGATGTTTACCTACTAACAGTAGACACAGGTTTGTAGTCGCACATTTCAAAATTTTTCTAACCGGTTCTGTATTGAATCCAAAAAGATCAATGTCTAATTCATGGGGAAGGATTTTCTGATATCTCCCCACTCTATTGTGGATACTAACAATCGAAACATCGTGAAGGAACTTCAAATTTTTTAATTTTCATTTCTTGTTAATTTTTCAATTGTTGATTGTATTTTATTTCATTGAAATATCAGTTCTTTTGCTTGATATAATTGTTATTTTCAGCTAATCTTTTTAATTTCATTGATTTTTTCAGTGATTTCAAATCATTTTATATCATATTAGACAATGGAAGTCCGAACTAATAAAACATTGCATATCAGAACTGCTTTGAGGATTGAAAAAAAATGTATAATATCTTTGAAGGAGAAAAAATAAGAAATTGAAGGAGAAAAAATAGGAATAGAAATAAATAAATATTTTATGAGAAAAATGAAAAGTCGCTTAATTTTTTGAACAGATAGCGTATACCTAACGTATCTATTTGTGTAAAGATAGTTTTGGCCTTATAACAATGCAAATCAACATTTTTAAAATATATTATCTGATTAGAATCAAAAATAAAAATGAAATTTTCCAATGAAATATCATAAAATGTATGAAAATTGAATGCTTTCAAAATTTCACTTTTTTTAAACTGATTACAAACTATTGTTACTCTAGTTGAAATATTTTCCCAATATTGATCTGTACTACTTTTAGGCACAAACACCTTTTCAAAAATAAATATTTCATGAAGTTACTTTATACAAGGTCAAAAAAATGTACTTCTCATCACCTGTAAACAATTCCTGACAACCCTATTTCGATTTCGCTGCAATGAACACTACAAAGAACGGTCCATTCCAAACAGCGCATTGTTCAATCTTCCTAAAACCGCTTTCCCAGAATCGTAAAGCTTTGGAATCGTAATTCAATACCGGACAGCGCTGTTTCGACCTTCTGTGGCCTTCATCATTAGTACTGGCTTGGCGCATGAATGTAAAGTTTGACTTTAATAACCCGCAAAAGGAAAACCATAAGTGAAAAGGGGGATTCCGAATATGCCATCTAGAGGATCAACGGAAAACTCAAATCAGACTGTTACTCTCTGATATGTGTTTGTCGTAATTCATGATTTTTCAAGTAAAGTACAGTTACAATCATACGAGGCTGTCGAATCAAAATCATTGGATCATTTCAAAATTCAACAAAAGGCAGTTTATTTATTTATTTATATAGAAGGAATAGAAATGGGACTGACCCAAAACAGTATTCACCGATATGTCATTTCTCAATATTATAATCTATATTTATAAATAGTTTTTAAAATTGTAACTAAGTTAAGTGCAATAGAGTGAATGAAAATTATATAAAAAGAACAAAAATTATATACATAATAATACACATATGCATAAACATATGTACACACAAATACCAATCAAGTTTGTGTAGCAACAAAATTTATGATGCACTATTTGGAATCTTGGGTGTAGCTTTTTCCCAACACCAAACCGTTATTTCAACACCTCGACACGTGTTTCGATCACCAAGTGATCATCTTCAAAGAGGAAGATTAGAACTGTTACAAGTTTTAGATAGATAGATAGATATATATTTATTTTCTTCTTCATTGCCACTATTACATGGATTAGGTAAGTCAGAAATACATAAAATGAAATGTAAAATGTATAAGGAATATATACTAAACACATCTTCCATAGACATGGATTGTGAACGTCAACTAGGATATAAACCAAGGTAATCTTATGGAAATTACATAAAATATGAATTGTGTACAATTAAATAGCATACAACAGATACAAACTTAGTATACTGGAGATAAGTCCATGTATATACTAGTACACTGTGTACACCGATACACTATTTGTGTGTTAGTATACACAGATGTGAGTTATGTATAACAGAAAAACTCAATTAAGATACAGGTCCAGATAACATTACAATATACCAACTGACCTTACACAAAACTAGAGTGCAGGTAAACAATTATACCCACTAACAAGGTTTATTTATTGGTTATGTACTACTATTTATAGTTTTTAAATAATTTTCAAATTCTTGTATATTGTAGAAGCAACCTTTGTTCATAATCTTTCTCAGTTCTTTTTTGAAGATTATTACGGACGAACATTTGATATTGTGAGGAAGCAAGTTCAAATAAGAACATCCTCTGTAGATTCCAGTTTTTTTTAAAGAATGCGTGATTAACCCTGCCCAGTCGCAAATTTTTAGAATTTCTAGTGGCATACTTTGAAATATCTCCGACTTTCTCAAAGTGATTGATGTTTGTTTTGACATACATTAAGATTTTCATGAGATATATACTAGTTAAAGTAGGGATGTTGTTCCGCATGAAAGTATCTCAGCATGTTTGTTTGAAGGTGATTGACAATGTATCGTGATGAATTTCACTAGTTCGGACTTCCATTGTCTACTATATAAAATGATTTGAAATCTCTGAAACAAGTAAAAAAGAATAATAAGGAAAGATCAAATATTACACGAATTATCCTTTTTTGTATTACAAAAGGTCTTTCCATCTCTGTACTATTTCCCCATGACATAATGTTGTAGTTCAGAGTTGAGTGAACTAATGCATAGTATACATTTAGTAGAGATTTCATGTTCAAGGATCTCTTCAGTTGCTTAATCGCAAAGCACTGGCTACTTAGTTTTTTGCAGATAAAGTCAATGTGCCGGTTCCAGTTCGTTTTGGAGTCGATGAATGTGCCCAAAAATTTTGCATCTTCCTCTTTGAAGATGATCACTTGGTGATCGAAACACGTGTCGAGGTGTTGAAAATAACGATTTGGTGTTAGGAAAAAAACTCCAGTAATATTCATTATTTAGCAACAAAATGTTTTTTCAAGGTGTAGGAAAACTTCAAAAATGAGAAAGAGAAAATATCAATAGAGATGGAATTTGACAGCGAATTGTAAGATAGGTATGTTGCACCTATGCATTGGAGAGTTCAAAAAATAGTTTGTGCATTAGGAGCATTAAGGTAAATGTTACTAAGGATAGCAGGCGAACAACCGAATTATTTATGACTTTGAAGAAAAACTTCACATCTGGAATTTTCCTTCTATTCGCTAGTGTTAATATGTTTAGTCACTGTATAGATTAGTTAATTCCGAACGTAGATACAGTTATTGGGGTGGAGTGAAAAATATTTTTTGTTGATATAGTCTACGAATATATGATATGCCCTTTCAAGTTTATTCATGTAAATGTCGTATCCAGGGTTCCATATAACAGAGCCATGACTTTGAAGCTATTGACGTATGACATATAGAGAGTACGGAAAGTCTGTATATTCTTAAATTCCCGACAAGTTCCCACATTACATGAAACCTAACATTTTGTGAGCCTTTTTAGAAAATAATTTTAGAATCAAATATTATTCCTGTTGATGAATTATTTTGTTTTCAGATTCACAGTACGAAGGTCTCCGACACAAATCCGCCATCTTCTTCCAGTGCTGCCGATGCACGAGTTGCATTTACCGCAGGGCTCCATCTTGCCGCCCCCGGCGATATACCCCAATCACAGAGCTTCGGTTTGATCGACGAAAACCGCTCCCCACTGATTTGGGCCTATACCGATACCGATCAATGTGATACAATTCCGAACTGAGTAATCAATTTGTTGAACGACGCCATTTTGAAAAAATGGCGCACGATATACAGTCGAAGGTGGTGATACGTTGAATGAATCGTTGAATATCCGAGTAGGAAGTTCTTATGAATCATTTTTACGAGGTTATAAATAATTACAGATATTTGAGGTTGTATAGACATATATTGCTTTTTGGATACATACTGATGCTAGCAACAACAGGTGAAACAAGGCTCTTTGTTGATAATCTATACTTTTTTGTTCATTTGACTCCTTTTTCATATATTTTTTCACGTTTACAGAGAGTAACTATGGCCATAATTCTAGTTTGTTTTTCACTAATCTTTTTTTTACGTTAATAATCGCCAGATCTTAATGCAAACAGACAATCCTGTCAGAAAAAATTTAATACAGTGTGTAACTCATCGAGCTTCCATTAGAATTTCGGCATGAAGAAGAGATAAGAAAATAAATATTTGGAAATGAAATTTCGAAACTTTCATCTCTCCCAACATACCTACAAAGTAGGTTCTGTTAAATATCTGTGGAAAACAACTACTTCCCCGGCTAATACCACGCTGGATGTTGAATTATATCCGACGTTCATCAGTGCAAAACCTACTGTGTATGTATGTTTCAATATTAATCATAATGTAAATTCTTAATTGAATCTTCTGATCGCGATTTCCATCATCAGTATGTATTCAAGCAAGAATACCGAATTTATTTTTGTTGTGAGTTGATATGATCGACTCCGTGAAATTTTGGGATCAAGCTATAAAAAATAGTCAAACTTCTGACGTAGTGTTCTCGAAACTATATTCAATCTCTCAGCTTCTAATCGATTAGATCGTTTGAATGCTAATCTGGGTTAGTTAATTTATTTCGAAATATGTTAGCGAGTAGTGCCAAATAATTTTTGGGTTGAAAACTTGCAGTCCGAAGTGATATTTTCCGAACTTCACTTCCTAAAAGGAATGATATCAAATTGTCATGAAAATGTGTCTATGCTGAAGTCGTATGGTGCTGAATATTTCAGCAAGTATTTTATATGTTGTCAGAATCACAGCAACCCTGCCAGATTTGAAAACGAATCTAAAAACTTTTAATAGAAACTTATCTCTACAATAAATATTACAACATCTATTAGGCTGTTTCAAATATTTTGTCAGTTTTATTGTCATGTCAAATCGTGAGGTGTTGTTTATGAAATCACCATGAAACTTCGTCAAGAAAATTAGAAACCAAAACTTTCCTTTCCCAATATCTATTATGGGAAAAATAGTTGAAATGCTATGAAAAATCAGAATGCAATGCATTGAATCGTTACATGTTCAAAAGGAAATATTCATGATGTTGTGAAAAGTAATGAATTACATCCTCTTTTCTTAAATTCCATGAATAACAAAAAACCTTGGTTCATTCCGAAAAAGCTACTGAACGATGAAATACGTGTTGTTGGTTTATGAATTATTTTGTGGAAATATCACAGTAAAGAGTTATCGAATACTTACATATATAATAAATTGTTCAATTCAATGCCATGAAAACCCAGGCATAGACTAGTATACAGTTTTCACTTGAAATTTGCAAATATACTGGAAAGAAAAGTGCTACTATTATAAACGTAAAGGAACTACAAAATGACTTATTATCTAACCTTCCTTATCTATTTTATTTGAGATATTAGGGGATTAAAAGAATATACAATCTTACTATAGTAGGCACTAAATTATCAGAAATACTTATTATTGCATTAAAACGAAAACAGTGTGGCCCATTTTTAATGGAAACACCCCCCAAAAATTTGAAGCTGTAAATCGATTTTCATAATTTTTTATTTTAAATGTCAAGTACTAAAAGGTCTACCTTGGGACAAAATTTCAAATGTTAGTCGAAAATCGGGATTTTTTATTAGCGATTTTTTATTAAAAAAAATCACTACGCCACTGGATTACGAATGCCTCTAAATGGGTGTGACCAAAATTTCATGAAAAAATATTCATTGTTAACAAAGTTATGACAACTCAAAAATTCGAAAACTCACACAGCTAACAGTCACAATATATCATTTTTTTATGATTTCAACAATAAAGTGCCGCCAGATGAAAAAAAAACAAATAGCGTAAATATTTTTAATGAAAATAACGGAATTACATTCACACAATTCAACTAAAAATGAAGCAAACAATTTTAATAAACGTAACTAATAACTAATTATTTATTGAAATGTTTCGATTCAGTGCAACAATTAATTCTAACTCAAATTCTAGAAGCCTCTACCACGTGTAATCCACCACGTATTTCGATACATGTTTCGTATCGCTTACGAATGTTTCTAATTACGTTCCTTAGTTCTTGAGGGCTAATATCTGCACATACCTGTCGAATTCTTGCACAAAGTTCATTTCTAACTCTTGAGCGGTTTTTGTAAACACTCTGAATCCAGTGGCGTAGTGATTTTTTCAATAAAAAAATCCCGATTTTCGACTAAGAAAAAATATCGTAGTATGCCCTGAAACTTTAATAAACATTTCAAATTTTGTCCCAAGGTAGACCTTTTAGTACTTGACATTTCAAAAAAAAATTATCAAAATCGGTTTAGAACTACAAATTTTCCATTAAAAATGGGTCACACTGTATATACTTTATCACCATTTTTCCTCATCTGTTTAGTATACTTTTCGTACGCCACTGCACAGATTAAAGCAAAAACATCAGTCATTTCTGAGAATTTAGTGCCATTATTTTGGAAGTCTAGTATCCACTGGTTGAAGTTCTTCATTAAAAACTATCATCTATTAAGTTTGGGATATATTTTTTGACTTTGTAAAGGGGCAAATATTCTGGGTTGTATTATTTTAAATGTATATTAGTGTATATGTTCATATGGAAGATATCATTTTGATGACTAGATGTGCAAATATTGTGCTTCCTTATTTTAAGAAGACTGTAAATCATCTGTCTTACCGAATTGTTGAAAACATTTCATTTGGAGGCCTTTTTGTAGTATTACGCAGCAGTATTTCAACAAATAAACTTGACGTCTTGGATATCATATCTTCACCATTAAAATTTTCGTTTATATCGTCATACACAAAAGTTGAAGTTGATATCTGAGCTGCCGTTATTTTCATCATCAACAAACCCAGAATATTTTTCAGTGTATTTGGTGCGCTGAAAAAATCAAATCGTGTAAAATATGTTCTAAGAATAAGTGTTCGTGTATTTATACTTCAAGAATTTATAGGCAAAGCGCTCTAAAATATGTTGAATGTTGTAAAATATTTTCGAGACTGGTTAAATCAGAGTGTTTTATGATATATCAATCAGTATTATACATTATGACGAAAACAAAGTTTTACCGAACTTTTGCCACGGTTTTTCTTCCATCTTAGCTATTGAGAACTTGTTCATTTCTCTACCAGTATTATCACACAGTATTAACGATATACCAATATATAAATAACTCAACGAAATATTTTTCTATAATCAGAATATATTATTTAACTTGAGGTTCACAATATAATATGGTCATCAATAATTCAGTAATAATTCTATATATTCGGAATGAATTGTATATAATGTACTGATACGATATTGTTTTTTTAAATCTTTATTGATTCGAAGTATTCACAGTTTGGCAAGATCGAATTTTTATTGAACAAATGGTCAACACAAACTTAGCTTTTACCATATACTTTCACATTTTGCGCCTAATGAGGCCCCCAGAGCAAAGAACTTTTTTTGAAACTCCCAATATGTACAAATCGCAAAAATTTCAGAGCACAATATAAAAAAATAAGAGGCAAATTGAGAGGGTTTTTTTCAAGAAAAGTGAACTTTTTGTAAGAATGTCTTTGGCTTTCAAATCATTCCTGGCAGTTATTCAATATTTTAGTGGTTCTAGTAATCCCATTAAAAAGCACTGTAAAACTAAAAAAAAAAAAAAAATCATACATATCAAAATCCTATAATTTATGTACTTTTTCTACATTATTCCGTTTGAGAAAATATAATCGTATATAATTTGAACAGGAGATTGTACCCTAACTGTAAATTATAAAGAAAAAATGTCTCACGTCATGAGTATTTTATGGCATATACGTATAATTTACAAACGTATTTACTCACTATACAATATTCTATTGCCAAAATATTGCCAAAAACGAGTCTCTATCGAATTGGCTGATTTTTCAATGCGAACGTTTCAAAAAATATTCAACTACAGGAAAACATTTTTATAACTATTATTATCCAAAAATTTCAATTATTTCAGTGAGATTCAGTGAGTACCAAGGGGGCCGATAGATTAGGTGGAGTACCAAGGGGGCCGAGGGGCGGAGTTCCACGCTTAAATCGCTACGATACTCGTTCCATCCTGCGTCGATTTCGATGACGCTGATAGGTTAGCCCCACTCCCGATGAGCCAGAAGTCTCTTTGTTGATCTACTTTCCTCAAAATTAAATTTTTTGAAGGATGAAGTACTTATTAGTATTTTTTTGCTTTCATTATGTGAAAAATAATGAAAGTGAATTGTTTCCAGGATGTTTGAGCTCTAAACAGTTTTCAATAATTAAAAAAATAACACAACTATAATAAATTAGACAGTGTTTTTTTATAATATCAGTGTCTAACAGTCTCCGAACTCTCAAATGCACCAAGGAGTCTGGTGTCATGTTGTATAAGTTTGAAATATATCAGATGGGCTGAAACGTTCATAGGCTAACACACAAATGGCGCTACTAGAATTGAATCCATATGATTTTTAGTTAACCCTAACCTTCAAAAGATACGTGTATACATTTTCCAAGTGTCGGGCATTCGGTAGCAGTGTCTATCATATTTTATATTTGTTAATTATTCAACAGAAAAATCCTCGATTGCTTTTGGCCTCCTAGATAAAAAAAAATCAGCATTTTTTATATGAACAATAGTAAACTGGTGTAGTAGTTGTGAATTTTGAAGAAAGTTCTGTTTGTCATTTCAAGAAGTTGAATTTGTGGTAAAACCTTCAAGTTTTTCAGTAGTTGCAAATGCAATTCGCTATCAATGGAAATTTCCTCTGTTTAATAATGGAAAAGTTCTTAGAATAAAAGTATATTCAGTGTTTGTAAGCGGCTGTTTTGAAAAAACTCTATTTATTTATTGTATCGATTTGAGATAGGCGAGTGAATAAAATAATAATAACTGAATTCAAAAAGAATTGCGGAAAGATGCTCACAGTTCTCAACTTATACTGATTTTAATCGTTGGTAAAATTAACTTTTGATAAATAAATGTTATACTGTTGTTCAATTATTTTTAAGATTATATTAAGTTGTGAATGTCGCTTGTTGTTACGTTACGACTGAGTTTTGGAAAATGTGTTAAATGAAATCTATTTATAGTACACTCAAGGAATAAGTATTTAGATAGCCCTGTAAATAGTTTTTATTGAAATATGAAAGTTAAGCTGATACGTATGCATATGAACACGTGTATACTGATGGCGAAATAATTCCTTTTTATTAAAATACGAAGTAAAATGTACGTGATTATTGCATTTCCTTGTTAACACCCATCCCTCGAATACAAATGAGGCAGAGTTCATACATTATTTTGTTATTAGACATGAAATTCAAACACTGTCACTTTGATTTCTGTTGTCTAGAAATAAAGACAAATTTCGAACCCAATATTTGGAAATTGGAATAGAAATGGTATAAAGGGATCAAAGGGTCAAAATGTCAATGAAAATATGAGAACTGGAATAATGATGCAAAAATAGGAAACATATATGTACGAGGTCTGTTGAAAAAATGAGGTGAATCTTAATGTTTCCCAAAAAATATTTATTTATTAATCAATCGTGTTAGGAATCACACGTTTAAAGGTAAGACCTCGTTAGTCCTTAGCTCGCACAAGTTTCTCAACTTCTGAGAGTTGTCATTCGTATGGTGGCGACAGCTGATAAACGGAAAAACAGATTTTAAACAGATTTTTTCTCCAAACAGATTTCTATTTTGTTCCTCCAAAGTAGTCCCCCTCAGATATAATACACTTGTGTCAGCGTTTTTCCCCACTTTTTGGTATGTGCTTGAGCTGTCTCAGCGATTCAGTTTTTACCTCATCAATCGTCGCCAATCGTCGCGAATCGCCGTTCTTTCATGAGTCTTTTCAATCTTGGTAACAGCAAAAAGTCGCAGGGGGGCAAATCTGGTAAAAACGGTGGCTGAAATACGATTTTGGTCAAAAATTACGAACAAGCAATGACGAGTAAGAAGGGCATTATCGTGATACAAAAGCCATCAATTTTTTTTACACAATACCGGACGTTTTCTTCGTATGGCTTCTCGCAAGCGGCGGATAACTTCAAGATAATACTTCTTATTGACCGTACGACTATGTGGCAAGAAATCCTGAAGGACTACGTCATAGTAATCGAAGAAAACAGTGAGCAACACCTTGATTTTTGATCGAATTTAGCGTGCTTTTTGGTCTTGGCCCTTTCTGGGCTCTTAATTTGGGATGATTGGACTTCGGTGCTCATGCGCGGGTTTTTTTTTGGCCAAAATTCAGCAATTTTGGAAAGAACTTCGCTGCCACACGCTTCATACTCGAAATTTACGAAAAAATTGCATGGTAACTAGTCAACAAATACAATGCGACGATTGATTTGGATTGGACTGTTTCACAAAAAGTAAATTTAGAAGAATTTTCTTGTATTATGTATATTGTATATTAATTAATTTTTTTAAATCTTTTAGGTGTACAAATAACTCATACAGACACAATGTACAAATAAGACAAGTCACGGCTATGCAAAGCGAACAGTATAAAATACATCATAAAATGTCTATATAAATATAGACATACATCAAAGTTAATATCATTAGAAAAGCTAATACAAGCACTAGATTATTGGCATTATATCTAGAGTTGGGAGTTGATTTGTCCAATCTGAATCTGTTCGGTGTTATGAGTAGGCTGCTCTAGTATTATGATCATGGACATCAGCATTAATTTCGAGATTGCTTTCATTTTTATGTATTTCTGAGAGTGTATGATATATAAATATAGATGGCAAAGTCATAATTTTCAATGTCGCGAAAAGGGGTCTGCAGGAATCACTCTGCTTGGCCTGTGAGATTATTCTTACCGTCTTTTCCTGAAGAACAAAAACGTTATTTGCTTTAGTACTATTACCCCATAGAATTGTTCCATATGATATGTGAGAGTGAAAGAACGCATGATAGGCAGATAATAATGTATGATCACTAATCATAGTCCTCAGCTTTCGAAGAAGGAATATATATTTTGATATTTTCAAACTTAGCGCTCTACGTGATCTGACCAGTTCAGTGAGTCATCAAGGGCGATACCCAGCAGTTTAACATGATGTCCGTTTACAACAGAGGCATTAGTTGAAAAGTGGGTTTTAATTTCATTTAGCATGAGATTGTTGCACATGAACCAGGATGAAGCTCTGTCCTGGGACAAGATAGTTTGATTGTGTAGCCCACTCTCATTCTTGCTAGTGCTGAAGAAAGTTGTGTCGTCAGCAAAAGCTATGCATGCATTTGGTAACATATAGGAAGAGAGGTCATTGATATATATTATGAATAAGAGGGGCCCCAGAACTGAACCCTGGGTAACTCCATATTTGACAATTTCGAGATTGGACACATTTTCTGCATCCAGTTCTACGTACCGTTTTCGGTTCTCTAGGCAGGACGAAAAAAGAGCTATGTTGGATAAGTTTTGGATGTTGGATGTTTTGGATAAGAGTGTATAATGTGCTCTTATGTGTGATGTTACTGCATTATGCGTATTTTAACATTAAGTTTCCAATTAGATTTCACTTATCCATGTAATGAGACCGATTGGATGTGTTTGGATGTATATAAATATTTTTTTTTTGATGATGCAACTAATTTTCCTATATTTTCAGTATTTTACTATTAACGTAAGATACAAAAAGGATTTGAAGCTCTATAACTTCTATTTAATTATCTGCGAGCGCTTTCGACAGCTGGTCGTGTTGTCATCCTCTAGGCCCTACTCTATCTGAACGTGTCATCCTGTTGTGTGTCCTTTTATATGGTCCGAACGCCTCAATACAGGTACTTCAGGTACTTTAGGTAAATTTGCCTGTATTTGGATTACATCAGGTTGGATCTTCTTTAGGTTTATTGTTTCTAGGAGTGTGTATTGACTTGTTTAATATATTGAATGTTAGGTCTTGTTGTGTTTTGATTTGTACTTGTTCCTCGATAAGTGATTTATGACTGTTAAATTTATGGATGTTTAAGTTTTCCCAAATGTCCATGCGGTTTCCCTTATTGACTTGTTTTATGAGTTTTATGTTCTCTGGTTGGGGAAATTATGTTTGTTTTGTATGGCGTGTGTTGCGAGTTTTGATGTATATACCTACGTATTTTTATGTATGCCTTTTTGTGTTCATCGTACCTTTGGATCAGTTTTTTCTTTGTTTGGCCAATATAGAATTTGTTGCAGTCCGAGCATTGTATACTGTATATCCCGTTTTGGTTTTTGTCTTCTTCTTTTTCATAGCTGTTTATTTTTTGTGTTATTTTCGTGTTTGGCTTGTATGTGATGTTGATGTTCAATGGCTTGAAGATGTTTGTTAGTTTTTTGGTTTGGTGTCCTACGTACGTAAATGCTGTCCATCGTTGTGTTGTTTTGTCTGTTGGGTTGGCTTGATCCTTGTTCTGTATTTTTTGTTTGATTCTGTATTCTAATTTATCTATTTTCTTTTGGGTGTATCCGTTTTCGTTCGCTATTTGGTATATGACTTTCCGTTCTTTGTTTCGGGCGTCATTGCTGAGTGGTATTCTTAACATTCTATATATGATGATTTTTTGTGATGATGGATGATTTGAACATGCGGGTATGGTGGAGCTTGTTTGTGTAGGTTTCCTGTATATTGCCATTTGAAATTGTGTTTTGTTGTGGTTATATTAGATGGTTATGTCCAGGTAGTTAAGTTTTGAGTTGTTTTCTTCCTCAATGCTGAAAAATAGTTTTTGATCTACTTCGTTAATTCCTTTTGTTATTTGATCTATTCTTATTCCTTTGTAATATGTACAGTCCATCGTCAACGTATCTGCACCATTCTCCTCTTTCATCATGTGTTTTTATTATTGTTCAGGTTAAACATCCTTAAATTTAACAGTCATAAATCACTTTTCGAGAAACAAGTACAAATCAAAAAACACAACAAGACCTAACATTCAATATATTAAACAAATCAGTACAGTCTCCTAGAAACAGTAAACATAGAGAAGATCCAACACAAAGAATAGTACCTGATGCAGTACAAATACAGGCAAATTTACCTAAAGTACCTGAAGTACCTGTACTGAGGCGTTCGGACCGTATAAAAGGATAACAGGATAAATAGAAGTAATAGAGCTTCAAATCTTTTTTGTAAAATATAAATAAATAAATGAGCCAACCGATATACCAACATCCTCAGCACCTTCTCTAACAGTATGTCGGCGATTCTCCATAACAATTTTCTTCACTTCAAAAGGCATCTGTAGAAAGGTTCGAAAAGAAAAAGTATTACGAACAGAGTTCTCAAAATACCACCGCCAAAGACTTCTTTGTAATTGTGACTGTGAATACAAGTCATTTTCATAACCTAATTTTATTAATTTGTCATCAACTTCTGGAGAATTTTGATAAAGTTATTTCAAAACGCTTTGATTCTTGAACTTTCATGTTATATACTCATTTCTCGGGAATGCTTATATACTGTCGTCAGGTTTTCATGCGTATTCGATAGTTTCGATAGGGAAAAACCCGTCTCAACCATTTCAAAATGATTAAGGGTGAACTTAGGATATTTCAAGGCCTATAATATTCAAATTCGTTGGAAAATATCACGAGTCATGGTGTGGGTGGTTCTGGAGATTACCACTAATTGTGGTGCAAACAAATGAATCTAATCGCATCAATTCTTAATAAATTAAATATAATCTGGCACACTTTCAAAACAATTTCATTATTGCGGTTTTAGTTACCGGACGTCTTGGCTGAACAGGAAACAATTAATACTACTGGGAGTAAAACTGGGATTGATAAAATATTGTTTTATATTTCTTGATGCGCCACATAATTTTTTTATTCCATCTGAAGAAGTCGTGTCGCAAACTGGTGCTCTAAAGTTCTTCAGAGGAAGATTGCGAGTTGTTGGTCCCAGTCATATTTATAGGTGAGTGAGTTCACTTCGATAGTAATTTTTATATGGTTTCAAAATTAGCTACAAAGTCTTTAATTTTTTAAAAGAACACAAATATAAGAATTGAAATCAACTGAATTCCTACGATTTATTGATGCTTTATGAATGATTTAATTATGTTTCTATTAACACGATACGTCAAACTTAATTAGAAGAATCATATGATTTTTTTTTTCAATAATTCGTTTCTCATGTCGCTTGCGGATTTTGCAAATTTTTATGATATTTCCATTATTTTTATTTTAGTGATGTGATGAAAAAATAATAGTTTCAAAAACTAAAAAAACACGCTTCAATATAGCAACACAAACTAAAAAATGATTGGAATCTAATTTAAGATTGTGTTCAACATCGATAATAAGTCCTATGGCTTGATGTAACTGATGACTTTTAATGAGTCTGAAATCAGAATTAATTTATTCACAAAAAATTAATTTTGTTGTGAAAAAGCGAGGAACCCTTCAAATTATATTTTTATTATGGCTCCAATCTGGCAACCAGCTCTTAAAAGTATTTACAACACCCTTTTTTACAACAAAATTATTTTTTCGTAAATGGATTTATTCTGATTTCAGACTTATTAATGGTCATCAGTTAAATCAAGCCATATAACTTATTGTCGAAGTTGAACACAATCTTAAAATAGTTTCGAATTATTTTTTAGTTTTTGTTACTAGTAAAGCATGTTTTTCAGCTTTTGAACTATTATTTATTTTCTACTTTTCAGTTTGGCGTGCTATTTCAAGCCCATTTGTTTCAATATAAAATATATACGCATTTGCAGACAGTGTGGTTGTCTCGCTCTCACACAGAGATTGTGTGACGAAATTATTCAATCCTGGCGATCCTGATCAGGATAATGAAATGAACTTATGAAATTATTGTATTGTTATCGATTCTTGATAAGTGTACAAAGTTTAAAATAAATCTGTCCGTTTAAAGTTCGTCAAAATCGAGTCCAAAGGAGTCAGTTACAATAAACGTACTTGTGAAGCCAACAAAAGCGTATTAATTAAAAAATAGTTTCTTATTGTAAGTTTTTTACTGCGTTTTCAAAAAATAATGAATGTGTTTTCAAAACATTGCTAAACCTGTGGAAGAAATTGAAACTGTTTTTTGATAGTAACGTTTTTCATACTTTTTATTTTAACAAAAAAGAGGACTTTCTTTCAGTTTGTGTCTGAAAGTTACTTCTTTGCATGATCTACACATCCATGTATAGAGTTACTTATTTTCAAATTGATTACTTCCTTCCTTTCCTTGGAAGATTCCCTCATCCTTTTTTTGTATCAAGATGGAGTAGTAGAAAGCCAAAAACTTTCTTTCCCAAAAATTAATCACTCCTAAAAATATAACCCATTCAATTCAAACGATTCCTCTTGGCTGGGATTAAATCAAATAGGTGAATGAATGTCATTACGATGTCATCGATGACATAAGCAGATCAAGCTTATTCCGTGACATTAAAAAATCGTAATTCATGAATGAATTGTGTGTATTTTCTATAATGTTATTCAATTTGGTACTGAAGAGCCTTAAGTGTCTTAAGGCGAAACATCGATGTATACCAGTGAGGATGACAGTGTTCCATGTAAGTGCAATTTGTTACCATTCATTTAAAGTAGAACTCATGTGAATGATATCTGATTTTTATTCCACAACGAATGTTTGAAATACAAACTGAGTAGATAAAAGTATCTTCTGTATAATTCAGTGTTCATATAGAAGTATTTGTTTCAAAAGAATTTTTTTCTTTCGTTTAATTCAATGTTTATATGAAAGTAGCTGTTTCAGGAGGACTTTCTTTCAGTTTGTGTCTGAAAGTTACTTCTTTGCACGATCTACACATCCATGTATAGAGTTACTTATTTTCAAATTAATTACTTCCTTCCTTTCTTTGGAAGATTCCCTCATCCTTTTTTCTTGTATCAAGATGGAGTAGTAGAAAGCCAAAAACTTTCTTTTCCAAAAATTACTCCAAAAAATATAACCCCTTCAATTCAAACAAAAAGAAATACTGTAAATTTAAAATTGAAGGTGAATATTGGTTGAAACTTGTAGTCAATTGGAAATCTAAAAGGCCTTTAAAAATATTCAATATATCATCATGAAAATTGAGAAATGAAACTTTCTATGTTTTCATCACTTTTATTTGTAACTAAAGTTACTGCAATTTGAAACTAATACAATAAATCTATTGAAAACACTTTCCCAACACTGGAACAAAAAATTACAGGAGTTCATTATGATTACATTTTACTATGTCACACATTGTCACAGGTAAACAAAATTCAGGTACTCAATTGAGTTAAGCATGCACCTCTGTTATTACCTTCATTGGTGTTTAGTTGTATAAGGACTCTACAAACACAGATTTTTCTAAAGCCTTTGATAGAGTCAACCATAACCTACTGGTTGCTAAGTTGAATGCCTTGGGTTTAGAGGGAGATGTTTTAAATTGGATTGAAAGCTACCTTTACAATAGAGTTCAATACGTTAAATATGGCAACTCTATATCTGAACCGATAAATGTGCCATCAGGTGTTCCTCAGGGATCCCACATAGGCCCATTACTGTTCAATTTATTTATCAATGATGTCTCCACTGTTTTAACCTCCAGCTCATTTCTAATGTTTGCAGATGATTTAAAGGTGTTCAAATCAATACAAAATATATCAGATGCTCAGGCACTTCAATGTGATTTGGTACAATTTTCTAGCTGGTGTGACGTCAACCTTTTGCATTTGAATCCAGATAAGTGTCAAAAAATTACTTTCTCAAGGATCAATAATGTATATGATTACTCGTATTAAATCAGTGAGAATGATTTAGCAGTAACGGATAAAATAAAAGATTTAGGTGTCGTTTTTGACTCAAAAATGTCATTTAAGTACCAAATAACGGAAGCCTCATCTCGAGCCCGTAAGATGTTACACTTCGTTCTGCTAGAGACCTAAGTGTCGAATCTATAAAACTGATTTATTATGCACAAGTGAGATCCATTCTTGAGTATAACTCCATTGTATGGTCACCCTATTATAATGTTGATGTTGAGTTGTTAGAGGGGTGTCAAAACAAATTCTTGAGATATGTTGCTTTTCAGTTAGGATTAAATAGAGGAGAGTATAACTACTCACAGATATTGAACATATTGAACATGAACACCTTAACTCATAGGAGACTTGAAACAGATCTTGTGTTTGTCCACAAAGTATTAAACGGCTATATTGATTCTCCAGAAATAGTTGAGCTTTGTACTACTCTCTCTGTGAATGATAGAAGAACCAGAAATAGTGATATTTTTAAAATTCCTTTTTGTAGAACCAATTATGGTCAGAATAAAACAATATGTAGGATATTGAAATCAGCAAATCATTGCCATCTTAACCTGGAATTGTTTAATTCATCATTATTATCCTTCAAAAAAATCGATTAAAAACATCTGATGTATCTTTAGTTTGTAAGCACATGTACGATTTATAAAAAGATATTTGTAAAAATTGGCTTGTTCGTTGAAATAAATAAATATTATTATTTATTTTCAGTTTTATTGTATTAGTTTGAAAACGTCCATATAGGACGAAACTGCGGTAACGATAGTTACAAATAAAAGTGGTAAAAAACATGGAAAGTTTCATTTCTCATTTTTCATTATGCTGACCACGTATCTGACCACGTAGTAAAGACTACATCAATCAATTTATCAATATACCACGTTTATGATATGAAGAGTTTTTGATTTTTGAGAGATGTATTCATTGACAAAAATCGGCAGAACATAATGAATGATAGAGTATTGATGTATGAAATAGGGAATTATAATTTCCCATCAATACTACTTTGAAATCACTCATTAACTTTTATTTTTTTTGCGGTCAGAATGTAATAAAATCAAACTAGCGCAACCACTATCTTCTTGAGCTATGAAAACCTCAAGCTCGTGGACAGAAATTTCCTGGATTATAATCGGATATGATTAAATCAATTCATGTTTTGTCGATTAAACGTTCACATACGGTAATTTCCGGCATTGAAATAATTTAGAAAATGATGATTTTGTGAAAAATAGTAAGTCATATGGTAATGTACTTATGAGTCGTGATGAGTCGATGAATAATAGAATATCTTTTTTTTTTTCAAATAGAACACCTTGTAGGTATATTTTAATATTTTTTTTTAAATCACTTTGAATTTCAAACAACGTTCATTCCCATAAATGTTTTGATATCTCAACCCCTTTTGGAAATAGAGATCAGTTTTCAGGAAAAATCCTTTCAACTATCTACTTCTGCTTTATACAAAAAAATTGTCAGAAGTTCATTTTGAACTTAATTGTTTTATTCTTAACTTCGGCAGTTTCTCCCATTTTTGTGTAAAGTTAGAAATCTAAAAAACTTTTTCAAACTCTGGTTCAAAATTGAAGATCACACAGGGTGTTTTGCAGACATTTTGCTTCAAATAATGAGACTTTACTATGCGTGACAACCACAGACTTCAAGATGTTCGTCGATTTATGTATTCTTTTTCGGTTTTTCCTTTAATGAGTATTTATTTTTTCAAATATTTTACTTTGTTCAGTGATCACGGGTATATAAGTTGACTTGTGTCTCTTGCCCATAACTTTATATAAGCCAAACAGGGAGAATATGTCCCCAAAGAACAAATAAACATATGCGTAGTTTCTTGAATGTGAAGATCTATTCCACATTCGCAAACCATCTTTTGGCAAAGATGCATGAGTTCAATGTCGACTAATATGTATTAGGTACTTTTGGAAAAAAAATCGAAACTCAATCTTTTGGAATGCTCAGAATAGATTTAAAAATTCTGGAAATTTACAGAATGATCAAACAAAATTGAACTCTTCCTATCTGCAAAATCGGTTTTTTAATGTTAAAACTGGTAATTTTATTAATTATCAAATGTATATTTAATGAATTGGTAAAATTTGTTTTGGAATGTTTAAATTTTTGATTAGTTATACCTACCTAAACTCTGGTAAAATTATTATTCAGTAATTAGATAGAAGGTCGTAAGATTCAAATTGATGTAATAGGTATACTAATTAGGTAGAATTTAGTTAGTATGAACAAGCCTAAGTAAGGAAGCTATTGTATTGGATTTTTGTAAATTATTCAGTAAAAATCTCACAATAAAGTTTACTTGAATACGTCTTGGAAATATCAGCCAATTTTATCACATCATTTTGAAATGAAATTATTACAATTGCGGAGCTTAAATTGACTAACGTTTTACCCATTAGCAAAGAAATCACTAAGGTTTTGGTAAACCTGATTAAGGACCTGTAAAGTTATAACGACTCCAAAAGCGTATGTTTTCGTTCTGTACAATACAATCATATTTTTTATTGGATTTCTCCTAAAAAAAATCGAATACTATTTACTGAGAAAGCAATAACAAGATATACGCATGTGTGTCTATTTACATGAAAAACTTTTTTGATTACGTAACAAAATCTACTTCAGCTTGATGACACCTCCACTGTACATTTTTGGTGCGGCGACAAGAAAAAAAATCATATTTTAAAGATTACAACTGATAATTTTTTTCACTTACCGAATTTTCAGATTATCTTCTGGATTATCTCATCTGAAGCATGTCTCTGGAAACTGAAACTGTATATTTATACCCGAAGGAAAATGCCACACCTCATAAAACGGACCAATACGAATTGGTTCAGGACGAAGAAAACCCGATTGCCGTTTTGCGAAGAGGAAAGAAATTCACGTTGGCTTTGAGATTCCTCAATCGAGCTTTCGATAAGCAAAGAGATCTCGTTCGATTAGTGTTCAACTACGGTGAGTCGATTAACTTGTAAAGGCTGCACTATTCCAGCTTGGCCTTTGTGAATTAGATACTCGCTAGTATTAGTCCAATCATGCCTGTCCGCTAAAATCACTTTTTAGGTTAACCGACTGTCACTGCAGATAAAATATGGCGAAACCAGGACGCATAGAATAACCCTGGTGTGATCACTAGGACCCCTTCTCCATGTAAAATATTTTGTTGAAAACTCTCGGCCAACTCTTGATATGGAAATAATAAAGAGATGCAATAAATTCCAGCATCTCATCCACAGATGTGACAAATTTTGATTCTTGCGCCATCTATTAACATGAGTTCAAAGCTGGGTCAATCTCATTTCCCGCGTCATTGTCTAGATTTACCCGCGTCGAGAGTTCTTGACAGAACAAAACAATAGTTAATCGGTTAAAAACATCAGGGTTTTCATGCATCTTAGGCGAAACTATATACTTTTGTCAAACAGCCCCAATCTATGTAAAAAATTGGATTTGGGTTCTACTCACCGTCTACTTGGAGGTGGATGCCACCCCCTTTCGGGGGTGAAACACGTTTCATCGAAAATAAGTCTTGGAATGAATAAATTGACTAACTCTAAGCAACTATAATGCTAAGAATAACTGAAAAAGTAAGTATTTTATCGAGTGATAACAGAAGACCTCAAAATTTTACCAATAATTTTCCATTTTTCAACACAAACTTTGTTATTTAGCGATACTTTGAAACTTAAGATATTTAGGATCAAACGGCCGGTTTTCTGAAACGTTATTAGCGTAATGCATCGATGTAAAAACAAAATGTCAAGTCTCAAATTGAATCAATTTTATCACATGAATAACGTAAAATTCGTTGAAAGTAAAATATTTGAATATATGTACAGAGTGTGTAATTTTAGTTTTGAGACTTTTGGACATCATATATGAATTCATGGTACCTATTCGAAGAGCCATTTTGATTGAAGAATTGTTGTCTTATTTTCGTGAGGTTATGTGAATCAGTAAAATGTCGGTTCCTGTGTCTGTTCTTTGAATTGGTGAGTTTTATTAATTTAAGTTGTCTCAGTAGTGTTAGGATTTAGTCACTATCATAATCATAATATCAAATTAAATCTGTGAATTAAATGAATATTTGAATCTTTGATTCTATTGGTTGAATTTTATTAGGACAGTGACAGTGACTGAAACTGTGAGAATGATGCATAACCAGGCAACGAGAATCACGTATGAATCAAGAATTATTACGCCTGTTCTGTTGATTTCATAGCTATCAGTGTTATCGCTTATGAAAAAAAGCGTTTTATCGCTGTAAAACTCTGTTTTGGTGGTGTAGCCTTCATTTTTCACCCACAAGAGGGAGTGGCATCCACTCCCAGAGTAATCCCCGGTACAGTTTAGATAAACTTTGAACTATAAAGTGTGAGTAGATTTGATTCCAAATCTTTATGAAATTCGGTGCTGTTTGACAAAATTATACAGAAAAAAATATTCTTCTCCTTTTTCTTCTTCGCATCTAGGAGGCCAGACTGGAATTGTCGACCACTAGTATAAAAATATTGGGCACATCTATTCCCCTGTTAGTTCTCTAAGTATCTTCTTTAAAGTATCTCCCCTAACATAATTCTTTTTGTTTTTTCGAACATTTCAAGGTCCGAATCCAAACACGATAAAGGGAACCAGAGGAGTGGTGAAAATAGATCCGACGAAGAAAATATTCCTTGACGACGAACAAAAATTATGGTTTGGAAACGTCCTAAAGTTGGTAGCGGATACCGTCAGCATGGAGGTGAGTACACCAAAAAGTTTTGTAACACATACTGACCTATATATCTATATCTTCTTTTTTAAATTGTGACTTGCTGGGTTTTTTGGAATCAAGGAGAGACAAATCCCTTACTATATTAGAGTTGATTATTGATTTCATTTTATAATCTTTACAGAAGCTACTATTATCTAAAAAAAATTATTCTTATCCTAACTAATTATATGAAAAATCACTATCCTCTCAAAGTACGCATTTACGCACACCTCTCTATCACAATGGTCTATATTATAGAAATCATCAATACCTTATTCATTGAATATATTAAATATATATTGAAACATATCTGTCATTTCAAAGTTTTGGGGTGTGGACCATCGGGGGTAGTCCGTTCCTGACTTTGTAGCAAAACGACTGCCTCTTGCATGAAAGCTCATCAAAACAATTCATTTGTTTAGTCACTAACCAAAATTTGGTTGATTTTTAATATTCCCTTGAAAAGGTGTCAAAGAATAACATTTTTCATTTCGTAACTTTGAGGGCCAGTAACTTGGTAACGAAGGATTTTAGGAACAAAAGTTACTGGTTATATTTTGACCCCATACTTACATTCCCGAGAGAAAATGAAGAATTCCAGGGACATCCTGTATATGAACATTAATTCATGAAAGGGTGAACCAATTATTTTTATTTGTATTTAGTCAAACCATAAAGGAAATTCGCCTGATTCCAAAAGACGACGGGAAAATTATTTAACGTTCACATATTTGGGCCATGCATATTGAAAATATAGTCAAGAGTTTAGAGTCACATAGACCAAGAGTGTGTGAAATGTCTGGCGGTTCATGTCCGATGATATATAGGTCAAACTGGAAGAACATTTGAATCACGTATAAAAGATCATATATGGAAATTAATAACGTATTCAAGAAACACTTTATTGTGAGACTTTCACTAAAAAGTTTTACAAAAACGCAACCTGTGTTTCGCTATACAATAGTTTCTTCAGGCGATGGAGTAACCGTCCAAGTGCTCAAGTTGCTCCCAATGCAGAAACTACAATTTAGCATAGTCTCTTCATTTCAGTCAGGTTAGAAAATATTCTTTTACCCTTTCAACTTTCAACAATAGTTCAAAACTCAAGGTGTTTGGTTGCGACATAATTGTCAATGACCTCTATGCCGCTCTGGCTCTGGTTCTTTAAAGTGAACAAAGTGTTCACTTTAAAGGACGTCTTGGAGCCTTCACTCAACCGAGCGACTCGACGGGCCTTATGAATCGCGTGGGGTCGTCTATAGTGTAATCTAGAGCTTCCCTGACTAGTACGTTTTCATGAGTTTTCGCAGACTCGAAAACTCTCTGATTCCTTAACTGAATGGACCGCTGTATAGTCAACAGCTTGAAATTTCTGCGGATGGGTTCATTCCGCAGGAACCATGGAGCATTCACCAGCATCCGTACGATCTTATTTTGTAAGATGATACACTGGGCCACAAAGTGTACAGGAAATCAACGAACACAGACAGGTACCTGAATAAAAACTCCAACCACCGGCCACAATCAAAGAGCTCTAGCTAAACAACCCACACTAGGAACCCAACAATATATAACCTTTTTGCATATAGGAAGTGAACTCAGACAAAATAATATGTCAACTCTCTCTCTCTCTATATCAACTGATTAGTATATGAAAAGAAAATACACTTACTTAACGCCTCTTTGGTGGTTCATGACCAACCTTTAGGTTCCGGTGACCCGGAGTATCTTCAACAACAACACTTTCATTTTGAGCTTCCCTGTACCTAATAATGGCTTACGATTTCGACACCGATTTCTCGCAACAACTCACTCGCCTCTCTTCTTAATTCCGATGAGTAAGTATTTTTCATGACGGTGCTTCTGGCCAAATACACGCAGATGAATTTTTATATAAACACTCTCACGGTCCGGCCGAACATATTACATTGTATGAGAGACAGGACCGGCGTTTAAAATTCTCAATCAAAAGAAATCTATCTATTCCCGAAGCTAAAATATATACTAACATACATAGCTTTCGCTAGGTATTGCAAGATAAAACTAGATCAGAATCAATTGTCTGATCGGACCGTAGATCATAGTAATATTTTCAGATGTTTCAATCTAAAATGAGTCAATTGTATAGCGAAACACGTGTCGCGGTTTCTTAAACCGTTTATAGTTAAAATCACAATGAATATCAGTGGTAAATTTTGATATGGATTGTCATTCAGTATTGGCGAGTTCCCGGTAAGTACATTATTCATGACATTTCAGGTCTTTGCTCCACCTGATATACCAATCGGTGCTTGGACACTCCAAGTTGAAACGAGCGTCATCAATTCCAGGGAAGAACCCAAGATATTCGACTTCGAAAACGATATTTACTTCATCTGTAATCCGTGGAACTGTCGTAAGTAGTCCGATTGTCGAACCTTTGTTTCAAGGCTAAGAGATCGCGCTTTTTAGACGATGTCGTTTTCATGCCAGAGACGAAACTGTTGGACGAATACGTCTTGACCGATATCGGCAAAATCTGGGTAGGTCCTCTAGGAACTAGCAAAGGAAGAGAATGGGTGTTTGGTCAATTTGATGCATGCGTCTTACCTGCCGCTGTACTCATGTTTGAAAAATCTAGATTGCCACACTCCAGGTATGTGCGACATTTTTTGCATTACAAACTTTCGATTAACTTTCAATGTAAGCATGAATGTGATGATGAATGAATACGTTTTTGGTAATGCTCAGCATGACTGTAGAAAAATAATTCATCTGCTGGAGTACCTACATATACAAGTATACACATCGAAAAAGTCGAGGGATATTTTTATAACATACTAAATATCATAGAAATAAATGCATGAGGTCGTTTAATTTCGATTAAATTGGTACACTCGACCACCCTGTAGATTTCTATCAGTATTTTTGACCATTTAATAAATTTTGTTGTAAGTTACATTCGTTTAATAATCACCCGTCAACTTTTTTTCCCTGAAGCGATCTAAAAAAAAATATTGCTATTTTTAAAAATATCCCTAGACTTTTCCGATGTGATAACGAGATTGACAGCAATACATGTATTTATTTTTTTTTATATATAAAAAGAACATTCGACTCAGTTAAATTAACTGAATTAGATTTGCCAAGCAATATAACAAATTGGATTGAATCATTCATTGGTCCGAAATTTGCAGCTCGGGGTGCCACAAGGCTCAGTCATTGTACCTTTACTGTTTTCATTATATGTTACCGGTGGTTGACAGTCATAAACCACGTTCGCTGAGGATACTACAGATGTTTTCTAACAATAAGACCTTTGATGTTTTCAGACGAGGTGACCCGATAAGGCTTACCAGAACGATATCGAAAATGGTGAATAGCAACGACGACGATGGTATTCTAGTGGGAAGATGGGACGGAATGTACGACGACGGCACTGCGCCTTCAGCTTGGACCGGCTCTGTCCCAATTTTGCAGGAATATCTAGATACGGGAAGTCCCGTCAGTTACGGCCAGTGCTGGGTATTTTCTGGAGTCGTGACCACAAGTAAGGAGATTTATATTACATTTTTAATAAAGATGCACAGAAACCCTGGTGTTTTAACCGACTTGCTTTTGTTTTGTCAAAAACTCTCGTCGCGAGAAATAAAATTGAGCCAACTTTGTATACATATTGACAGATGGTGCAATAATCGAAAACTGTCGCGCGTATTTTGCGACATAATGTAAGAAAAACTCACCTGATATCAATTCATTCCAAAATAACAACAACATTGAAATCTGAAATGCCAATTTGACACTGTCAAGCAGTGTCACTTTTGAGTGTAATCAACATCTTTGTAAATGGGAGGCTTCTTTGGTTTCTATGGCAGCACTGTCTTTCTTAGTCGTATACGAGTATAGTGGTCATTGATTCTCTCTTCAAACACAATTTCGTAACAGGGTTTTGATACATTTGTCCGTAATAATATCGGTACGTTCACGATATCTCACGTGGGGCTCTTGTTACCTTTTCTCGGTGGGTTCAACAATAATTGAACACACTGTACATTCAAACTTAACTTTATTTCACTGCTGCACTGACAATACAACACAAAAGTTTCAGCTGAACTTCAGACTAATACTCGCCTTGTTAGCTCACTTCGTACCGCACTTTCAACTAGACTTCCTCATCTACCTGTTGGTAGTGTTTATATTTTCTTAATGAAAGTTTCTGGAAGCCGATTGGGAAGTCTCTCTAAGCGTCGCGACATCTAGAACGATCGAGTGTAAGTCGAGTTGAGCGCAACTTTGGCAGAGACTACAAAGCCCATAGAAGCTTTGTATAAAGACTAACCAGTCGCTGACAAACCAGTCGGCTTTTGAATTTAACTTAATTTTGGCTTACATTCCGACTCCGGTATGATCCGGCCGACTGGTTGTCCTGTCAGCGACTACTAACTCCCCAATTCTTAATTCTGTTGATACTCACTTTAAATACTGACATCGTACTGCCATCGCCCTCTGGTGGTCAGAAAATGCCACTTCTGAGCTCCTAAGGGCTTTGTACACAGTAAAAATCAACCAGTAAGTCCACTTCCACTACTTTCATTCATAAATTCACAAAGTTCTTTGTGACCTCGAAACGAAGTGCAGAGCGAACTTGGTTCTTTTATCATAGACATGCGCTCATATAATAATGTCTTTTTTGCATCTTCCATTTTCTAATCACTTAATAATAAAACAAACAACAATAACCAACTACAACTACTAGAAACAATAAAAACAAAAGCGAATAAACTAAACACAATATCAATTTCCGACCGTTTATTATAACTAATCCAATGTCCGTCGTACCGTCGAATCCTTCGATACTACAGCACTGAACGCACTGGATGAGGATCTCACGTGGTAAGAGAGCCTACTATTATTCTACTGTGCTTTGTATTCTTTGACTTTCGCCAAGTCACAGTCGATTGACGAAGACCAGCGGCGGCCGGCATTATTTTGTTTTAGGGAATAATTTACAATATATTTTGATTACATTACTAGAAGATGCATTAATCTTCAAGACGGCAATATTTACTAAAGCTGTGTCAATAAAAATGTCCCTGTAGACAATGAAGTGTGTTCATTTTATTATTATGATCCTTTTCAGTATGCCGAGCCCTTGGCATCCCGTCCAGGGTAGTTTCAAACCTAGTATCGGCCCATGACGCGAACGCAACTCTAACAATCGACAAGTACTTCTCTGAATCGAACGAAGAGTTAGGATATGACCCTAAAAATGAATGGGGTGAAGACTCTATTTGGAATTATCACGTTTGGAATGACGTTTACATGGCCAGACATGACCTTCCGCCTGGTAAGTTGTGGTGATATATTTATCAATTGAGAACAATAAGAAATTTTCACAATGTAGACTTTTTTCACTACAACAGTAGTTTTCTCGGTTGGACTGGTACTTTACATTACTTCACAATGCTATATATACAAATCATTGACCTTAATTAATAGAGATTACTAATAGGTAAAAAAGTAGCTATAAAAACAGGTACAAAACAGGTTAAACTTTGGTTACTAATGATTAAACTAACTCCAGACTCCAGGAAATTTATCATGAAAATAAATTCAAGATTCAATAGGAAAATTGATTGATTTTATTTATTAATTTCGAGGGATTTCAAACGTTAATTTTTGTCCTTTATTTTCTGTGAATTAAATAAGTATTCATTGAGATATTACTATTCAAAGTAGACTCATAAAAACGGGCAACATTTTTGAAACAACCTAATATGTTGATTTTCCGTTTAGTTAATAGTCTCTTCAATTTGTCCGATGCCTTTCCTGTGTATGTCATTGCTTTGAAAGTGTCAGGATTATCTTTGATAATCTGGGTAAACATAACCCGTTCTTATAATTACCTGTTTAATTGTATCAACTCTGTCCCACTGAGAAAGCTACTGTTATAGTGAAACGGGTATTAGAAAAAAATCGATATTGTGAAAAATTTTAATTATTATCATGAAGAGTGTTATCGATTTCCACCAAGTAACGGGCCAGTGTATTCAAAACATTCTGTATTCGAAGGTTACGGTGGATGGCAAGCAATCGATGCTACTCCTCAAGAAACTTCCGACGGATTCTATCAATGCGGTCCTTCATCTCTGGAGGCAATCAAAAAAGGCCAAGTGGGGTTCAACTACGACGTCGGCTTCATGGTCGCATCTGTGAATGCTGATTTGATGCGCTGGAAAGAGGACAGCAAAAACGTTTTGGGTTATACTCGAATATACTGCAACAAATACCAGTAATTATTTACTTTCTCACTAGTTTTCGGAACTTTCACGCGTCTTTTTTAGTATTGGCCGATTCATTCTCACCAAAAAACCTTTTATATATGATTACAATGGCGACAAGGATAAAGACGATATCACGTGCAACTATAAACCACAAGAGGGCACCAAAGCCGAAAGACTAGCCTTGCTGAATGCTGTCAGAGGAGTAGAAGCTGCCAAACGCTTTTACGAGTTACCGGAGGCTGAGATGGAAGACGTCCAATTTGATTTACAGGTGAACTCTTCTAATTAAACTTAAATTCTTGCGCATTTATAATTTAAAGGCGTCAAAACGGTATTCCATAAGCTCAAGACCTTGATTTATAAAAGTTTACAATATTGTTACGTTTTCAACGTGGGTTTGCCAATAATTGACTACACTATACAATTAAACTCAACTATATTTCGCTGCTACACTGGCAATACAACTAAACACTTTAACCAAAACTTCAAACTGATATTCAAGTATCTACCGTCTTATTAGAACACTTCGCACCGCACTGCCCATTATACTTCCCGATATGCGAGTGGGTACTGTTTATATATGGTAATGGAATTCTCGAAACCAATAGGAAAGTCGCTTGAAGTATCTCAAAGCGACGTGAAAACTAGAACTATCGCGAAGCACAAGTCTTGTTGAGTGCAATCTTGGCCACGTCACAATTGATTTTCGACGACCAGCGGCGGCCGGCGTTTTTTTAGGGGATGATTTATAACAATATTCATTCAATGTCAGTGTCTTCAGAATTAATTTGTCGTGTTAAATGTTTAGGTTAATATTGGACCACTTTTTCAATATTTCCCATTTTTGTGTCTGAAGACTGTATCGAGGGGAGATACACACGTACTACTACACCGTAGGTTCTGGTTCTAAGAAATATTGATTTTCTAGTGCGTATGAATCTCAAGTCGATACCTACACTGTCGATGTTGTTATATCGCCGCCGTCGCTTGGCCGTCACCATTTTCGTGCCCGCAGCCTGAATATTTTCAAGATAATTCATTTTCAGGATTTAGACAGAATAAAAATAGGAGAAAACTTCAACATTGTGGTAAAAATAAAGAACAAAAGCGACAAAGACCGTCACATCAAGTGTGCTCTTTCCGCTGCCACTGTTTATTACAACGGGGTGAAGGCGACAATGATAACGAAGCAAGAAGGGGAATTCAACATGAAACCACATTCAGGTAAATCCCTATAAAATTAATCAAAACTGAGTATTGAAGATAGTGATAGACTGAGGAGTATTTTATTTTCAGAGGAAGAAGTGAAATTACCAGTCAAGGCTGACGAGTATTTGGACAAGTTGGTCGAATATTGCATTATGAAAATATATGCTATTGCAACCATTACGGAAACCAACCAAACTTGGGCAGATGAGGATGATTTTCAGGTTGTAACGCCCAACATCGACATTAGAGTAAGTACTTTTATTGACTATATGAAATCAGAACCCAAAAAACAACACCATCATCATTGGGGCTTTGTTAGACTCAACAGACCTTGAAAAAGTAGTCTGATGAATTTAAGTTAGCACATAATTGATCCAAAACAAGCACTATTACCAAACACCAGTACTGCAACCACTAATCAAGTCTGTAAAACAATAACTCTAAAACAATTAATTTGAAATATATTATATAAACAACATTGGTCCTAGAATAGATACTTGGGGAACCCCTAAGTGATTATTTTTGGTAGACAAGTAGAACACCTCGATACATCCATTTATTTCGAATCTCAAATAACCTGAGAAGGTCTTTCTGTTAAAAAAGTTCAAACAGCTGCAAGACTATACCTCTAACGTCAAGTTTATCCAAGAGAAAACTATTATCAAGTGAATTGAAGGCCCTTGTAAGATCAAAAACATATGCCGCTGCAGGGACTGGTAAACTGAATTTTCTATTGATTTGCTTGGTAGAAGTCTTGCCAGCTCACAATAGAAGATCGGTCACCAAATATAGGCCTCATTAAGAAGCTGGATTTATTGAGTCGAGTTTTGAATTTGTGGAGCCTCTCGCGGGTTGCACAGGATGGTCAAATAGATCCACTCACTTTGAACCTACTGCAGGTACTTTGTTGACCTCTTAATCTATATGTCCGAGGTATGAAGTAATAATATTTGGTCATTCTTTCAGATTCCTCACAAAATCCCGAACAGAAGACAGGCTCCGATCACCCTGAGATTCGTCAATCCTCTGAAAAAGATCCTGACCAACTGCAAGTTCCACGTTTCTGGACCCTCCCTGTCGAGAAATCAAATAATAGATCATCCTGATGTGAAGCCAGGCGCTGTGGTCAAAGTCAATGCTACCATTGTTCCTAAATTTCCAGGAGAACATAAATTGGTCGCCACATTTTCTTCTAGAGAGTTATTGGACATAACTGGCACCGTGAAAGTTGACGTCAGTGAAGAGTGATGGAAACCACTCGAAAACCAAAAAATTATTTGTTTTCTTTTCATTAGTTGTCAGATGAATATTTACTAAGCAGAAAAATCCAAATCTTCCATTGGCGTTATTTCACGTGGTACAGAAAGTTAAATTAACACCTAGTCACGTCGTCAGTTTTCAGACCTAACCTAATAGACTATTATTCTTTGTGTTCGTCCCAGTTGCGTATTTAGAGAGCGTGCTTCATTAATATCTATATAGTGGGCTTTTTTGCTATCTAGGGAGTGTTTCATTATTTTCTAGAAGATGAGCTTCATCAATATCTAGAGAGTGAACTTCATTAACACTCAGCCGTTGTCAGTTTCTAGACCCAATCCAATATGTTTGTCACATTTACGTATGTAGAGAATGTGCTTCATTTTAATATCTAGAGAGTGAGCTTCATCAATACCTAGTCCCGTCTTAAGTTTAAAACTTAATCTAATAGACCATTATTCTTTGTGTTTGTTAGAGAGGCGTATGCAGAGAATATGCGTCATTAATATATAAAGAAAGCTTCATTGATATCTAGAGAGAGAGTGCTTCATTGTTAGCTAGAGAGTGTTTCATTAATATCTAGAAAGTGAGCTTAATTAATATCTAGTCCCGTCACCACTTTTCAGACCTAACCTCTAATATCTATATAGTGGGCTTCATTACTATTTAGAGAGTACGTTTCATTAATATTCTAGAAGGTGAGCTTTATTAATATCTAGAGAGGGTGTTTCATTAATATCTAGAGAGTGAGCTTCATTAATACCTAGTCTCGTCATCAGTTTCAGACATAACCTAATATGTTACAAGGGATGATAATATATCCTAGCTACATTACAGAAAAAAATAATTTACAATTTGAAAAACCTTTTTCTGAGTAGTTATCAACAAAATAATTAATTTAAGTAGATAACAAAAAAATTGAGTTTACCTTATGTTATTAAATATTACTGGAGTTTTTTCAAAACACCAAACCGTTATTTTAACACCTCAACACGTGTTTAGATCACTAAGTGATCATCTTCAAGTTTTGATCTTCCTCTTGAAGATGATCACCTGGTGATCGAAACACGTGTCGAGGTGTTAAAAATAACGGTTTGGTGTTGAGAGAAAAAGTCCAGTAATATTCAATAGTACACCAAAGGTTCCAAACGTGCATCACTCATGTTGTTATGTTCAAAAAAAATCTATTTTGGCCCCACCGAAACTAAATGTTTCTCGAAACAAAATTCAATATACTTTACTGGCTTTACTAATATCATTTATATTTTGTTCAATACTTCCTCAAACTATTACTTATTCTGATAATTTTAAGTTTTTTGTACTAGTACTACTTTGTTATAAATACACATTTATTTTTTATATAATTGAATTATTTTTATACAAATATTTTGAAATTTCACATTTTAATGTACTTACTCTTCAATATGAATATAATCGATGATTCTGAAATTGTGTTTTACTGAATATGGTAGCCAATATTTTTAACTAAGAATATAATAATGAATATGAATTCGATTCAAAAAATCTGTATGTAATATATTAATCCACTAATATACCCCCATCACACAAAAACTAAGACAAGTTTGAGCGGAAGCAAGTGCCAACACAAAAAAGAAGAAGAAGAGAACAAGCATTATTTATGGAAGCAGTCTTGGCAAGGTAGGAAAATTGCATCCTCTATCCTCTTACATGAGTGACATGTGACGTAACAGGAGGAGAATCGGCCAAATTGGCAAATTCACTTCAACCCGAATTTTGAAAAAATGTCTATTCAAAAATGTGAAGAGACTCTGTCTGTTAGCAATTGTTCCTTTTTCGGGATTCATGTCAGACTTGTACATGTATTTACAGGTTCTCGAAAATGTCAAATAGTCTGATGTCAATATATACTAGTGGTGGGATCAATTAGTATCGACGCTCGTTTTACCAACCAAATTGGCGTCTTCAGCGAAATTTTCTCGTGAAAGTTGCCCCTAATTTCAACAGAGTGATTCATAAAAAGATAAACAATGGGCTGTTTGGAATAGGACCTTTGTCACTGTTTATAGTTCTCGTGCCACACTTAGCAATTTTAAGACTTTCGTGAGCATCCAAAAATCTAATGTCATGTACCAATTTCAGACAGTTTCCATTTCCTGCTCACTTCAACAAATCTTGGGTAACCCTAGCGACAAGATGTTGGAACATGAAAAGACGGGAACATATGAAATGAGCTGTAAGGACTGTGACAAAAAAATATATCGGCCAAACTAAGCGTGCTATCAAAACTCGTTTCAAAGAACACGCACTACGTAACAGATTTCGAAGACTAGAAACATCCAGTGTCGCTCCAACACGGGTCTTTGGAGAACAGCCATATAATCAATGAAAACTGCTGTCTGGAAACAGCAAAGTGTGGCATGATAATTGTGAACAGTGGTCAGGGTCGAATTCCAAACATCCTATTGCTTACCTATTTATAAATATTATACACTTTAATACAAAACCTCTTCGATTCATTATTTATAAATCATTCTGTTAAAATTTGCGAGAACATGGCGTAAAAATTTCGCGCAAATTCCTACCCGAAATCATCAATGTGTATCTGTTAGATATAAATAAAGACCAGTTAGATCTTGAAGACGCCAACTTGGGTGATAATACGCGCGCCGAGAAGAGTATTGAAGTTGTTCTGGTGATTGGGATAAGTGCTTGTTTATTAAAATTGTGAATAGTAATTTATTATAGTTTATGGTTTAGTATACTTTATGGTTTAGATCTTACCTGGAGAATCGTAGCCAGTTGGTAAAAACTGACCACTATTCACGTATTGGAGCTACTAGATGTGGTGTGCCTCAGAGTTCGGTACTGGGACCTATTTTATTTTTGTTATATGTCAACGATATCTCCCATTTGAATATATCTGGGAGGTTCACGTTATTTGCAGATGATACCACTATACTTTGGCACAGTAGTGATGAAACATCTTTACACAATGTCATACAACGTGATCTCGAAACAATAAGAACGTGGTTTGACAATAATCTCCTTGTACTAAATATCTCCAAAACTAACTTGTTAACCTTCAAATGTGAATTGGACACAATAATTCTTGATTCAACTAACATTGACAATTCCCCCTGCACAAAATTCTTGGGTCTTCATATTGACAGTAACCTGAGATTCGATGAACATGTTAAAAAACTGTCTAAAAAACTATCATCTGGGTGCTATGCCATTAGAGTCATCAATAATGAGGTAGGATGCATGCATTAATTGAATCGCATATAGGTTATGCAATTGCTTTTTGGGGTGCATGCAATAAAAATTTATTACAGATTATTCTTTCTATAATAGATTCAGAGGTAGTGTGAAGGTTTTACTCTTATAGCCAAATTATCTGAATGAACTCATTATCCATATCTGTCATTGCTGAGGCTCAATTATGTGAATATGTATATAATGGTTTTTTCCACTGTAACCCCATTTTTGAAAATGTTCACCATGCAAGAAGACAATTTATCTGTGCCGAAATCAAAATACATTGTAATCAATGGATCTTTACAAATGCGTCATCAATTTGTGCCTCCGAAATAAGTCAACAAAGTCATGAAAACACAATTTTTACTTATAAAAATGTATTGAACTAGATTACTCAGAAAGTGAATTGAACAATTTCCATTTTGAGAAACAATAAATAAAACTTTGACAACGGTTAAATTCCAAGTAACACTTAGATATATATGAAAAATAAAGAGATTCCTCAATAACTAGAAGGCACCTAGAAAAGCCATGCTTGTATATATTGTCGAGTGCTACGCCCTCTACGCACATATGGACAGGAATCCTAGGCAGCACATTCAAAGCATCGAACTCCCTCAGTCTAATTTATTGTACGAGTATCTCGTAGTCGCCGAAAGACATTTCTTGCCCTCCGTAGGGGATGTAGCACACCCCGTGGCTGGGCTGGACCTTCCCTACAGTCAAAGCCCCATCGTTAACAACCCTGCCTACGTAGAGGGGCTCCCCGTCCTCGCTCTGCCCTGCGGTCAGAGCGTTCGGGGGGATATTTCCCCCGGAGCAGGCGATCCACTGCCCGGGGAAGTCGCATAGCACCTCGTACTCGGGGACGGCATTTTCGGCGCCCCCCCAGGGGATGTAGCAGACTCCGTGGCTCGGGACCAGCTTGCCGGGGATCAGGGCTCCGTTGAACTGGGCTCTGACGACGTACACAGGCTCTCCGTTGTCTTCGCCGCCGGCGAAAGCTCTGGGGGGTACCTGGCCGTTCCTAGCTGCCGCCCAACAGACCGAAGACATGTTGGATGGGGGGGCAGTGTAGTTTGATGGGGCAGACGGGTAGCCTGAAATTAAAACAATTTGCACCTTTACTGAAGATACAGAGTACAGGATTACGAAAGCATAGAAGGGAGACATATTTTAATTATTCGTTTTTTGGAAATTATGACAAAAAACTTTACTTTAAAATTGAAATTTCGAAACTAAAGTTAACTTCAATTCAAAAGTCGTCATTTCGATTTTACAGTCGTAATTTCGAATTTATTTCGAGTTTATTGTCGTAAATAGTCGAAATTTTGAATTGGAAGCCATAATTTCGAGAATAAGGTCGAAGTTTTTAGTTTGAAGTCGTAACTTCGAGATTATAGCCGTAATTTCGAGATTAAGTCGAAATTTCGATATTGAAGTCGTAATTTATAGTTTAGAGTCCAAATTCAAAGTTTAATTTCGAAGTTGAAGACCTGATTTCGAATTTCAAATCGAAATTTCGAGATTAAAGTCGTAATTTATAGTTTACAGTCCAAATTCCGAGTTTAATTTCGAATTTTAAAATTGATTTCGAGTTTCAAGTCAAAATTTCCAAAATTAATGTCGAAATTTCGAGATAAAAGTCGAAATTTCGAATTTGAAGTAGCAATTTCGTGATTAAAGACAAAATTTCGAGATTGAAGTCAAATTTCGAATTTGAAGTTATAATTTCGAGATTGAAGTCGAAATTTCGAGAAGTAAAGTCATTATTTCCAGTTTAGATTCCAAATTCCGTGTAATTTTGTATTTGAAGACGTAATTTCGAGTTTCAAGTCAAAATTTCGATATTAAAGTCGGAATTTCGAATTTGAAGTCAAAATTTCGAGAAGTAAAGTCGTAATTTCCAGTTTAGAGTCCAAATTCCAAGTGTAATTTTGAATTTGAAGACGTAATTTCGAGTTTCAAGTCGAAATCTCTAGATTAAAGTCTAAAATTCGAATTTGAAGTCGTAATTTCGAGATTGAAGTCAAAATTTCGAGAAGTAAAGTCGTATTTTCCAGTTTAGAGTCCAAGTTCCAAGTGTAATTTTGAATTTGAAGATCTAATTTCGAGTTACAAGTCGAAATTTCCAAATTAAAGTTGAAATTTTGAGATAAAAGTCGAAATTTTGAATTTGAAGTCGTAATTTCAAGATTAAACCCGAAATTTCGAGAAGTGAAGTCGTTATTTCCAGTTTAGAGTCCAAATTTCAAGCGTAATTTTGAATTTGAAGACGTAATTTCGAGTTTCAAGTCGAAATTGAAATCAAACGTGAGTCAAAGAAGTAAATTAGATATGGTGACTTGTGTCAACGAAAGTATTTAGAGTCTCAAACAATCGAATTCAACCATTCAATGTAATAAATACTATAAAATTTAGACAGAGTGGTCTGAGTAAATGGCGAACCCGATACATACCTCCACCACCTCTTGGCGGTTCGATCACCCAAGAACCGTTAGCACCCCACCCGGTGCATACCCCCACGTACTGGATGTTGATCTGCTCGTAGTCGGTCCAGCTGAGGAAGGGTGGCACCTCGTTCTCCCTGCCGACGGAGATGTTGCCGTTCTCCCAGCGGATCCAGAAGCCGCGGAACTCGTTGGGGTTGAGGATGCCCGGCGTGGGCACCTCGGCGACCTCCGGCTTGGTCCTGTTCTTGCGGATGATGGACTTGGAGTTGCCCCAACCGCCGATGAAGATCTCGTACATGGGCTCCATCTCGGCCGCGGAGGTCGTCAGAGCGATGTGGGCATCGTTCGCAGCCTTCACCCTGAACTGGACGAAGCCGCACGAGTTCGGGAAGAAGTTGTATTCGAGTTTATCTTCGGTTTCTAGTTCTGCAAAAAATAAAATGATTCGTTTATTTATTCATTTTACGGAATTGACCCCGTTTACAAACATTTAAATTTACATCATACAATAGAGTAATATTGAACATTACAGTAACTTATGTTATTATCGAATACTTATAGTGATAATGATAATAATAGTGAACCATGCAGTTGTGCATAAAGCTGAAATGAATTAAAATTTAATGCATACTCACTTAAGACTATTTTTTAATTTGCTAAGAGATAACCCCTGTTATATCTAATTTTATTTCATTTATGGAATCTATTATGACATTGTATTAAGTTGTGGAAACAACCCAAAAAATCAACCAGGCATTTGGCAATGATAGTGTTAATAACAGCACTGTTCAACGTTGGTTTGCGAAATTCCTTCCGGAGATTTCATCCTCGAAGATGAGCCTCACAGTGGTAGACCTGCATTAATCCAGGAAGAGGATTTAAGGACTCTGGTGGAGACTGACACACCACAAACGGTGCGTGGAGTAACGGAAAAAATAGGGGTCAGCTTCCATGCAGTTTTTGATGATTTAAAGCGACAGAAATTATCACGTTTCGAAGTCAGTTGTTCTTTGCTTTTGCGCAACCAAAACGATCCTTTTTTGGATCGGATCCTCACGTGTGAGGGTGTCATTCACTATAACTTTCTGCAACCGAGACAAACCATCACAGCAGAGTCCTATTGTGAGGAAATTGACGAAATATACCAAAAATTGTATCAGCAACAGCCGCCACTGGTCAACACATATTACCGATACCATTTTTATAGTGTTATTTGTCTTTAGCCTCAAAATAGGCCTCAGTTCGACGATTACATCTACATCTGAGCTAAATTTCTTTCCAGCGAACATTCTTTCGAAGTCCTCAAACAGGAAAAAGTCGCTAGTGACCAGAAGCCATGCAATTTTGCCATCGTCTTCATCATTCGTAACACTGTGCATTATCTTGATGAAAAAGCACTGTTTACATCAGATTTAAAGTTTTGAGTTAAACCGAGATACGAGCAACCTTCAGGAATTTTTGAGACACTGAATTTAATGCTTCATAAGTTTTCACTCAGGATGAGATTTACTCTAAGAATAAACTGTGTAATACATCACACATGGCGATACTATTTTTATATTTCCATGGACCATGATGTGAATACATCCAGAATCTATTTTTGAATCATAAGATCACTTTTCCGACATACCATCGAAAAGAAGTGAAACGGATGTAAAACGGAATCGCGTGATGGAGAATGAAGAATTAGGGCGATTACATTGCATTGGGGCTCGGCAGGCTATTATTTCCAACTATTCGCTGGGACGAATGTAATTTCAAACACGAAATGATGGATTATGTCACTGAATATTCAATTTGATCCAATTTGGGCCACGAAACTAAAGCCGGGAAAGCCTGATTTCAGTATAAGAAATATAATATGTAAATCAAAGGGGGGTAACACGATAAAAAACACTAATACAACACTAGTCGATATCATCAACAATAGTATGAGGAAAAACGCTAAAATAACCCGATTTTTTTTAATTGAAAAGATATGTTTAGAAGAGATTATAGTTTTTGGGAAAGAAACATTTTGACTATCGACTTTTCCAAAAATGTGGAAAGCTCCGAATGAAAGAGGAAAGCAATAAATTCCGAAATAAACTTTGTACAAAGATGTGCAGTTCTTTGAAAAAATCAACTTTGGAAACAAACTGAAAGAAGAAGCCGCCTCAGAACAACTACTTTTATATGAACTATAAATTATACGAAAACACGTTTTCCTAAGTTTGTACACAAAACATTCGTTATGAAATTAAATCAGATAAACATTTATAAAAAAGATACATAGTACAGTGTATGAAAGGGACATAGGACTTTGGGTTTTGATCAAATAAGAGAATAAATGTCATTAACTATTGTCACCGATGACATGACGTGATTTCATGAATGGAGTGCTTCATCTTCCGAAACATCGCATGTCCACCATTTGCTTGATCAACGTACAATTCAAGAAAGCAGTTATAAATTTGCCAGCTGATATACCCTATTTATAGCCTACAAGAGTATTTTAATGAATCATTCAAAAAAGGGCATTCTATTTGATTTTCATTGTATTTGTATTTGTTTTATTCAAACTTTTATAAATTACCAGTTTTTATTTATACACCAATAGTTTTGTTTATATTTATACTTACAAATCTTTGTCAATGGGATGCAAAATATTCTGATGATAACGTATATTATTTTGATTTGATTGAGGATGTAAGTGAAATTTTACCTCTTTCATTTACTGATGACTCAGTTTGCTCTCCATAATAATTTTTTATGTAGTATGTATCTTTAATATGTTATATATTTCCTACTGTTCTTTGTACCATTTTACTATTTTTCGGACATTAAATCTACACCATGGCCGACTTTGTGCTTCACAACCACAAAAAAAAAGTTTATTTAATAACTCAGCTTATAACTTACACAAACAACATTCATTAATGCTAAGACGGTTCGAATTTCACCAGGTCTGCTAGTATCCTACACAAATCAATATAGTTTGAATTTTTTCAAGTACCATAAAAACTAGATTTCGGAGATGTCGCTATGGATGTCAATTTGTTTTGAAGTTGCGTGACCAATGTAATTCCCTGATAAGAAAAGAGTTCAAGGAGTTCAGCAGCCTTTCATATGTATGCCTGACATTTTTTCAACTTGGCAACGAGTTGTATTTTTAGATTGATATAAATTGTGATATCTTTTGGGACCCAGTAACCTCGTAATTTCTAAAGTGACTGTGACATTGATTGACGACCACAAATTCAGCATTTCGATTGGGGTAGCAGACAACCAGGGTTCTACAGAGTCTTCCAAAAGGAACGTTCGATCTTTGACAATTGATAATGACCATCTTGTTGAAGCTATATCTGTCAAATTAGTTGTCACTTATTCATTCTATCAAAACACAACGTTTTCCTAATCAAAGAGCAAACAGCGCTGTTTCGAATCGCCATAGTCGTAGATGAGTAAATCACAAATGATACTTTCAAAAACTTCAGGGATTACGTTGAGAATTGAAATGGGACGATAATTACTTACATCAGATTTTCGGCCGGATTTATATAGTTGCGTAACAGAAGAGGTTTTCCAGTATCTAGTCCGGAAACTCGTCTGATGATAGACAATAATTAAATATATAGAATACTGGGTACGATGAAATGAAGCTATAGTCCGTTCATAATTTGTTGATAGCTCACTGCAAGTTTGACCCTCATTAGAGAACTGAAATACAGAGAGGACAGCTAATATGATATAATAACAAAAACCAAACTAAAACTGGCAGTTTAAGATGTTTTCGACTAACCCACCTTGTATCTGAAGAAATACAATACAGCTATAAAACTTTTAATCCGATTATGTAGGTATTTTGAGTGG